GCACTGGTACAGGCACTGATTTGTGAAATTGAGAAAGAGACATAGGGTGGTTTTTCTTCTTCTTTAATATTCAGACAGGTCCTCTGTTGCCATGATCATGTCCTTGAACATTTCAGGCAGAGAAACCAATATCCCATATTGTCAGTGCAGCTGACCCACCATCTCTCTCATTACATCCAACCTGAACCATGTTCTTGTGAGCCAGAAGGGAATCTGCCACTCATATTGAGGGTGAGCTGGGACTACAAGGACATATCCTGTCCTCCCCAAGAGTGGGAAGGGGAATCTGCCATAAATGAGAATTCAAAGTCTCCCATTCCCAGGGTTCCCAAAGGGGTGAGACCACTTGCTGTAGAGTGAGGGCTGCTCATTTACAAATAGAACATTGGCATGGTTCATTAGAGTTGGGAATTTTAACACAAATCTTGACTGACTCAACTTGATCCAGTTGGTAATTGGAAATTTCATCAATATACCAAGATGCAAGTTGGCCTGTGGAGGCATCTACTGGAAGGTTGGGAGATAACTCGACCAATTCCATAGTGGTAGTAATATCCTGGCATGTGAGGTCTGGATTGTAGGTTTGGGTTTCCCCAATTACATGAGACCCAAGATAGGTCTTGAGATCATTAGAATAAACTCTCTCAAAAGGAGAAGAGTCCTCCAGAGAGTATTCAGGAGAAGGGTTACAAGGAACATTGATAGCAGTGATATCAAATTCCTCAGCAGCATATTCCCCATACTGCTCATCATAGCCATAAGAGCAAGTATTAGGATCATAGAGACAATCCTCAGGGATTTCTTCGATGTAGGTGGCACCAACAGTCTCAGCACCTTCTACTTCAACATTATTGGCATGGGCCTTGCCCTTGCCATGTTGATGGTTCTGTCCTTGGCCACAAGAACCTGAACCAGACTGTTGTTGTTGTTGCTGCTGTGGATAAGGAGTATAACCTCCATGTCCATGACCACAACCTCCTCAACCTCAACCTCTGCATCCTCCATGGAAAGATCCAGAACCAGAGCCAGAGCCACCACGATGATGATGGGTATTGTGGCCACCTCTGCAGATATTGCAAAGAGGGGGTTTATTCATGCATGCCAGTAAAGAATTTGATTCTTGTTTAATCTGGGTCGAAGACCCAGAAGCCTTTTTGGTTTGAGGTAATAACATTTTGCACAATTTATGGGCCCAGACTTCTTTCATATGAGGTATGACTGTGTCAGCAGAAAGTTGATTGGCAGGGAGAGATGATAAAATATTGACCAGAGCTTGTTCCCATGCTTGGGACATAGAATGCACGAGGATAAGTGCTTTGATTTTGTCATTAAGGGTAATACCCTGTCCAGCAATAGCAGCCATGATCATTGTGATCTCGGCTATTTTTTGCATGATATCATCCTTTGGTTTTATTTGGATGTGGATAAGTCGCTGGAATTCCATAAAGGTAGTCATGGCAGAAGGATCACCATATTTATTTTTAAGCTCAAGCCACTTGGCATTGGAAGTTGCCAGGGCATCAATGGACATTGCGATCATCAGATCACAATATAGCATGAGAATTCCTTGAGCGTGTGTATCCGAAATATTCCATGCATCAATAGCAGCTTGAGGTGCTGCAGGTAATGCTTGAGTGCCATCAATGATTGACATGATGCCAAGAGTTTGTAAATATGCTTTCATCAGAACCGACCAAGAGGCATAGTTAACTCCATTGAGTTTTGGGATTTGCTTAGAGAGACCTTTGGACATCTAGTGTCAAAAGTCCATAAGCAAATGTTTGTAGAGGAATGAACAAGTAGGATGAGTCAAATCAGATGGTGGATGAAGGACATGAAATCTGTGATTTTTGGGTCTGCAAGCAGATGCTCTAGCAGATTGAGATGCACGATTCCTACAAGGTTTCTTGATGTGTGGACAAGGATTTTGCCAGACTTTCCTTTGAATGCCAATTCCTCTCTCAGCGAATCACTTCGCAGCAATGCGAGAGTTGTTGTGCTCTAGACTCTCAAAGTCTAGTGGTGAAAAATAATGATACCCAAAAAATGACCAATGACAGTCATGCAAGGGTTCACCATCAGTAGTAAATCCCAGATAGGGATCAGCACAGGAGTAAGATCTCTTGTAAGTATTTCAAAAACATTATATGACTCATCAATAACACATCCATCAGTTTCCTCGTGGTATTGGCCGCCTGATGTGTACAGTACATCCATCATACCTGGAAGAGGATAAAGCCTGCCTAATGGTGCAAGCCATGTGAGCTCTGCTAAGAGCTGTGGTGAGTATTCCACAGTGTTGGGGTTCCACGAGATAGTTGAAAGTACTATTCTCCATGGCACATTCAAGATCTTTAAAAACTTCTGCCTTTCCAGGCCAGTAAGCAAATTGATGGTTACCAGCAGCATCAGTGAATCCAAGATGTTGGTCAGCTGCTGTATATCTGTTACTACTTCCCAAATCTCCTTGGACACAGTATTTGGTGATAAACCGAGCGAGACTGCTATCAAAATGGTCTCCTCCTCGACAACGTTCCTGGAACCATCCTGGGACACATGCAACATCAGTTGATCTGTCAACCCAAACTCCTCAGAAATGGCATTCAAGATGTTTGTGCCAAACCCATAGAGGAGGGATGAGCCCACAGAAGCAGGGGTCATAGAGGACATGCACATTGTAGTAGATATAGACAAATGTGTCATGGGTGATGGTAAAGGCAGGAATAGAGAAAAGGGCAGGATCTTCATAAGTCACTGAAGGAAGATCGCAACTGTTGAAGTTAGCAATTGCATGAGGAGTCAAAGTATGAGAAAGTTTGGGAAAGAAGTTGGTAAAATAACCATGAAATGCGAGATGAAGGCCAGGATAAAAGAATGGAGAATCGATGCTGGGAAAGTGGGGCACTTGCTGCCACACTGTTTCCACATCAGCAAGCAGAATGAGGTACATCACTGGGTTAGGCTTCTTGAAGAAGGCCATAGACAATGGCACAGCTTCCTCTCAGGTGGAATAGTCCCATACATACAACATTTCTATGAACTCAACAATCTCTTTGACAGTGTACTTCCTCCACTTCAGTCCCTCTGGATACATTCCATCATGATGCTTGGCAGTGAGCAATTCAGTCTTCTTGGCAATGACAAGAGACATTCTTTAGGAATAGAGACCATAGATTAGTTCCCGTAATTGAGTGAAACAAAGACAAATGAGTTATATCAAGTTGAACTCAGCGAGATTGTCAGCAGGACCAACAATCACAAGAATGGGCTTGTGGTGGAGCAACTCATTCAAAACTTGAACTTCCTCAGGAAGAGGAGTCAGTACTCTACAAGGAGCAGGAGGATCACAAGGTCCATCCTTGGAGTATGGAGGTACAGGATCTAGGTCTGCCTCAAAGTCAACATCAGGAAGATGGAAATGTAAGTAATGCAGGGGTGGAGCAGGAAGCATATGGTGTGCAGTGATTAAGGCATGAAGGCCTACAGCATCGGCAATAACCACTTGATGACATCACCACAAGAGAGTGAGTCCTAGAAAAGTGAACCAGAAGGTGGTGGAGTGAATAAAAAGCTCCCACAAATCAAACAGATTAAAGCCACCATAATGAAGTAAAAGAACAGCCTGGTTTGCACCAGCCAAAAGTGACAAAGCGAAAGTGACTACAGCTAACCCTAGTGCATCTAGGCCTACATGATCCATAGTGATGTGCCCAGTCAGCAGTAATTGCTCTATGCAAACTGCATAAATAGCACAATGCCTAGAAGGCGGGGCTCATAACCTATTGTGCAGAGGACAGGCTACTACAAAGAGCTAGACAAGAGCACTTGTCTTTATGAGTTAGTGAGTAGGTTTGAAGAGTAAGTGTTTGGGGCTCAAGTGTTCATATGAATGAGTAGATTGTCTGTGTAGACAATACTGGGGACTCTAGGAGAGATACCCCAAGTTTATATACATGTAGCTATATGCATGGACCAGTAATGTATAAGGAAGGAACTACAGTATTGTTACTAAATAGAGTATCAAATAGCAGAGAATGCTATGGAATATGACACAATAAGTGATGTCATACTGACATCACTGTGGAGCTGCTGGTGAAGCAAAGTCATGTGATGTACAACATGTTGTTACATGTGTAAGTCTAGAGTCAGAACTATTATGATATTTCCAACAGCTATGCCTTCCTGCTCAATGGCAGAGTGATCTCCTGGGCCTTGAAGAAACAAGAACTGATTACTTTATCTACTACAGAAGCCAAGTATGTTGCTGCCACTCATGCAGCAAAAGAAGCCATCTGGCTTTGTCACCTCATCCAAGAGTTGTTCTGCCCACTCTCACTCCCAACCACAATTTATTGCAACAATCAGTCCACAATCACACTTGCTCACCATGGCAATTACCACACCTGTACAAAACACGTAGACATTCATTATCATTTTATATGCTATGCTATTGATAATGGTTCACTTCACCTCATCTACTGTCCTACTGGCAGTATGGTTGCAGATACCCTTGCCAAGGCTCTTCCAATCATCAAAGCCAAGCACTTTGCTTATGAGCTTGGACTCCATGATGTTTGAGGGGGAGTGTTATATATTCTGTCTTTCATATTATACTTTTATCTGCATCCCACTTAGCATTATGGTGCACATTTGGCCATATTACATAATCATGTTCATTTTCATACTCAAGTAGCATACTCACACCTCAGTTGGCTACTTAACCCAACTGAGGTGAGCACTTTCTACATCCTGTCTTTACACTCAGCTAATAGTCCTGTAGTATATATTCTACAGTAGACCTCACATGACAATTGATCATTCATGCAGTGGAGCAGGGCATTTGCCATACAGAGTGGAATTGGGGGAAAATGTGCAGATGTCAAAAAAAGCACCTCATTTTCAGGGTGGAGTGACCTTGTAAACAAGGTGATTGTCTTTCAGTGCATGACTCAGTCAGTTGGTGCTTGTTTGTTCATGGTATCCAATCAAAAAGGTTAATAGTGGAAGTCATGACCTTGGCAACATCATTAAATCCGTCAGAGTGAAAATGTACACCACAGCCACGAACGAGATCATTCCGAAAAACCTAACTATTCACCAATAACTGCTTGGACACCAGAATGCGCTTGGCTAGCGTAGTTAAGTTCGCATCCGCCATGATGACCTCAGGAGCATACTCCACATCAAATGCTTCTCTAATAGCCGTAGAGATCCGCTTAGCCTGTCCTTCTGACCAGAAGGTGAAGTCATCTAAATCACGCCCGTCAGCGTTGGCACCGTCCGCGTCAGAACTTGTCTCGGTGGTTCCCGTTTCTCCGCACGAGAGAGGGATCAACGACGGATCGTTGTCCAAGCAGAGGGGGACGATATGTGCCAGGCATTCCTTCACGGAGTCGAAGTCCAAAGGCCCGTGCTTCTCAACTGGAAAAAGAAAGAGGGTTTGATTAACCTCGTCCACATTGATTTTGACTTACCATAAACTTCAAAAGGACCATCCATACTTAAAACGTTGTATTTCCCATCATGATGATAACGGACCTAGACATCAAACAGAAGATACAATTGAGCCATTCACTCCAAATCGGATCGTCCGACACATATCATCGTACCTCATATTGGCCGACTTTCCACGGAAGGGTCGAACCCCGGAACGTCAAAGTGCCTGTCTCAGATTCCACGCTCTTCGATGAAACGCGGTGATTGCTGTTCAGCGGCACATCGCCGTCCCACTCTTCGTCATAGACAGGAAGCCACTTCCCAAATGATGACGTCTTCGTCACTAATGTTGACTTGTTGGCTGCAACCTGTGATACACCCGGTCACTACCGCAGGCACACACGACGCGTGGAAAGATATATACGTGCCCTGTAAATACCGACCCAGTCCTTCCGCGAATGTCCCTGTGGGGCCTGCCACTGTACGTGGATTGGCTCGCCGAGATGGAATCGTTTGTCGCCAAACTGGTTGGGGAGTATCGATAACTTGTACTTTGCAATGTCACATGAGGAAAGGTCATTGGCGACGCGACTGAGATCACCAAGAATGGTCAAAACCTATCATTTCCTTCGGAAGCACGAAGGACACTAACGTGATGATAAGTCTCTCCCGGGATTGCTGGAGAAGCACCTTGGTCTCCTGTACGACCTCTGAGATTTTCGGTTTGGCTATATAATCCATTTAGCAACTCTATGTCGTCCCTGGAACACCCGAGACTCACACTTCGCAAGAAACTCCTCTACAACATCCGCAGTCTCTTCAAAGACCTTGTCGAACGTCCCCTTCACTTCCTTCGCTACTCTTTTAATGTCAGGGGCATGTCGACCAGCACGAGATTCCAAAAGACGCGCGTTCTTGGTCGCAACGTTCTTGATCACTTTAACAAATCCGGCTTCCTTGCGCAAGCTTTCACCGTATAATTTACGCATATGCGGGCTGTTCCGTGGACGTATTCAAAACTAGGATGCATCAATATAAGCAGCACATACTTCTCGACCGTCTTCAGGAACCAACAATGTGATACAAAACGCATAACCGCAAGAAAACCGACAAGCTTGCTTCCACTGATCAACGCAAGACCCAGGAAGGATGCGCCGCTCATAAGTTCTGGATTATCGAGATACCTGCACATTACCCGCGGGTGCTCAGCATCGTACTCATATCATGCCTTCACATGGATACACACCGGAAGATGCCAGTGTACTCAAGGTGAGCAGGGAAGTCCTCTGCGAAAAAGTCTCCGTAAAACCAGCCTAACACATACTTTCAGCGACGCAGAGGACAGGGTCAAATAACCTTACCAAAAACGCCAAGGACCTCATAAGATTCCCTTGCTGCCCAAGCGTGTAGACCGATGAACAGCTATTCAAAATGAGTGAGTGACATGAAAAACGAGATGGAGAAATACGCACAGCTCCTAGCGTATGACGAAGTAAAGCGTCTCCTTCCGACCACATATCAGGCAAAGAATACGTCTTCCAAGCAAGTCCGCCAAGGGAAACTTGAAAGGGGCCCTCAGTCAATCGCCACAACCAAGCTCACTGAAGGCGCACTCACTGTAAGTCATGCATAAGCTCGTGTTGTAGATAGCTTTCCAATTCGTAAATGCCTCCTGCACAGCACCATCCCCGTTATCGTTGGGAGGGTAATGATAATTCTTCAAGAAGTGTCCGACAATGAACTTGGATTGGCTTTGCGCACGTAAGAGAAGACCGAGTCCAAAGCTATGGAAAGTGCACCAGGCACAGGCATGCGCAAAATGTAACATCAAGGTCGTGCGGTGGGACAAAGTCGGGAGGCATGACATAACGCAGAGGTAGAAGATTAGTAAAACGAGCATGAAATCCGAAGACCTGATAGACATAATTTTCATTAGAAGACAAGCGACAACGGGAGGTATTGTTGGAAGGCATACCGCAAGAGATCGATGTTGTGAAGGACTTACGACGTCCCGTCTGAAATACTTGTGATGAAGGTCATGTTGGGAAACTGGGTGTCGACTCTCTCGCCCTCCTGAGTCAGCCATAGCACCGCAGACGACAGATGGCTTACGACCATGTCTTGGGTGAGACTCTGGAGTGGGTATGGCGTCCGCCTCCGTCTCCGTTTCGAGTTCACTTTCTGACGCAGTCTCTCCTTCGGTTGCAGCTGGTGTTGATTCGCTCATGGAGTCGTCATGGTAGGTGCCAGAAACAGGCATTTCCTTTCCACCGACTTGTCGTGGCTTGCTGATTCCGTCTGAGAGCAGAGGTTTACGCACAGCGATTGGCTTCCTCTGTCCATACATCCGCTCGATATCTGTCCGCAATTCGAATCCTCGTCAGACAGAAATGAAATCACCGCTCACGGGGATTTTCAAAGAATATCAGGAAAGCAAACTGTGCCGCGTGAGCGGTGAGACTAACGAACAGTACGGGATAGCTTCCAACGATGAGCGACAGCCCATAGTAACCCGCATAACCTATGGAACGCTCAGGCCTTTCCAACACACCAAAGGACTGACACATACCAACTGAATACATCGGATGAGGAGCCAGTTCGAATACCCCGTCGAATACCAGCGCACCACGCTGAAAAAAACAATCGCCCCAGTACCACCCATAATCCTTCACGACGTTGTGTGCTTCAGTTTTAACCCAGATGTTGAACACGATCAAGCTAATACCGCCGATCCATCTAAAGCGATTCGGCGTCAGCTTTTTATTGGCCAGGGCAAGTACTTACCGCAAGACATGAACGGGAAGGGAAAGGCCTTCGGGAACGCGAAAAGACGCAAAAGCGAACATACAATACGCGAGGAAATCACTAGAACGCATAGGTAGATCAGATCATGCTTATCCAGAACATTCAAACGACATACTTGAGCAAAATCACGTCAACGAGCTGCCTAAACAACAACCATGTATTGTATTCCAAGGGTAAATCCTTGTAACAGGAAGATCAGCTGATCGATGAAAAGCAACTCAGGAATCACACATACATCAAAGGAATAATCTTTTCCCATCTTTCCGGCTAATTGCGCACGAATCCATCGTCGCATGGCCGGACAACGTGTCTCATCAAGCCATCCAAGTCTCTGTACCTCTCTAACGATCCATCTCTTTTTGCTTTGCTTAGTAAGGACCCAGCCTAAGCCAGCATTGTAGGCAGCGCGCCAGAAGATGAAATAGAACAAGAAGAATCGTTTCGATACCGCTCGGGACAGGAAGTAGAAGAGTACTAGCTGGAATCCCAAAAGGGACAAGCTAACCATATCCAGATGACTCTTTGCGTACGCTGGGTGAAAGAGGGCTGTGAGGACGTCGTGGGTAGTTGGTACACGAAACACTGCAATGTTTTGTCAGCCAACACCAAAAACTCATCCACCTCCATCACGAGAATATTTCGAGGGCGCTTACCTTGTCCGTCTGGTGTTTTTCCCCACACAACCTCGTCGCGAGCGGGACGTGGTTTCTCTGGTTCATCGACAATGGCGTCAGAATGACACTGGAGATTGGCACACCCGTCATCATGCATGACAGCAGAACCACAGAGCTTTCTCTGTCGGAGTCCTTTTGGACTCGAGGGCGGCATCGCACGAAATCAACCACGACTGAAGGGACTTTTGGAGAGTGAGAGCCTCGATTGACAGCATGGCTCCGTGCTCGGACTTATGTAAATTATGCATGGACATATGTAAATGCCGTAATTTTTAAATGCTTTTTTATCACGTGTGAAACACAGTGAAGTCCGTAAGTCCGTCATGGACCCCCCCTTCAATCTGTTGCATGAAAATGTGTCTCATTCTTCCCCCAGACTCGAGTCGCTTGCCAAATGTCAACCAGTGATGGACCAAACACGATTCCACGTCATACATGACGCCTCGCATCCATGGATACGGTATCCACGACACAACTGTCGCTCGGCAAGCCAAACACTACAGGCCGAGTCTCGACCGCGTATATTGGTCATTTTCGCGCTGCATCTCTTGCTTTTGGTGGGGTATTCGATGATATGTCCATGTTGGTTCCGGGCTCGTACTGATATGGCAAGCGGTGGAGTTCTACGCATTTTTGTGGTGAGGTCCATCCTCGAGGTCTTCTGGTCGTATCTCGTGCATCTCCATGCCGATCCTCTCGCTTTTTCGGAATTCTCATCCCTCTCGCTGAACTCTCCGGGGACGCTTACATTCGTCCACTTCTATGCAGCCGTTGTCAAGATATGCCAGGTTTTCTGTCTAAAGGGCTGTAGGATGTCTCTGTAGATAACTCGGGATTGGATGGTCTGATTGACGCAGTTCCTTTTTCACCGCAACCGCCTAGCTGTCCGATACTGCCTCCCAGATTTTTGCGTGAATCACCCCAGCCGTTGTCATCCGAGGCGCTCCCCTTCCCCAGGTGGACCCTGTGAGGTTATAGGTGCCATGTCTCCCCTTTTTCGTTGCCAGCCCTCTCGCTTTTCTGGGGCCACGGTACTACTTGACGGGGGCTTCTCAATGATGCATTGTGCTCACTGCCGTGGATGTGGAGATGATTGTGATTTTGTAGTTGGAGTTGCCCTGAAACGGTTTTCCCGATACGGGACCAAGGGCACTCACTCACCCAGGTCCCTTTCCGCTGTATTCGTCGCATTGCCGTCTGCCATATCCTCTGGATTCTTGTCGTTTCGAGTACCCACCATTGTTCGACAGTCTCCCCTTCTCGTCTCGCTCATCTCCGTCCTGCATGCCACCTGTGTCGCACTCGACCAATTCTCATCTGCAATAGGAGTGTGTACTTTCTAGATATCCAAGTCCTCTCAATATCGTGGTGCTTTTCCCCTCCCCACCCTGGTGCTTCCGAGAGTGTACTACCGGTTCTGCGGTTTCTTGCCCCACTGGTCCGTTGACGAATTCATTGCGTTCTACTTTTCTGCGAGTCAATGCAGAAGTTCAACACGTCAATAAATTTACAAGTCATTACGCATACTCCAATCCGTCGTGTGGTGAGTGTCAAGTGTAGAACAAGAGACGAAGGGAAGACTGATGCAGGCCGCAGGTTTTGCATTCAAGGTGGAGACGCTGCGTAAGCGCCAGTTTCGAGGTCATTCGGTAGCCATACACACTAAACTTGGCGGTCGGCGGCACAGCGGACACGTGGCAACGGTGTTCCCAGGCTGCCGACTTGATTGTGCCTGATCCTGCGAGGGTGGGGGACGAGGCCGGTGGAGCGACGACATTCGAATGACGTAACCTGTACCGTTAAACTAGCACTTTCACTAGTGTTTCGACTTGCGTGCACTATGTATACTTCTCGTCTTTAGTACACTGTACCGATACATGTATGTATGACAACATAAAACGACAACTGGTTACCCACCTACCCTACCGCCAACATTCCGATAGGAAAAAGTTAATTGGTGATCGTGTCTGTATGCCCTTTCTCGCTCTCGACTTCACCAGGAATATCATCGAGCTGTGCCAAAGAAATATGTCGAGTCACAGTTACAACATGCAGACAGTAATAATCGCGGTACCGCACACTTACTTTATCAAGGTCCTCGAGACACTCGGCAATCACTTTGATAGCCTTTCGGAGGTCTTCCTCAGAGATCACGAGAGGTGGGGCGAAGCGTATGCTAGTCCGACACAACTTGCATCAACAATACCAAGTCAACGATGGCAAGGCTTGCACTTACATGTTCACGTGTGTCGGCTTCGCAAGCACGCCACGGCTCTTCAACAGCAAACAGAACTGCCAAGCAGACCTTCCCTTAATGCTCTTCTCTTCGTCGATCACGACTGCGTTCAGCAGACCCTTGCCGCGAACCTCCTTCACCAGTGGCGATTTCACCGCCTTCATCTCCGAACGGAAGATTTCTCCAAGACGTTCAGCGCGCTCGGAGAGGTTCTCGTCGACAAGAACACGAAGTGCCGTCATCGCTACTGCACACCCAAGAGGGTTGCTGAGGGATCGAACAGGTCAGATCATGCAGGAGGAACGAAGGTGTACAAGTAAGCTTACCCGCCGTAGGTACTTCCATGTTCACCTGGACCAATACAGTACATGATTTCTTTGTCGGCAAGCACCGCGGAGACGGGGTACACTAAGGGAATGTCACTTGAGCGAAATCTGTCTCGACTTCGAAGACAATCAACCAACCTCCACCAGAGAGAGCCTTGCCCAATAACACGATGTCCGGTCTGACATTCTCGTGCTCGCAACACAGCATCTTGCCAGTCCTGCAAAGTCCCTACAACATTTCAGTCAGCCACAACAGAATCCCCAAACAATAACAGAGCTCTTTACTGTTTGGATCTCGTCGCAAATCAGCAATACATTGTATTTCGTGCACAACTTGCGGACTTGCGCGAGGTAGCCAGTGGGTGGAACAACGATGCTAGAAAGGTGGGTATCACCTGGTCAGGCAGAACAGACGACAAAAGAAGTGTTGGAGCTCACCCTGCTTCGCCTTGGATAGGCTCCACCAAGAATCCTGCGACGTACTCTCCATATAGCTCCAGTGCACGCTCCAAATCCTCTATAACACCGAAGCGAATCGTTCGCACGGTACCGTTGTCGCGGAACGTGGGTCCTACGCCCTCGAGATATGGCCCGAAACCTCCCCGGCTCTCCGGGTCAGTGCTCAGACTGACGTGCCATTTGGCAGAAAAGATCGGTGATCAGCGCCTACGCGGTACGAACGAACAAATAAACAAACCTGATAACTCCGATTGTCCTGCCATGAAAATTCCCTTCGACACTCAACACCATGGCCTTTCCCTCTGGAACTCCCTTCTTCATATACGCCCATTTCCTCGCGAGTTTGACAGCAGTCTCGACTGCCTCGGCTCCCGTGTTCATCGGAAGGACGCTCCCATAGGAGAACATCTCCGTGATTTGCTGAGCATATCGGGTAAAAATAGAGTTGTAAAATGCCCGAGAAGACAGAGTGAGTTTCTGGGCCTGCTCGATGAGCGTGGCAACTATCTTAGGGTGACAATGGCCCTATAATAATCCGACTCGTGAGCCAGCCCTGTTGAACATTAACAAGGGCAAGACTGAATACGAACCTGATTGACAGCCCTATATCGAGATGTGATGTGAGCGGGGATGGGATGAGCCAGTAGCACAAAGAGAGCTTACGAATAAGCCGACAGCATGTCGATGTATTCTTTCCCTTCCGGGTCCCATACTCTGCGAAAAAGAGACGGCTGATGAGAGAGTTGCGCGCTGGCAACGCCATTGGCATAAAATGCTCACATTGCGCCATTGGCACGGTCAAACACAGCAGGCAAGGGATGGTAGCTGTACGATTATCAAAAGAAGCACAAAAACGTGCGCAGCATGTGAGCATCATGATCGTCGACCTCGATAGAACGGAAAAGAACACCGTCAAGAGACCCCCTGGAATGGGGGGTGGATATCACGGCGTAGTGACGTAGTAGGTAGGGTATTTAAGCATTCATCCCCTCTCACTAGGGACAACCCAAACCGCCTACTTCGCTGCGTTCGTTTCGACTTACTTGTGAGCGGCATACTCGTGCTCCATACGAATGTGGTCCGCAGACGACAAATGCACAGGAACACCTGGCATCCGCGTTATAGGCGCCGTTGCCCGACTTCACAGATTTGGGGGCACGACCGTTGGATACTTGAGAATCGTGGGGAGAGGTAGCAACTGGAGACATGGTTGTGCGAGATGATGTTCAACTTGTACTTGTGGTGAGTATTACACTAAAGTGTCAGTGACTTAGGTCGACGACGACGCTGGGGTGATCGTGGTAAGTCGGAAGGCTCCAACCCCGTGGAAAGCACCGTTTGTATTTGGGCGGCCGTGTGGTTCTTTGTAGGCGATGGTCCGCCCGAATCCACCGCATGTTGCTAGCTTACGTCCAGCCCAGCCAAGTCAGAAGTACCCAAATGTCGTACAGCAGCATGTGGGTAGATATCGTCCAGCCCAGCCAAGTCAGAAGTACCCAAATGTCGTACAGCAGCATGTGGGTAGATATCGTCCGTACAGTAAGTAACAGGCAAACGTCATGAAATCAAACACGGAATAAATCACGCGTCATATACTATCGTAGTTCGTCAGGCCATTCTTCTCGCCTGCTCCACCGACCCTGTGCATCAAAGCGAGGGTTCACCGGGTAGTTCGCCCCATCGTCAAGACAGTGTCCCACTGGCACTATTCACACTCGTCAGCACAACCCAGCACGATGGAAAGAGCAAGACTTACGGAACCACCACCACACGTTCTTACTCATCACCGCTTCCCAATTAGCTCGATGATTCCCCAACCACCAGATATTTCCCTCTTTCCCTATCCTCCCCCACTCCTGATCCCACCGTCGTCTCGTTCTCCGTTTCGCCCTGTAACAAATGTTACCCTTATTAGTGACGAAATGAGACGCCCTTCCTTGCTCTCTTACCCAAACTGCCACCACTGAAATTCGTGGGCCAATGCGGCTTGTTCACGCTCCCTCATCGATTTTGCATACATGGACTCTACCGTTGTTTGGTTGTTCAGCGTGAGATGAACTTGTGTCATGAACAACCCAGTTACAAAGAACCCGAACAAGCCAGCTCTGTCGGAAGCGTCGACGTCATTCACTGGCTATCCACGATCCCAAAGAATGACTTACAAGGCGATCGCAATGGGTATTTGCAGGTCAGACGACACCTTCGCTTGATATATACGATAAAGACCCAACAGGCTCCCAAACGTCCACCAGCAGCCCACGGTTCCCCATAGGAGAAAATTGATAAAAAACTATTTGCTATGAGTCAAGCGCAACCTGAAGGATATGCACGCTTACTTTCTGATTGAACGCTCCAACACACTGTCCGATCCCTAACCAAAGCTAAACGACGGAAGTTCTCCCAACGAAATGATCTGACACTTACAGGGACAATGATGGTCGTACCTCAGCACGCACTTTCGGAGACAACGTTAGTTCAGCTGCATGCTTATTGGGAAAGGGATTATGTCTCCACTCACAGTTCCGCACGCTCGACAATGGTGCGTTCGGTACGGCTTCACTATCTTACACCGACTGCAATACCTGTTCTCGGGTAACAGTATCGGCGTAGTTGGAGGACGCCTCGAGATCCCATTGATGTTTCGACTTTGACCCGGCCCCAATCCGTTGGGTTCCCTACTTCGAGAGCGAGTACTCCCGGTATTAATCGGGGGTAGAGCAATGTTGTCGGGCACGTAGGGTGCCTCAGGGTTAGCCAGCACGTCTCTTACACGTGCTTCCTCGGGGCTCCTGACGGCGTTGGTACTAGCAATGTGGTGGCTAGAGTAAGCCGTCGCTTGCGAACTCCCCTTGTGATGACCGGTATTGTGGTGTTGGGTATCGCGAGGAATCGTCGTTGTCCCCGCCGTCCTAGGAAGGACACTCTCGGAACGTCTTGATGATAACGAAGCTTGAAAGTCGCGTTGCAATGTAAAGCTTGATTGTGTCCTGGAATCTTGTGTGTGTTGGGCATGGTCTGACGTATACGTGTGAACTGTGGACACCTGATCATAGGGGACTCCACGTAGTTCAGACGTCATGGATGAAGGGTGGCGATCGAGGTCATAAGTCGGTCGTTGTGTCCGGCTCGTAAACTGTGCAACCGGTCAGGGCAAGATGAGGTTTGTCGAAGCATGAACCTACATCTCGGGCGACTCCCGGGGACGTAAAGACGACCTGAGTGACGGTGATGAGAAAATAGGGGTCAAACAGCGCAAATGTACACATCATGCAGACCTTGGCGTAAGACCACAGAATGAGCAGCAAAAGGGTTGAATAAATGACAAGGAATACAACTGTCCGAATAGTTCATGTCTTGTGGCGCGACCACTCGAAAAATGCGACAACTCACCTCCAACAGGCAAACTAGCCGTTACCTCTCCATCCCTAGTGAGCATACTCTTGCAGACTCTCCCGATGTACACATACGACACGTATCCAGCGACAGCGAGGAAGAGTCCGATGGCAAGCTTGCGCACAATCCATGGCTGCGGTCTATTGACTCTTCGTTTGCGAGCTTCGACACGAGCGTCTTCGATAACCCCGCAACACGTTCGGTCCCTAGATGCCATCTACCCCAGCTATTCGTGAGCCCCCACCGTAGTGGCCTTGTAGGATCGAGGGTCCAGCTCGACTCGTGCTGGTGCGTTTCCACAGGTATTGCAGACGTATCGCCGTACGACGTGTGCAAGTTCTTATTTTTTCCCCGTTCGTTGTACCCCTTCAAAATAGGATCTTGGTGCTGATCGAGGCAGGATACGACAGCGGGAGAGTTAGAATTATGTAATCAGCACGCCAGACGCTCGGTTACATGTTGACGTGGTCCCGACTACATTACTGGTCATAAGGTATTAAGTGAAAGTGAAGTACTCCAATCGTGGATCTGTCTAGGAATGAATGATTGAGAAGCGTGACATACGAGTTGAACTTCAGCGTCATCCGAGGCCGGCTCACGACACTTGGACGCCGTTCGGCGCTCCACATATGATGGTATCACCCCAGACGACAGAAACCAGAAACCTTCCATCGGCTTTCCAGTTGACCAACTCCGGTCCCCTTGCGCTCCCAAGCTCGACATACTCGGCCGCAGCGCCCTATTTCTTCAGGGCGCCTGTTGAACGCTGAAGCACTGCTTGCACTGCATATGAGACCCCGAATTGAGAAATTCCCTTCGGTGGAAGTCGGTTATACCATCGACCCGGAGCGCGTGCAGTGCCGTGCACTGCAAATCCCCCACGGCGTAGCGCCAGCACTGTCGTCACTGCATAGCAAGGATTCCTATCAGTTATCTCGATGATCGCATACTTAGCCAGCTCGCCCCAGTACAGCAGATACTTAACCGAGCTTGTACGTTGCACAGAACGCCCGCATAGTTCCAATTCCACTTCCCCCACAGCAACCGTCTTACGTGCAAATATTATTCAGACATGCCAGCGAACCGCAAAAGCAGTCAGTCATCTGTCCCCCGCCCTTCACCCTATCCACATACCCTTCGCGAACAAATGTCGTCAGTGAGCACACTGCGTGCACTAGTACCGACATCCGCAATTAGGCCCGACGATGCCGTTATCCTGTGTGTGCCGTTTCACTACATTAACTCCATCTGGCTTCTACAACTCCCGTTGTGATAGCGTCATAGGGAAAACAGGTTCCGGAATGAGCAATGTGAGTTGATGAAGATCGTCACCGTCTATAAGCTCGTCACTCATTGCGGATGACATCTAATAGTTCATCAACAAACTTACTGGGATGCAACCAGAGGATGGAGCGGGTGAACTCTTCTCCCGTACGACAGGCATCTATGCATACGAAAGCTATCGTAATGGGCAGCGGTTCATCTTCGTGGATACGCCAGGATTCAATAACCAGAAGATACCGCAAAGTGAAGTGTTCGAAGCAATAACTAGATGGCTGAAGGAGACGTGCGCAATTTTCGTTAACTTACAATATAACATTTGCCTAACATCTAAGCAGGCACCAGCACTCTATTAAGCTTACGGGTGTGATATACACCCATAGTGTAATGGACGACCGCTTGTCCGCCACCGATATGCAAAGTTTCCAGTTAATTACTCGCTTGTGCGGAAACGAAGCAGCTGATCGCGTTCGGCTGGTTACGACTATGTGCGACCAAGTGGAAAAGTCGATGGCTGAGGAGATGCAGAAGAAACTCGTGAGCGGACAGTGGCGGTCACTCATCAAAGCAGGGGCCCGTCCTGAGAGGTTCAACAATACCTCGGAAGCCGCCTGGAGTATCGTACAAGGTTTGGGAAACACGAAGAAGACTCTTCCAATTCAAAAGGAACCGGTTACTATCTGGCAAGTTTTCAAAGTCTGCGTCAGTCTGTTGCCACGTCCTGACCACTCACTCATAGCGGCCGTCTGAAACGGTGGCTCGGACACTCCCGAGTCGAGGGCTAGGAAATATGCGGATTGGAACAAGTTAGGGAAAGCCGGATCTGACTCGAAGAATCACTGTGATCTTGGACACTATCGGCATGTTCGATATTTACTGTTAACATCATCCCCCTTCCACTGGCTGGACTGTGCGCCTGGTCGTCACGAAAGTATATTATCGACCTGGTAGATTCCATTACGTATGTTATGGCTCGCTTTTATTGTCCTAGGGTTTTGGATGCACACGTATATAAGGTTCGAATGCATATATACCCACCATGGCTAGAGGCCAGAATGGACTTAACGATATTATTACGGCCCAGTTGAGGATGGGACACTTCATCACTTGAAAGCACGCTTAAACCTTCGTGAACAAGAGCGCTGTAATCCGTGTTTCTTTTACACGTCGATCGACCTACTTATAACGAACATCCTATTTAGTCTCAACCAAACCTCCACGTCACGGGTCTTTTCTGCATCAGCATCGTACGGCGCACCCATCGGAGACAATGGATCGTGCTCCGAGATGAGATTCTCCGTGTACGTCTCTCGTGCAGGGAACGCGACAGAGGTGACGTAGCATACCGCGGATGCGACGACAAACTGTATATTTACAAGGGGTGCGTGGTCAGCGAAAATGATTATTTTCCAACTCAAAACTGGTTTTCCCGTTCGTGACACGAGGAGAATGGAGGGAGGGAGAAATCGCAAGCGGAAGAAACTCACGCTGTACATCCACGGCCGGCATCGCTTCTCAATGATTCTCAGGTTCGATGCCCAACCGTGGGAGCATCGATCCTCTTCAACAAGGTCAACTCATGCTTCCCTTGCAACGATGCGACAGTACGGTCGAGGTAAACAAGGGCATTTATATCGTTGAGAATCAACGCATATTCCTTTGGGTTCGTCAGTTTGCGTTTCCGGCAAACGACTTCAAGTACTTCCTGCATGTGCACACCCGCGGAACTGGTAAGAGGAACGCAAAGAGTGATATCAGCGCCGTATTGGGGATGTTTGGTCTGCGGGAAAACTTACACGGGTATGGTCGTCGAGACGTAACAGGCGTCAGCGATCCCTGCAACTCTGATACGCAAGAATATAGGTGGGTCCTGATCAGATGATAAACGAAGTGACGAGGATAAGAGTGGAGTCGTCATCGGTCGTTCGGGACAAGGAACCATATCATTCAACGCGCTGCCTCCCGGACAATGCCACCCGTCATTGAAGCTTGAAGACCCGCAGATTTTTTTGTCACAAATACCCTAATCCATCCTTGTGAGGAGTTTGCGGGAGCGAACGAGCACGTGTCGAGCCAGTGTCCGCCCTTCACTAGTCACTAGTCACGGCTCCTTATATTGTGTATGTCTCCCTCAGGCGGCGTTGTCAACCCCACCACTATCCCTCTCAGCTAGCGGACACCCCAAAACCTCGTGTCAAACAGAGCCAGGGAAGTCTTCCTTCCGTGTTTACGCAGGCTTTTCCCCTTTGCTGCTCCGTACACTTATTATTCGGAGCGCATGATGCCGTCCCCCAGTAATACGAAGCGTTATGCAGAGGAATTTCGCAGCAAGGGCAATCTGTGTCTGAGCGAAAGCCTCGACATGTTTCATCTTTGATGTATTCACATCTCCCAATCGATCATCGATGATCTTTGGCACGTCAAGTTACCGTCTCACATCGTGACAATGCATCCTATCGCAAGGGAAACGTGCCTTGAGCTGTGTTTTAGCGGACTAACGCGACGGCAATAGACATGTATATCCTCCCATGGGGTCACTGCTGCACTGAAAACCCTATGACCATGATCGACTGCGCAATTTTGGATTTGACACACGTAGGTGGGACTCCTACAGAGTGTACTGACATGAGATTGCTACATTCAGTCATGGCGCCGCCCTGCTGCTAAATGTACAACTTGTACAGCGTCAGTCAAACGATCGGCAGGGCACCGGCAGTATACCACGAAATGTCAGGCGTGCGTATGATGATTGTTGGGCCAGCGGAGACACTATTGCAACTCGAGGGAGTGGATGAAGGGGAATTTCTGTCCATCTCTTTGCCTCGCGTTCTCGATAAGCTGTGTAGATATGATGTTGAGCGTCCGCCGGCTTTGGGTTACGTTGCCGTGGAATAGCCTCAAAGTTGGCACTCATGTCCAATGCTGTATTCCCTTGTAGGACTGTGACCAGCAACCAGCATCGGCCTCCCGCCTGCCTTTCGTTCTACGCTCGAAGGTGACCACCTGAAAGAATACCTTGTAGGCTCAGACATCTGGAAAGTATGTGTGATAACTAGTTGATGTGTCGAACCTTGTATTGACCTGTGAGAAGATGAAGTTACTAGACGTGAAAGCGGTTCTCGACCGCGAAAAGCACATCCAGCGGGCTGATCCCGAAAGTCAAGTCCTGAAGGAGTCTGACGATGAAGTTACTCGTTATGCGATACTGTCGCACCGCTGGAGTGGCGACTCGGAGGTCACTTACAAAGAGATGACTGCGCTCATGAAAATGGAGAGGCGGAATAGGGACGAGGTCCGGCAGCGCAGCGGTTACCAAAAGATCATCGAGAGCTGTAAACAAGCCAAGAAGGATGGCTACGAGTGGTTGTGGATCGATACCTGCTGCATCGACAAGCGTAGCAGTTCAGAGCTGTCGGAAGCCATTAACTCAATGTACCGGTGGTACCAAAACGCACAGGTGTGCTATGCGTATCTTAACGACGTTGAGGAGTTGGTCTTCCCTACTCAACAAGATGATAGCAAGTTCCCCAAGTCCCACGGTTGGCCGGAGTGGTTTGTACGGGGCTGGACACTGCAGGAACTCATCGCAGCGAAGCAAGTTGAATTTTTCAACAAGCACTGGAAACCCATTGGCAACAAGCAGCGCCTTGCACTGACGTTGGAGGACATCACAAAAATTCCACGCGAAGTTTTGAGGGATGGCCTGGGTGCGAAGTGTCTCTGTGTCGCACAAATCATGTCGTGGGCTGCGGACCGGAAGACGACACGTGTGGAAGATCGGGCATATTCGCTGATGGGGTTGTTCGGAGTGAACATGCCCATGTTGTATGGAGAGGGCACAAAGGCATTTCGGCGTCTACAACTAGAAATCGTCCGGGAATCCAGCGATCATAGCATATTCGCATGGCACTCATCGGGTTCGCGGTCGGGTAGTGCCTTGGCAGAAGATCCGAGCGACTTCCGGTTTTGCGGCCACGTGAGAAAGGTGGAACCCGGCGACTTTGTCGACAAAGTAATAGAGGAGTATATCGACGGCCCACAGCGCTTCCCCGGATGGAGCAAATGGGCCTGCCGCCGGAAACTCGCACGGGTGCGTAATGCTGGCACTGGATACTTGCAGAAATTGCGCACATTCACTGTCAGCAATGTGGGTATTCAAGTGTTCTTGCCCGTTATCCCCCTTCCCGACTCTCAGCCACCCTGCCTCAGGGTTATACTGGCATGTAGCAACCATGACTCCAGTCTCATTACCATAAATTTGGTATCCTCTGGATTCAGCTGTGACCGGACTGTCACTACGGACGCTCCCGCTCGGACGTATCCAGAGTTCTGGTTACTCTACCTTACTCATCATTTGAAGATGCCAATATGACTGGCCTCGGTTGTACATTCAACGACAAGCACGCTTTGTACCATGGATTTCCGGAGGCTCAGAGACTGCCAAATTAGGGCATAAGGATATGATCTAATGTTGGAATGTGTAGAATGTCAAGGAGAAAAACTTTCGAGTAGTGTTGACTAGTAGTGACTACTTAAAAGTGCTACATATTTCTTTCTGGAAGGTGCAAAGAAGCCTAGACATCAGGTTGAGTGGGTACAAATAAAGTACCAATAGAATGGCATCAATGAAGAAGAGGGGACATCCATGGCTACAGTCTCTCCACGGCCCGAGACAGTGGTGTGCAACTTGCTGAAAGGGTTGGATGATCCTCCAGAAGGGGAGAACATCGTGGTCAGGGCAGATAGTGGCACGGCATGTAGGTTTTTCGGATTAACAGGATTAAGTCTGCCATTGCTGTACTTACAGCATTTAAGTCACCGGTCACCCCCAGAACGGAGGGTTGCGAGACTATCAGATTATCCAGTGCCAGTTCTAGTTAACGGTACCCAGCCATTGTGTGGACATTTCGACGTAGGGGAGACCTGCGTGCATGTGCGTTGCTTGAAGGTTCTTGAAAAATCTCTGACAGAAATGCCCCCACACCCCACCCTGAACACGCACGAACAGCGTGGCCCCCTCTACCAGTTTGCGCAGTTACCATTCTACTCTCAGCCCATCGCCCCAGGCAGCTACTGAAACTCATACTGTCAACGACGATAACCTGACGTTCCCCTCGTACGAAGGAATCATTGCAAACTATGTTACCACCGCAGAGGCCACTGAACAGGCCTCGGAAGGCTCTACCTCGCTCCGAAATCAGATCCACTGACATCGTAATTATGTACGTGCTACCTCAATCACCCCTGGCGTGAGAGTACATCACACTGGTTCGCTAGTGTATTGGGAACAACGGGCTCAGGGATGAGCAATGTGAGTATATAGAGTCAGTCCGTAAATCTCAGGCAGCCACTGAACAAATGATTACAATGCAGTTCATCAACGTACTTACTGGCATGAAAATGGAGGATGGAGCGAACGGCTACATCTCTTGTACTGCGGACGTAATCGCTTATCCATGCTACCATGGTGGACAGCGCTACATCTTCGTGGACACTCCGGGTTTCAACGCAACGTATTCATCGCAAAAGGAGGTATTCGAAAAGATAGCGAAATGGCTGGCAGCGACGTACTCAATCCCACCCATTCCGAATCGGACCGTTGTTGACACTCGGACAGATACCAGGTGTCGAGATTGCAGTTCAACGGCGTGATCTATACACGTCGCATCACGGAAGCCAGGTGTCGTTCTGAACGAAGCAGCTTCCAAGTGTGTGCCAATATAGTTGGGAACGACGCTGCTGACCGCGTACGCCTGGTGACCACGATGTGGGATGAACTTGAAGACAAGTCAGCTGCGGAGAGCATGGAAAATAAGTTGAAAGAAGAGCAATGGCAATTGCTCATAAATGGGGGGGCAACCTGTCAAAGATTTTTCAATACACCAAGCTCAGCATGGGATATCGTGGAGAGTTTAGGAACGGAGAGAAAAGCGAGTCTCTTACTTCAAGAAGAGTTGGTTGATATCAAGAAGCCACTAAAGCAGACAACTGCTGGGATGCGGCTTCACAAGGAGTCTCCCGCTTCTCTCGGGTAGGTCATTGGTTTCACTCTTGATCTCGATGTGCCAAATTGACGGAAACATTCTACTGCCAGAGGTCTGCTAAAAAGACTTTTTGGAATTTAGTGCAGACAAAAGCGTTTCGCTCTTGGATATTCCACTTTGTTGCAAATTCTCAGAGGGCTCGACGAGGCAACGATGAAGCGTTGTTGTGGATCGACCATCCAGCCGAGTACTGCGTCCACACACTTTTGCAGGGTATTATTTCCAGGTGGCTCCTGGTCCTGTCGATTCAGGTGTCACAGAATTGCTTGCCACTCTGCTAGACACTGTCTCCACTACATGTTCACGCTGGATCCCGTAGGAGAGAGATGGACATTAGGTGGCCTTCTGCCGGGACTGCACAGGCTAGGTTTTCGTATATTTGATAGCACTGTTTTCTTTTGCTATTCGAGGACTTTGGTCTGAATTCCACTCGTGGAATGCCTCCTGTGTAAGACTGCATTCCAGGTTAACCAGAGTTTTGACTCGTAGCCCTGACCATCAGGGTTGAAGTAATAGATAGAACGCAGTTCATCAACCCACTCACTGTTATGGAACCGGGAGAGGAAGCGAGTAACCTCGTCTCTAGTAGGGAGGACCTGGAGACAGGAGGTACGGACACAGCCACAATGGTGCTTAATCAGACGGACCAAGACACGGACGTGTACCATGACACATACGGTTACACACATTATCCTACTTGCCTCGAGCTCAGCTCATCGTTCGGAGGTTCTTTCCCACTGTTCCATCGTGTACAAGACACGTGAAAGCTTACCCATATACCACCCGCGATAATCAATGTTATATCTTCGTGGATACTCCGGGCTTCAAGGGCACGTGTGTACAAATCAATGCAATGCTTGAGAACGTAGCGAATTGCTTGGAAGCGACGCACACTGTCTCATCTGTTACACTTTGGCACATCTTATTTAAACTGTGAGGGATACAGGGTGCCTAAACTACAGTTCGCCGGCGTCGTCTATACGCATCGTGCAATTGCGAGACCTGACTCAGGATCCGAACGAAGCAGCTTTCAGATGTGCCAAACTCGTCAGTGACAAGGCTACAGATCACGTACGCCTCGTGACGACAACGTAGGATGAACCTGAGGTGCACTCAAACGCTGATGACATGAAGGACAGGGAGGAAAGATAGCAAGGGGCAGTGGTTATCGCTCATGAAGGCAAGAGCAGTATTGCGGTTTCACAACACACCAGAGTTGGAATGGAACATCGTGCAGAGCCCAGGCACGAGGGAGGGGGCTCTTCTGCAAAGAGAGCTAGCTGATAGAATGCGGCCTTATGAGGAGCCCCCATTTTCCCTCAGGTAAGCCCTTAACATGGCCGATTTACCCTGACGTCAGCTTGACTGAAACGCGTTTTGTTGCCAGCGGTCTGCTAAAAATAAAGTTTCGAGTTCAGTACATACGCAAACCCTCGGAAGGTTCCGCCTGAAGGCCTCATCATACAGATCTTCAATGTCAGACGTCTCTCCGGCATCTGCCCGGCCATCCTGTAACAGTTGACTCCTTCAATATCAGACGAATTCCTAAAACTCTGGGCGACACCACATCATGCTCTTCTCCACGCAAGAAACTTCGACATAAGCCCACGATGCATTGGCCGTGACGTGACCTACTACAAATCCGGTGGATTCAGAAATCGCTGCGTCAGACTGTAGGCTAACGATTTTTCAAGAATTACTTACGATGCTACCGCTTTGCCGTTATTTTACCTGAAGATGCCTTTGCGGATGGTGGGACGACAATCGATGGCTCCGGCGGCCACACCCCAGCGACGGGTGGGGAAGATGGTTGCGGTACGCGCCGTGAAGAATTCCCGACACACTCGACCAAACCAGGTTCTTCTGGAAGCAAGGGAACTGCGGTCGTGGGATCGGACAGCCGAGACAAGTTGTGCTTCTGAAGAATCCGCATGTAGAATCCAATCATGATATTGGCCCCATGGGATAGCTCCTTTTGAGAAATACGCGTCAAGAGCTTCGGTAATCCCTTCGACGATGGGCGCACTCGCGATTTTTTGTGAAAGTAAGTCGAGCTCCATTTCCAACACAGCCGGGTGCCTATTTAGTCGTAGCACGATGAGATCAGTGGCAGGCATGTTAAAAACATACGGACCTCCCGGTAAATCCGCTCGCCAATTCTCGTAATAAGTTGTTTTCGTCGATGTCGCGACGAATAGAGTCGAATGCCAGATCACGGAGTTCGTCAATGTTGAGCTGGATCGATATTTGTTAGACTTTTCCTAGGCTGAAAGGAAATGCTTGCAAACCTTAGTCGCAAGACGGTACATTGACCTCGCCGAACACTCTGGCACCCGACTTGTGTTGGAATAAAACCCTCTATATCCGTGTAGTCCCGAAGACTTGAGCGGCGAAAACTCCACAGTGCCCATGTAGAGAAAGTGCAAGAGGCAATACCACCTAGCATTCGTTCAAGTATTGCACGCTACATTGCTGAGTTAGATACGACGTACGTCCGGAATGCAGCATCCTTGACAAAGATGTGGCAACCTCCACCTAGTGCCTGAAGCATAGCCGTTAGGTTGTATACTTGCAGATCCCTCGGAGGATAACCCGATTGAGTTTGCGACCTTCCGTTGGAGAAAATCATCATTTTTCTCCACATTCAGCATAGTTGGCACGCAAGTGCCTGGGTCTTTATTATCACTACCAGAACCTGCCCTCACTTGGATATGTGTGGGAGACACGGTGGTATCTTCTGAACATCGTAGCACCAAGATTGGTATTTTAATAGCTGAAATGGATGCACTGACCAGTATCGTCTTCGAGATCGCTGTCACTTTCGTATCCATACTCGGATAGGTCAATCCCGTCAAAAATCTCGTCGGTTGTTGCGATTTGCATCATGGCCGTACTCGCAGGGATCACATCCGAACTGAACACTGGTGAAAGGCGATGGGCACCTCGGAAGACATTATGATACCAGTGACAGGACAAAACTTACGATCAGCAAAGTACTCTGAGCTGCTCTTGAGGACGGTGGTGTTGGCATTCAACAGACAAGGGCCGATTACCCTAGACTTTGATCTGCGGGAGAAGACATGAAAATGAACATCGTTGATGTCTTTAGCCAACAATAGTTTTCTGAGTAGTTCTTCCGTCCATAGTGGGGTGCGGGTACTTGAGTTGAAGGACGGGGGCGACATCTGGGAAGTGGAGAAAATGGGCAAAGCTTCGCATATCTCAGGCTGCCCTTATATCCCCCCCACTTCCACTTCTCGAACAAGCAGGCTTCCATGCTCGTTAATTCAATGCGTGTGAACCTTGCACCCTGGACAGACACATGTATCAGGGCGTCTAGATTACAGTTTACGTACGGTGTGTGCGTGTCATGACTGCATGACCGAGACCCACAAGCTCTAGAGCCGGACGAAGCAACTAGTTGAGTTCCAGCACGACGCAGCAGATCGCGTACGCCTGGTGACAACAATTAATGTGAAATAAGTCCGAATCACGAAGGGCGGGACGATGTGGCTTTACCGGGGGCCAACAATGCAATTGAGTACCGCACCGCACGATGTTGCGATATGGATATGTATATGGAGAGAAAAGCTGGCATGAGTGTTGTGGGAGAGCTACAAGATCACGTGACGTGACTAGTTGAATCACGTGCCGCCGAATACTTTCGCGTGACGTCGTTCGTTTGAAGGCCCGGTGCTGCGATGGCGACGACAACGCGTCCAGCGTTGAAAATCCCAGTTGAAGAAAGCAAGGCGCAGCGCATTCAGAGGCAACAGGCCAGGTTCAGAGATCGAGGCGGGTGTGTGCTGCATGATAATACCTTACACATCCATTTGACTCTGACTTATGCAGCACATTCGTACCGTCGGGCAAGAACCCGCTCGCAGACATCTTGCTTGCACGTGCCGTCACTGGAGAGTCGCCGTCCAAGGCTAAGAGTCTCCACTCCAAAACCGAACGCGTCCCGCCGACGGTGTCTTCAGTCCCTAGGCCTGCGGCCGTTTCTCCTGGTCGCAATTCCTCCATCGCATCACGTCCAAAGGGTTCGGGCAGTCGGCTCGAGCGGCCTTTTTCAGAGAACCATAAATCCGTTGCAGGTGCGTTGTATTGTGTCTTCCCCCGTTGATCTTAATTTTCTCAAGCTTTATAGAGAGCTCAAAAGCGGCCGACAGGGTGACAGAAAGCGTGCCCAAGAAGAAGGCCTTCGAAGAGACGCAAAGTCACACATTCAGAAGGTTTGCTTTAGAAAACGTTTCTTTATTTTAACTTGACATTGTCCTGACGTAGAGGCTGACGAAAATGAAAACGAGGAGTCCTAAGCCACCACGGAAACGCAAAGCCCGTCCCAATAAGTCAGCACAGGGCAATACTACGACGTCAAAGCGCAAAGCTCGCACTGCTGCAATGCCCGTCATTAAAGAGGATATTGTCGAGTCTGGTCAGTTAGCCCTACTCGTGCAAATTTCGTTTCTTGAATAAATTATGCAGAGGATGATCAAACTCTAATCGAGGCTCCCCGCAAGGTGGATGGTCGCGGAAAGAAGCGCAGACCGGTCGTCACTGAGGACGCACATGACACGGGTGACGATGACCATTCGAGTACAAGGAAACAAGCGTCACGCTCGCAAAAGGTCCGCGAAAAGTCGTCGAGAAGTAAGCGCGCACTAGAGACTACGTCGAAAGGGTCGGAAGGTATACTGTGTCTCTTGGTCGTGACTATTACATATCCACCACTGACCATGTAGACGATGAGCTGGAGGTCATCCGCGAGTCAAGGACCAAGAAACGTCGGCCACCAGATGACGATGCTGGAGAGAAGAAGAGCGAGAAGGTCCCGAAGCCCACCAATAGCCGCGAGGCCGATATTGAAGTCAAGAAACCTAAAAAGGGGAAGACTGCCGTCCGTCATCAGGAGGATATCGCTGAACAACCTGTTGTTAAGAAGCCCAGCAAGAAGAGAGTTACCAAGGTCGACAACGTCGTCGGAGGCGAGTTAGATGATGACGTGTCTCGTCCTCGGAAACGGAAGAAAGCCATCCTCCACCAGGAAAACCAAGACGACCGACCTCCGAAGGTCGAAGAGGTCGAGCCCAAACTGTATGCGATAGTTTTTCAGCGTCTGCCTGACGTTGCTGACGTTTCCAAGACGTAGCCTCCCGTCCTCCAAGCTAAAAGAGAACACCACACGAGCTCCAAGCACTGATCCGAAGGTCAAGCCTACTTCCCGGAAACCTTCTAAAGGCCCTCCGCCAGACCTGCTAGAACGAATAAGAGCCATCGCCAATAACCACAGACCTGTTGACGACGAACCGGACCCACTCGACTGCCTCTCCTAAGTCGCCTTGCTATCATGAACGTTGTCCTCAGGAATTCCCGTTAGATCATTTATCCAGCGTCATTTCCGCACAGCTCTCATGTATCTCCGCTATCGATGTATTAAACCATCTAAATGAGTGTTGAGCCGCACCTAAGGGGATAGCTTTATCATAAATAATGTAGGTGCGAGTATAATCAATAGCTATACACGAATTCCAGTTCATCTCTTTCAGCGATTTAACGTTCGGGTCCCACCCTAGTTCTTCTGTGCGATGCCGAATTCTTGGGTCCAACGGCAGCTGCGGGGGATCAGGCGGCGTCATCGGGGTGACAGAATCCTGGCGGTCGTTCTGAGACGCCCTCCACCGGCGACGGGTCGACCTCATCTGACGAGTGTTGTGCGTCCTCTGCCTCGTCCATTCCTACGTCGTCGTCCGAACCTAGATCCATCGCTTGCTCGACGGACATGGTCACTTCAACATCTCCGCTATCCTCGTGCGCATCTGCTGGGTCTAAGTTCATCGTTGGCGAAGTGCCACTTTGGTCTGGCTGGGCATTACTGGATGAGGAAGATTTATGCTTCGATTTTTCGAGTTTCCTGAGGACCTTGGCAATGTACTCTTTTGCAAACTTCTTGATCTTCGCGGTCTTCTCGTCCGTGAGGGCATCCAAATTCCCTTCCTTGTAACTTGCCGACTTTTTCTCTTTCTCCGCGATGATATGCGTGAGCTGTTCACAGAACGCGAAAAATATCAGCCACCACAGAGGATCACGGACAGAAGCAAAAGTACTCGCCTCTTTAGCGTATTTCTTGAATTGGTCGTGGTCCAATTGCTTGGCATATCTGGACATGCACTTCACTATGACGCCGCCGATGAGCTTCACAAGACGCTTCTCCTTGTGTGCCTCTTTCTCCTCCTTTGTGTGGTGCTTCCGAGAAGATTTTGCCTTCTTTCTATGTTCGATCCTCAGGTATGGTTGGGAGAGCAGCAGCAGCGGCCGCGGCCGCGGCTACCCTGGCAGCTTCTGCCTCTGCGGCTGCTGTCGCAGCAGCTATGACAGCTGCAATGTCCTTCCGCTGCTCCGCCGCAACGTAGAGTGGCTTCTCGGGTGCCTGCGTCATCTTCACAGGTCGGGGTTCCGAGCAACTGGCCGACCGCGCAACAGGACTGGCAATCTTGAATTCAATACCGTCGCCTTCCCAGCGCGTCTTTTTGAGAGGCCGGGAGTCATCGTGAGAGTCGATGACGATGATCGTAGGACCGTCGTCATTTTCTTCCTCACCGTTCTGTAGGAGACGAAGGTCATAATTATCACGAAGATACTGCCGCACGGGACGAGGTACATACTGCCTTTAGGCGTTTCGGTATTCGATAGGCAACTTCGAGGGAATCCCAATATTCGAGAAGCTGTATGCATGGTGAGATTCCGTCTCAGACAGGAAGAGATCACAACTCACCTTGATTGCCAAGCCTTTCATGGTCTCATTCTCAGATCCCTGGCACGCCTGCACTGGTACCAGAATCTTTGAATCTTCCACTTTATTCCGCTGAATAAGAGGCCATTTTGCCATGACTTCAAGCGCCTACAGAGTTTTCAACACAATCTGTTCATCGGGGAGAAGAAAAGATACGCACGGCGATCGAGATGTCGATATCCGTTGCGTAGTCTGTAAGTATATTGTTCATCACGCTGAAGCCACGTAAGCGCATGATCTGGCGCATAGCAGCTTCGTTATCTGTAATCTTTACGTGCGGCCGGTGAGCAGAGCTGACGGAATATGCGATCGATGATCCAAAGCACCTTGATACGTGTTAAAAGCTTCAATAGAACCTTCCTACTCTGCGTCTGACGCATGGCCTGTACAACTTTGGGTACGTCCTTCTCCACTAGAGGTTTGACCTCGGGCTGAAGGATATTAGTCAGACGATGGTAGTATAGAACGAGGCGCACTTACAAGGTAGTCCTCATCGAGTTTTTTGCTCTTCCGCTTCTTGCTGCCTTTAAGCCCAAGCTTCTCAACCTCATCTGTGATACCAAGCGCTGAAAGCGGAAAAGTGAGTCGCTGAACTTGAACGAGAAACGTCTGGCTTACCGTCCAAATAGAGGTCGTCCATGGCTGCGATATCAGTCTGGGTCTTGCCACCGAGGTAGCCAACGCAATTGGGTTCCCCGCAATAGCACGGTTGTGCATCATGTCTGCAAGGATACATCAGCGATCCGCAGACACTTGACAAGACACGCATATACCCATAACGGTCCACGTTGTAGTTGAATGTCAGCTCTTCATCCTTCTGGATAGAACGTTTTGCGAATATGCCCATCCGCACAAGTTTTCCAACCGTCCACTTTGCGACATAGCAGTTAGGACTGCAACTATGGTTGGCAAAGCGGCCGATGCCCCCTCGCTTTGTTGCATCAATGTACTGAGAGCGGTAAACCGAATTAGGGGGCGTGGGATAGGCAAAAGAAGCTAAGTTATCCCCTCACCTCGTCCTTCTGCAGCATCATGAAGTAGAAGTGTCGAATACCTTCTTCCGCATACTCCCGCATTCGTTTCTTGAATGACGGATGACTGACCACATCGCCAACATATTCATATATAAACGTATCCCTGAAAAAACGTGGTGTCAGCCGTCAGCCTAGCAACTTGATCGTATAACTAGCGCACTTTGGTATGTCAGCAGCAGCACGAAGCCCGTAGCCCTTCTTCTCCGTTAAGACGATTTCCATCCGGGCATATTCTTTGCGTTGGAACCTGAGGAGCACAGTTGTGGTTAGCAATGGGAGATTGCTAGATACCACACGCAAAGAGAGCCTACCGTTGGTTTTGACAATATGAACGACACCGACAGTCCTCCGGGAGACACTCTACCTGCGTGAGCCGATTGATGCAGTCCGAGTCATGCCCACATGCGTCGGATGGGTCACCTGCACCTGCAAGCCAGCAACCCCCGAGTACAACAACGTACTAGTCACTACATAGGATACCAGTTGAAAACCGCCCGACTGACCAGGTTCGTATTGACAGTCGCAAGTCATGCCCTCAAGGGCCTCCCTGGATCGCCCAAGGGTAGAGTACTGGTAGTGGTTGTCACCAATTTCAACAAAGGTAGTCCGTGCCTCCTCCTCTGCGAGCGGAAGATCGCCTATGAGCTGTGGTCCGGTACGTCTGTGCCTATTGTTGGGTGCTGGAGTACTTGTCTCCGAAGGCTCCCGCTTGGGAGGCGGGGACGACTCAGACTTTACAGGTTCGGACGGTGTCTCAGGTGGCAACTGGGCATCTTGTTCTTCGGGCTTGGTGATCTCTTCTTGCTTGACGTCTTCCGGCTTGAGAGCAGTAGCTGAGGGAGGGCTCTGACTCCGAGACCGAGATTTGGACATTGTGGCAGAAGGGAAAAATGTGAGCAAGCAACACGTTCGCAGTCGCAGCGCCCTGGCCGATGGGCCCAAACCGAAATGACTATGGTAGCAATCTGTACAGCGTCGTAGGGCGAGCTGCACCGAGCCTAGATAACGGCCTTCAGTATAGAATAATTAGATGAATAGATTGATGTGGGGGCTGACCTTACAACTTGCCGTGGGATCCAAAATCCTCTGAAGTATGGCAGTTTTGTCACTTTGCCTGTGTCAGTGCGGCAAATGGCCCCCACTTCAGTTTCAAAAAAGCGTAAGCGCAGTGAAGCTGGAGACGACGCAAAGGCCTCCTTTGTGCTGTCCACCCAGTCTAAATCGCAACTGGGCCCTGTTCTCGGTGGGTTCCCTGGCCTTGTTGATGATAGTTCAAGGGAAGCCTGATCAACTCCTGACCACCGTCTCAACCCAGCTAATTTCCCCTCCGTCAAACCCTCAAAATCAACTACATTCAGTTGCTACCAGACCAGGGGCAATGCGAAAGCTGTAGGAGACGCGGACGACGCCGAGTTCGTTGATTTGCCCACTCTCATTGCCGGGGAAACCGACTCCGTCGACTTCCACTCGGCCAACCAAGCTACAGGATGTCGGTGCGCTTACTCTAAGCTACTATTCTATACTACCTTTCTGACACCCCTTACCTGCCTTCTTACAGGTACTTGGTCGGCGTGCACGACAAGAAAACTGGCAAAACCACTATCCGTCCGGCACCTCTCCACATCCTTACACGCGATGTTAAGGCTCTTAAAGGCCAAGAACCTATAGCTGTCTCAGTGCTCCAGCGGCTGGAAGCTCGTGCTGCACTGGGTGAGTCGTTTGGTACCAAAAAGGCCAAACTGGCCATCAAGGCACAGGAGCGGAATAAGGTCGATGTCTCTGCCATGGAAACTGTGGTAGATCATCTGCAGGAGAGCATACAAAAGAGCACTCAGGCTCTGCCGTCCAAAGGTTCGCTTTTCCGTTCTCTCTATATCGCTTCAACCTAATTAGGGGGGTCATCAGAGGAGGCTCAGGCCACGGCTGATAGCACGCGTTTGGTTCCTCCTTATAACGCGGAAGCTACTGTCCCTAGCGAAGTTTATCCCCTCCACAATATAATCCCTGAGACAGAATGGAAAACACTATCTGAGGCTCCGTTTTTGGTCGTTGGACAAAACCAACGAATACCGCTCCTTCCCTTTCAAAGATCCAAATGGATCAATCAGCGTTTGCATTCAATCTGCGACTCTTCATCTCCTAGCAAAACTGACATGTGCGTCTTCCGCGTATTCAAAGGTCGCCCGCTGACTTCTTAACCAGCAAGATTCTTCAGTACATCGCGTATATGATGCTGTTCCGGCAATTGGCCATCCAAAGCAATCTTGGAAAAGTTTCTCTGCAAGAGAAGTTAACCTCTATGCCGTCCGTTGTTGCAGACGGTCTGTTGTCTCGATTCACGGAGAGTGCAAGGACGTCTTCCAAGTCAATGCTTCCCTCCCTTCCTACGTACCGGAGAAGCTGACACATTATGGTTATGGTCGAATAGGTCACAATTCACGTCTCAGAAAGAGACGCTGCTGCTAACACACATGTTCGCACTGTGCCTGCGTGTTGATGATTACGCAACGAATACTGAAATAATAGCCAAAGATCTGAGTCAGTCCTACACAGTCGTAAGTGAGATGTAGCTTGCGCCAAGCATTCCCTAATCTTACTTCTTGGATAGCATTAATACGCTCTTCAAGTCATTGGGTATGTTCTTACGGTCTTCCCAGTGGACATTACATGTTGATGTGTTGTAGGATGCCAGATCACTAAGCTCACTGTTGCGGACCTGAAAAGGCTTGGTCTTCCCGACAGTGCTGCAGAGACGAAACACGCATTACTCAAGGTTCCGCTGGAGTTTCCAAAGCCGCGTGGTAAACGTCGACATGGATAGGAACGACGATAGGAAATTGAACACACGTTTTGGTTCTCATGCATTACTTCAGTGTCCTCACCATCTTCGATTCCCTTCATATAAGCACAGGGTTTCTGAATGGAAACTCGATGTCAAATGTACAGGTAAATAGTATATAAAAATATACAAGTCATTCCGGAGCCTTCAACCGTGCCTCCCATCTTTAATCCTTCGGTACCCGAATAACAACCTCTCCGACATGCTTTTGCGATTCTAAGCGTACGCGTCTATCGTCTGTTAGAAAAATAAGGCCTTCAGCAGCGGGAGGGGGGTTACAAGCTGCGAACAAGCAATTCATATCCTCGAATCTTCACGTACTGTGAGTGGATGTCATCCAACAGAACAGATCGGATTTACTGCATAATGGAACTCACAATAATACTGTGGAATGTAATAGCAATTTAGATGACAGTATTTACCGGAATCTCTTGTTCACCCTTGAGCATGTCAGTGCCAGTTGTTCCACCCACACTCGCGAACGTACCCTGGCACGAAGCCCATAATGCGAGCCCATCCAGAGTCCTCAACATCCACATTAGACTTCTGAAGCACGTTCGGTCTGCCCACTTCGCTGACGTAGTCGACCCTCTGCCTCCAGTCTGCGAAGCAGGAAGCCTTGATTTTCTACCAATGTAGAGGAAATCAAGGTTGACGCACAATTTTTCTGACAACCTCATCTCAGCTCGGGCTCTTCTCGCAATTGACTCGATGCTGCACACCTAGTTTCCTCACTACCCCTAACTTCTCATCTGACGAGGATGTCGCGATTACATTCGCACCTGACGCAAGAGCTATCCCAACAGCGAAACTACATTACAATCAGCCGTCATCGATATCCTAAATGCATTTTTTTTGAATGGGCATACGTGGGCACATCATCTGTTCCAAGAGCAAGAACATAGTCTTCGCCTTTCGGGGACCTGGATCTCACAAGCCCGTTGTACGCCGTCAGCACCGCACACCTGTCATGTGTAATTTAACCCAACCGCGTTAGACACGGTGTAGAACCTGCAGTAGCGTCGAAGCCTCTTCATGGGACAGGTGATCAGGGACAGGTACAATAGACTGTCTTGAGATTCAGTGACAGTGCCATGGCCTGGGAACGCACACGCACATAAGCAAGAACATTGATGTATTTCCTTCGGATGCCATCAGTGTACCCACAGAGGGCACTGTTTTGATTCCCTCCGTCAGATTCCACAAGCGTGTTCTGGTGCGAAGTTAGGGTAGACGCACCCTCCAGTCCTCCACCGTTTGACATCCGCTCCAACTGCCACGACCTCACCTGCGCCGTCTGTGCACGGAACCAATCGTTCGCTACGCTGGAATTCCCCCCACCTTCAAACGAGGAACGGCAGATAGCGCAAGATGGCATATACACCCTCCATATCTGTGATGAGCCATGAGCAGATCACAGTACTACGCGAAGACAGGCTCAGTAGCATGTCGATATGCGAAAGCGGGTTGCTTGTCTGAAGGGATACAGCGTGGATCCCGAATGTACTTCTCTTGCTCGCGAAGGCGATATCGTAAGAAGCTTGCACAAGCCTTAAGTTCGCGGAGGTTTGTCACTCTGTCAAAGTAGTACCTGTTCTTCGTATATATTAACCAACTGTCAAAGCTCTCAAGAAAACTCACTAGTCGATATTGATCCATGAATCGTCGGAGCTAACTTTACTGGCATGTTCACTGTCCGCCGTTTGCTGCCTCGCACCGGTCAATACTAATGCAGCTTGTTGTGTACGGTAAAGGTCATAGACGATGCATCGTACTGTGAGAGGGTTTGCATAACGTGACAACGTCAATGGTAATTACACTTGACAATTGTTGATCTTACAAGGTTATTTCAGGAGTGGGGGAGGCTACTGAGACGTTAAAGTATTTGGTCGACCCAGGATGCTCTCGGGATGGTTCAAGCTGCTTCAACTAGTGCTCCCATAAGAGTGGACGTGTCCCGGAGGGGGGGAAATTTGGTAGCCCGGATCTGAAGGTACGAGTTTTTGCTTCCTCGAGCTCGAGTGGTGATCACCTAGGCACGATGGAGCGGCTGCGTCATTGCGGGCACGTGGCAGCTGTGCTAGTTGGTCCTCACAGCAATCTGCACATCCACAGCCCTTCAAGTTACTCTGTCCTCGTTGACACTCACTCTCCAATCGAGCTCGCAAACCTCATACGAAATACCCATTTCTCAATGGATAACGATCGGTCAAAGAAACGTCTCTTCAGCGCTGCGGATCCATCCACCTTTTATCCACCCTCAGTAGGGCGCTCATTCATTTCTGTCGATGGTGTCTGTCGACTTACTCATTTCTTCGCAATGTCCGGTAAGCAGTCAAAGAAACGTCGCACTAGCGTTACGAACCGACCCAACTTCGACCATTCCACGGTATGTAGATTACTCCTTGCGATGGTATATATCAATTGGCCAAAAATCACTCACAGGGTGCATCCCAGGTTACTGCTGGGCACTTACCCTCTGACAGTCAAGCGTTGGGCAGCGGCTCTCAAGGGCCAATGTCGTCATTCTCTCATCCGTCCGAGCCAAGTTGCCCAGCTTCCATCACCGGAGAGAGCGATGACGCACATATTGGCCAGGGTGCATACGAACAAAGAGAACAAGGGCACCTTCAGGCTGCTGCAACGAATGAAGTATGTAATCTACTCCCTTGTAATATTGCAAAGATTCTGAATGGGCTCCCTGGACAGACTCAGAGGTCAGCCATTGAGCCAACTTTCAGGATGGGTTCCACATCGAATATCGGTGAAGATGCTATTTTCCTTCCCGGTGTTGCAAGTGCGACATTCGCTGAGACTCAAAGCCCTCCCGATACGTATCTAAAACCGTTCAGAGATTTCAACCATGTCGTTACCACCATTACTAAGGTGGGCACTCATTTCTCTACGTTCATCCGCTGACTGCACGCCTGCGCCAGATCCATCCCAATGCCCGGATGACACTGAGAATGTTGGCAGCCGTTTCTCAGGTAGGTTCTCATTCTTGGATGCACTCTTCATCTTACGTAGTCGAACGTAGATGTTCGTAGTTCAAGAGATCCGAGACGAGCGGCTGTCTCGCCTGCTGGACGCGATCAGAAAGGTTTACGAATTTCTCACGAAAGAAACTACCCCCAAGGATATGTCTGGGATGCGGGAAACCTTCGCGAAGATCGCACTGATGACCAGTGGTGCGGTGCAGTTCATCAAGAATTATTCCGCGTCAGAGGACTTCTGTACGTCCATCCCACTTGCTCATCTCCCAAGCCTAATGTAACGTGGTATCAGGGAAGAAATCCGGGAAAGATGTAGAATATGAGACGCAGGACGTTTCCATTGCATACATCCAGGCGCTAGACGACCTGATGGAACAATACCGGCGCCGCGAAGATCGGGGCGTTCGGGTTGATGCGTTCCGCGTACTTGAAGACCTGAACTTGGACGGTTTGGGCCGTGCCAGAGGTGCAGGTCCCAATTGGACCTAAGAAATGCCTTGACGGGACTAGAACTGAAGTCCTTACGGAGATTATCGACTGGATCTATGACACCGATGAAAATGTTCCGCGCATTCTCTGGCTCCGTGGGCAGGCTGGCAAAGGGAAATCTGCTATTGCGCATACGATCGCTCTGTGGTTTAAGAACGTTGGGGGGGTCGGGTCTTGTTTTTGCTTTTCCCGTGACTGGCAGGCAGAGCACCTTGAAGAAAAGATATTCAGGACAATCGCTTGCGATTTGGCAGAACGTGATCCCGCATTCCGGCGAGCCTTAGCGGGTGCACTTGCGACAGATGATTCTCTGAAGACCACCTCTGACGTCGCGCTGCAGTGGCAGAAGCTCATCTTGGAACCTTTGTGTGAGGTCTCTGGTCATATGGTTGGGAATGTGGTCATCGTCGTCGACGCATTGGACGAAAGCGGTCCAGAACGATCGCGGAAGCGCCTGTTGTCGGTGCTTGCGTCTGCGCAGGCTGCTGACTTGCCTCGCAATGTTCGCATCCTCGTAACATCCCGTCCATTTCCTGATATCGAGCATGAATTCAGTGCCGCTCGGCATGTGAAGACGGCCTCGTTGGACGACATCCCTGCGGCGTCAGAGGAAAATGATATCCGTCTGTATATTATGAGAAGACTGGGGCCTCTTCGGGATATTGGAGCCATCGAAGTCTATAGGATTGCCCAGAAGGCGGAAGGTCTGTTTGAATGGGCCCGTCTGGCCTGCGAATTCGTAAACCCGGGTCGTACGGTCAAGAACGGAACAGTCAAGGAACGCTTCAACAATATCATGCTTCTTCGGTCAGGTGGACTTCTGGACGCCATGTACCAAGCGATTCTCAAGAATGCCATCCCCAATGACCAGATTGCGCTCACGCAATTCCGCTCTGTCATGCAGCAGATCATTTCGACCCTCGAACCTCTGCAGATAGATGCACTATGCAAGATGCGCAGTCACTTCCCTGCCAACGAGGATCGTCATGACATGGTTGCCATTCTTGAATCCATGTCCCTGCTATTGGGTGGCGTTACAGACCGGTCTTCTCCTGTCCGACCACTACATGCATCGTTCTATGACTTCCTGATTGACCCTGCACGGAGTCAGACATACTTTGTTGGTGAACCCAACATGCACAACCTTGCGTTCGCCTCATTGCGGATTCTTTCGGATGACCTGCGTTTCAATATATGTGGACTTGAAAGTTCATACTTCAGTAACTCCGAGGTTGCTGGTTTGGAAGAGAGAATCAACGAAAATATTCCACCCCATCTATCTTACTCATGCAGGTTCTGGGCCCAACATCTGGAGAGAACAGCATTTGACTTGGGAATTGCGAAATTGGTGGAGGGGGTGCTTGGAAGTGAAAAGCTACTCTTCTGGCTAGAGGCTCTAAGCCTTCTTGGTGTGTTGGGAAATGCTACAGATGCTCTTAGGTGCACTGTAATGTGGCTGCTTGTGAGTATTCAGTTTTCATGTCTGATATCAACTAATGTCAAGTCAAAGACACAAAGTGGTTTTGAAGAGACCATAGCATTGGCACAAGATGGAATCAAGTTCATTCACAACTTTGGCAGTGCAATCTCACACAGTGCTCCACACCTTTATGTCTCTGCACTGCCATTTACCCCTTTGAATACCATGGTAGCAAAAATGTTCATGCCAAAATTCTCATCCCTTGTTCAAGTTGCTCTTGGAGGACTTGAAGATTGGCCAGCTGTCCAGCTTTCCTTACAGGGGCACAATGCTGAAGTCAGCTCAGTTGCATTCTCCCCTGATGGGAAGAGGATTGTCTCAGGCTCTTGGGACAACACTGTGAGGGTCTGGGATGCTGAGAGAGGTGTCCAAATTGGCAGCCCTCTTGAGAGGCATACTTTGTCAGTCAACTCAGTTGCATTCTCCCCTGATGGGAAGAGGATTGTCTCAGGCTCAGAGGACAAGACTGTGAGGGTCTGGGATGCTGAGAGAGGTGTCCAAATTGGCAGCTCTCTTGAGGGGCATACTTCATCAATCAACTCAGTTGCATTCTCCCCTGATGGGAAGAGGATTGTCTCAGGCTCTTGGGACAACACTGTGAGGGTCTGGGATGCTGAGAGAGGTGTCCAAATTGGCAGCCCCCTTGAGGGGCATACAGAGTCAGTCAACTCAGTTGCATTTTCCCCTGATGGGAAGAGGATTGTCTCAGGCTCTTGGGACAACACTGTGAGGGTCTGGGATGCTGAGAGAGGTGTCCAAATTGGCAGCCCTCTTAAGGGGCATACAGAGTCAGTCAACTCAGTTGCATTCTCCCCTGATGGGAAGAGGATTGTCTCAGGCTCTTGGGACAACACTGTGAGGGTCTGGGATGCTGAGAGAGGTGTCCAAATTGGCAGCCCTCTTGAGGGGCATACTTTGTCAGTCCACTCAGTTGCATTCTCCCCTGATGGGAAGAGGATTGTCTCAGGCTCAAGGGACAACACTGTGAGGGTCTGGGATGCTGAGAGAGGTGTCCAAATTGGCAGCCCTCTTGAGGGGCATACTTCATCAGTCTACTCAGTTACATTCTCCCCTGATGGGAAGAGGATTGTCTCAGGCTCAAGGGACAACACTGTGAGGGTCTGGGATGCTGAGAGAGGTGTGAAAATTGGCAGCCCTCTTGAGGGGCATACTTTGTCAGTCTACTCAGTTGCATTCTCCCCTGATGGGAAGAGGATTGTCTCAGGCTCTTGGGACAACACTGTGAGGGTCTGGGATGCTGAGAGAGGTGTCCAAATTGGCAGCCCTCTTGAGGGGCATACAGAGTCAGTCAACTCAGTTGCATTCTCCCCTGATGGGAAGAGGATTGTCTCAGGCTCAGAGGACAAGACTGTGAGGGTCTGGGATGCTGAGAGAGGTGTCCAAATTGGCAGCCCTCTTGAAGGGCATACTTCATCAGCCAACTCAGTTGCATTCTCCCCTGATGGGAAGAGGATTGTCTCAGGCTCTTGGGACAAGACTGTGAGGATCTGGGATGCTGAGAGAGGTGTCCAAATTGGCAGCCCTCTTGAGGGGCATACTTTGTCAGTCCACTCAGTTGCATTCTCCCCTGATGGGAAGAGGATTGTCTCAGGCTCAAGGGACAACACTGTGAGGGTCTGGGATGCTGAGAGAGGTGTCCAAATTGGCAGCCCTCTTGAGAGGCATACTTCATCAGTCTACTCAGTTGCATTCTCCCCTGATGGGAAGAGGATTGTCTCAGGCTCTTGGGACAACACTGTGAGGGTCTGGGATGCTGAGAGAAGTGTCCAAATTGGTAGCCCTCTTGAGGGGCATACTTTGTCAGTCTACTCAGTTGCATTCTCCCCTGATGGAAAGAGGATTGTCTCAGGCTCAAGGGACAACACTGTGAGGGTCTGGGATGCTGAGAGAGGTGTGAAAATTGGCAGCCCTCTTGAGGGGCATACAAAGTCAGTCAACTCAGTTGCATTCTCCCCTGATGGGAAGAGGATTGTCTCAGGCTCTTTGGACAGGACTGTGATGGTCTGGGATGCTGAGAGAGGTGTCCAAATTGGCTGTCCTCTGGAGGGGCATAGAGTTGCAGCATGCCTTGTTTGTTTCTCATCAAACCCTTCACATGCAGTTCATGACACTGCACAACTTCTTGATGGACTTCAATATGAGGATGTGGTCATGAGGAATGAACCCATCAAGTTACACAGTGATGGCTGGGTCAGAGGACCAAAGGGTAGACTGTTACTTTGGATACCCCCAACCTTCTGGGGGCAGTGGTACTCGATGTGGACCAGGGTAGTCATTCCCAGGGGCTCTCGCATAGAGCTGGACTTGAGTCAGACAGCTCATGGCAATAGATGGCATGAATGTTTCAAGCTACCTGCCTAGTCTTTCCATTGCAGCACATGAGTTTGTATCTCTTTGCATGTAAACAATAGTGGTAATACCTGTGATTAGTAAGGATTGACCAATGTCATATCATGATTGCCAACTCAACAGGTTCAGATTTAGATGAAAATTGTCTTGATGGTGGAAACAGCATCCCCTCTAGTTAGTTTCACCACATGGCCAACAATATTTAAGACAGTAAAACTTGTAGTAGAAAATCCAAAGCTTAGATTCTAAAATTATAATTACAAAATTTCTGAGAGGGACAAAGTTCAAAGCCTTCTCCATTGTCTGTAGTGCACTGATGACTTGGGGTTTGCATAATTGTGCAGTCAGTTACAAAATGTCTGACCAAATTTGCATGCTTTACATAGTCTAGGTGCAGAAACTCCATGGTTTACAAAAGGTATTATAGATCAATTTACATAAGACAGGAATTCAGGATAGTGTACACACCGGACGCAAGGTATAAGAAAACCAGCGAACATTGGGAAAGTAAGTTACACTTGGCTGAGTGGTTCATAACCTCTCCGGCTCGAACTGGTTGTCATCCTCAAACCAAGTTTTGCAAGAAGGCTCTTACTTCTACTTCCGCCGTCGTGGTCACGCTCGAATTCGCCCCGTCCGGCATCTCTCTTCCTTTTCCCCTCCTCGAATCCTTCAGGAGGTACATCGTATACCTGTCCATAATCCACCCCCACTTCCTTCCCCATCGTCCAGAAGTCTCGACAATTCCGGACCAACCCAAGGTCGAACGGATTCCGGGCACGAGCAGAAGAAGACCCGAGGGCTAGACCGTGAGCGGCACGACCACGGGTAAAACGATCGAGTCCAACAAGGTTGAGGAGAAATGCTCCACAAGTTCCTGGAGCTGAAAGTGCTTTACATAACCCCACATGATGATGTCGATGTTTGGGTTTCCCCTCGCCTTCACTCTCTTCGTCTCCTCGGTCATTGTTCACCGCGTGGTGGTGACGGTGACCCATTTGAATGCCAGTGGCTCCGCTGCCAGCCGCAAGACCACCTCGACCACCCATGGATCCATAGCGACCAAGGTTGGACACTTCGAGAGTTGTAAGCTGGCGAGCAACTTGCCAGAATTGTGTGACCAAAAGAACTGAAGTCCAGGTCAATTGCAAAGTGGACCACAGCGACACCGAGAGAAGGAAGGAATCGATCGCTGCAGGAACACAGAAAATAGGAGAGCAATCAGCCGCGATATTGTCCGGAGCGGTGGCAGATGCATAGACTGTATGAGAGGGAGTAAGCGGGGCGGCGAGATTTCGTTGGTTCGGTGGACTTACGCTCATAGGTCAAATAGTCGAAAAGAATAATGCCCGTGACTAACGTAGTGACGAACATAAGGAATTGTCGGTGATTGTTAGAGCCGACTGAAAATAAATGTGAGAAATTGAGTGTTTGAAGTCATAGTAGGTACACACCACAATTCCATATCCAGGGACAATGGCTGTGGACGGTATGTAAAATGGTAAAAACAGCTACAACTCCAGAAACTTACTGATCACTTCTAGCCACACATCGATCGCACATACGACAATGCTTTGAGCGAAGAGGTTTCTTTGCCTGGAGGAAATAACTGAGGAATCCTGAAGTGGCGGCAGCGACACCCACGACGTACCATGCATTGTATGCAGAACGTTTGACCATTAAGTCGCCCTTCTGAAGCGAGGTCCTCAATGATCTGCGACAACACCAAGCTAATGATATGATCATAGGTTTAAGGAACGGAACAGCTTACAGCCTTGAGCTCTCCATCATTGACTGGACGAGGACATGTACCAGGGTCGAGCATAATTGCTCGGAAGAAATTATACACACAAAGTCCCATATTCAGTGCGAATGCCAGATGGATGAATGGGTGGTTTGGAGGCTCTGATCGAATAAATAAGTCGCACACCCTAGCACTTAACAGTAAGTAGGCTTACGTGTAACTAATCTTGTGAGCCAAGCATAACCAACCCATGTCATCGAACCCGCGATGATACCCGCGAAATATGGACTTTGGTTAACAGTCTCCACGTACGAATCTTTGTTCAAGAGTACACGGGTAACGATCTGCTCGAGAAGACATTAAACCATATCCCGTAGCAGAGAAATAACTCACATGATGAAGAGCGAAAAATTCCGCCATAGCCAGTACCATTCCAGTATACCATGGCAAGATTGACAAGGTGGTAAATATGATATAGAGGAATAGCGCAGGTAAGACAAAAATTGCAACACGAGTATTTCTCTAGGGCCAGCGTCAGAGGAGACTTTGCACTAATAAACAGGACCTACCTCACTCAAAGGCTTTGCTTTCTTGACACCGAATTCATTCATACCACCCTCCTCCATGGAACGCTTCCAGGCACCGAAGCTTTTGAGTTCGACAGCCATGTCTCTAGGAGTGCGACCCTCGGCGTCTTTTGCATGGATATCGGCTCCTATCTCTACAAGTCGGCGAAGAATAGCTCTGTTGCCTCTAACAACAGCCCAGTGCAACGGCGACAGGCCGACATCGTCTTTAAGATTCGGGTTTGCGCCGTGCTTCAGCAGTAAGTCGACGGACAATGCATCACCCTGGTAAGCGGCCCACATCAAAGGCGTGTGCCCCTGCATATCACGAGAATCAACGTTAACGGGTTGGTGAAGAAGGTATAGCAGCGGCATGACGGAGGATGAATGGGTAACAAGGTGGAGAGCATTGTACCCTTGGGTGTCAATGAAATTTGGATCTGCGTTACGAGATATCAGGAGATGGATCACGTAGAGGTACCCGTTTCGTGCAGCCCACTGCAAAGGGGTAGCTTGTAAATCGCCCCCAACCGCATCTACTTCTGCACCTTGCTCTATGAGGTAACGACAAGTAGCCAGCTGCGCGTTGATCGCTGCCCAATGAAGAGGCGTACTAGGGGGGAGTGTGTAAATGACGATGGTGTAATTGAACGTCGAAGACTTACACGTTTTGACTATCTCTATCATTGACGGTTGCTTTTCCGGATTCGACCAGTTCTCGGATGGTAGCAAGGTCACCTCGCTGCGCTGCCGCAATAATCTCGGTCTGAAAACGTCATGAGTGTATACGAACTCTCGATGCAGAAGAGTCGCTCCGCACCGCTACTGGCTGCGTCGGACGGGCGAACGAGAGGTCCGTTGCTGATGCCTGTTCGGTGTCTACCCTTGCCGTGGGTTCGCCCTTCTGGCCTTGCCCTTGCTCATTCATTGTCGCGGTGCAGTGTTGGCTGCGTGGCGGGGGCTTCGGCACTAGTCGAGTGGCTGTCCGCCAATAACAGGCTTGGAAACATGTGACTAACCCTAATATCTTTTCAGCTAACCCTATTACTGGGTTGGGGTTAGCACGTTGTCTGGACCTCCCATGTTGACCGTCGATCTCTTGGTGGTCTTTACTCTGAGGTCAGTCTCCTGTGCTCACGAGCAGGGTGTCAAGTTTTCTGAGCGTGTTCCTACAGCATAGGACTCTTCACAGTCTGCCGAGTGTTTCTGCAGAAGCGGCTGTACAGTGGCTTGCAGCAGCTTGCACCTCAGCTCCAGGATCCCAGCAGTGGCCTCCCACAATCTGCCACCACACCAAAATCGAATCCAGCTAAGTATTCGTGGCACTCGGCCCTTGCTCAATCATGCTTCTCTGTTTGCTTCGTCGAATGCTGCGTCCTTTTCGCCATGCTGATGTGCCAAGGGTTTGGCGTCCTAAATCCGCAGCAAGTACCCAGCTGCATGGGGAGGTGTGTTGTACGCTGATTGGACATGTGATCTTCCAGGGCTAGGTTGTACAGCTGGAAAGCTTCACTTCTGTTCTTGCTAGGTACGATTACCGTCCTGGTGCCTGCCTCGTTTTCCATGCTTCTTACCTACCGGACGGGTATGTCCAATTGTGCCATGGATCAATGTCCGAGCAGATCTCACCCCCATCCGCTCCACAGAAACACCGAGCCTTTTCAACTTCCGTGCCATAACATTTTTATTACCCGTCGCAGCTTTTGTCTTTGTCCTGTCCTTCATTCCTCTTCCGCCGGATCTGACGTCACACAACCCCCTGACGGCGACAACCGCGCGACTCGTTGTACTTGGCACAACGATCCTCGGACTTCTTTCAGGTTTGGGTTCAGTCAATGGGGCATGGAGTGCATTCGCTCGCAAGACGTAAGTGGTCTCGTGCTATTACTCTCCCAACAGTGATTTAATATCGGTAGATCAATCGCTTCCCCGTCTTCAATTGCTTCTGCTGAGGTTGCTCTCGAACGAGTCAAGTCTGATTTACGTGAACGCACGCAAGATCTTTATGAGTACTCCCCATCCAAGGTTTGACATCCACAATGCTTCCTGGCCTTGTTGTCCCCCTAAATTCAACCCAGCCACAAACGAATGAAACATGGACATCACGTTTGACATTCAAGCGCGATGCCCGTGAGTCGATTCTCCCCCCCTTTTTTTGAAACGTATGACGTGTGAATCCATATGGACCCCACCCACCAGACCGCGACTCTCTACAACAAGAAATCATTGGCTTGCAAGCATTGGAATCGCAAATGGCATCCCGCATTTCCACCCTCAAGCGCCATCGAGAGACTGCAGAATTTTCCGAGTCCTTTCGCGGTAAATGGCTTGGTAGGACTTGGGCGGTGTACTGTGTGTGCCGTGTTTGCAGCGTAATACATCCGATGCCACTCCACCTGATGTCCGTTCTGCTCACATGCTCCTTAGTCCGCGATCAACCTCCTATCTCCGCCATCCTTAGCTGTCGGCTCACCGTCCTATGGGGATGTAATCGCACATGTTCTCGCGTACCTGCTGTCACTGCTACCTTTTGATGGCGCACCCCGAAAAGCTGGAATAGATGTACTGTCTCTTTCGAGACAAATCAGTCTGGCGCTTGTCGGAGTGATCATCCTCAGCAGCATCCGCGTGGTGCTGATGGGGGTAATGAGAGTGAGCAATTCCATATGGTAACAATGTTCCATTCCGTTGAACGGGCCTTCTTCTGTCTCTTTTAGGTCTTCCGAATAACCTCCCGTAGCATGTCAGCCTCATTGATGCTGCTTGTCCTCGCTCAGCTGATGGTGTGTTGTTCCATTCGATCAGTGAAAGCGTCTCACCCCATCCTTTCATCACAAGGGCATATACCTCCTTTCGACAGTGGTTCAACTCCGCACCATGTTTCCTCCATCAGCAGCCGCTGACACTCCCACAAGCGCATCTCCTGATGCCGTCGAAATCAATCTCCTTTCTACCCTTCCAGAATACATACTCTTTGGGGGACTTTTCGACTGGTCGTTCCTCGCTGGTGCAGGGGGATGCGCACTGGTTCGCTGGGCAGGGGGATTTTTTGGTGAAAATGAAATGGACCTGTAATGACGGACCAACTGCAAGATCCACCTGTATAATATCAGTTTTACACTGCATTTATCTCCCGGATAGGACATCGCTGTACGGATAAGAAATACGATGGTTGACATCAGGTACAGACCAGCTGAGCGCATGTTACTGCTTTTCTGAATTTTTTAAAAGTACCACATTGGGGGGGCGCAAGCGGAGGATAACCCACGCAACGGAACTAAAAAATGATATGGTCACGCTTCGGATAACAGGTGCCAACAAAATTCTGGATAGATGAAACAAGATACAAAGTCCCATACTAAGAAAACACAAGTCGCATCGTAGCATGCCAAAAAGTAAGAGGGGAAATGCATGTATATCCAAACCAACGATAAAAGCAAAACCGATAGAACTCCAGGAACAGTCACCCATTTTCAGGTTCCTGGGACCGGCCCGATCGTTCTATGACAGGGCACCCCATACCGCCAGACCGGCGAAGAAGGACATAAGGCTTACGAGCACACCCACGTACGCAGCTGTGTGCACGCCAATGCGAGGAAGTACGGTGGGAGTATAGAGGGATGCGAGCGACGTGTGAATAACCAAGACAACGGGAAATGCGACGATAAGGGAAGAATGTGAGAAGACGTCGAGATGCACTTGTTCAATATCTGAGGCTGGGATGGAGAGAGTTGACCGAAGAAATGCAGCCGATAAGAGAAGGTTAAGCCCGAGAGAAAGGATGATAGAGTTGAACCTTTGCAGGCATGCAATGAAAACTGGAATTTTCTGCAAGTCGTGATCATTCAATTAGCGGGAGAAGAAACAGACATCAGTTAACTCTGAAAAACTCACGACGACTGCGACACCATAAAGTTCTTCTAGCTCCTCGCGGGCTTTGACGGCCATGAGTGTGTCAAAGTCCTTATCGATTTGTGATGTGAGAGCAGTTGCATTTGGGTGCGGCTCATCAGTTTGCAGGCCTTCAGCTTCCGGATCGACAGGCTGCTCAGGGAATGCGCGCACACGATCCCTCCAATCGTAAGCGTGGCCATTAGACGCCGGTATCGGACTTGACGGATTTTGCTTTAACCTTTCCAAGAACTCAAGCTCCCTTCCTGGAGGAACCATGACATCTCGGTAAAGAGAGATACCCTGGTAGTTTTGCGCGATTGCCACCAAGACTTCGGCAACGTTCAGTGAAAGCCACCAAACTGTGCGGAAGGATGGATCTTGCCATGTTGGCGTGGGGAACTTCATATTGTGGCGGACCTCGAGAACGATGAGGGACATAAGGCGTAAGAGATTGACAACCAAAATGCTCAAGAACGTGGACACTGAGACATGCGAAACTGGGTCGCAGCAGGTGCAGGGAAACAGAATAAAGTGGAACTCGGAGGAGATAAGCCAGACTAAACATTGCGGAGGACAACGCAAGTTCCGGAATCGGCGACGGAGAGTAGGAAGGATAACGAGAAGGCGTTGAACCGGGCCAGCATAACCACGGGAGGAGCACGATCGCAACAAAGGTGGTCAGCGCCGTCAACGGCACCATGGTATACATTGCGAGCAATCGCTTGTATGACCCTGTTTCGAGAGTTGGCGGGCGAAACTGGTATACTGGCAGGGGAACCCACCAAGGTATAGGCCGTTCTCCTCCAACTCCCATTCCAACGCCTCGTCGACGTCAGCAGCGTCATAGTCGGAGTCGTATGCCTGGTCCCGCGATACCTCAGCATTATCCTCCTCTGCCACCCTGCAAAGCGAGCTACCGCGCCTGAGGCTCTCGGGACTGCCTCTCATCCTGTGATCGTGTTCGTCGTCGCCTAAGCCGCTTAGGATACTCTCGCCGTGCGAGTCCATACGCCTCCACTGGGCTCTCCCAGTGTCGGAATGGTCGTCGTGATCGCTGTGGTAGTCACTACTTGACGTGCCTCGCCGACTGCTTTCAGAAGGCCTAGGTCGGTCTGGCGCATAGAATACTTCATTGGTGACTCGACTGGGGTCCCTTAGGCTGTCCCATCCATAGTAGGTTTGCGGCAAGACGGCTGCGACTGTCTGAGCGACTCTTCTATGCATTTGTACTTCAGGTAGAGAGTGATGACAGTCTCGAGGCCACACTACAAATATTCGTCTGAATGCATGTACTACTACGCCTGCCCTTCTTGAAGCGGTGTACCACTCGAACGCATGCGAGAGACGTGCCCGTACCGCCCCGTCTGAACAGCCAATGAGAAGCACAGACGCTTCATGCAAGGCAAAACATGTTGAACACGGAAGCCTCGTTACCGTAAGCCCACGGACCAGATCGCGGTAATGAGCGGAGAGAACGCTGAGAAACTGTGAAAGATAAACGGATGCTATCCATATCACCTTGCAGGCGAATCTCTGTGACAGACTGGATGAGTACACGAGACAAGACAAGACAAGCGGTAAAGATGATCAGATATCGATGCATTTCAACAAGTTAATCTTTCATCTCCAATTTGTACACCAGGAGACTGGGTAGAAAGACAACATTCCGTCCGCCCATCGAATAAATTTCATCCAAGAACCAAAAAGAAAAGACGAAAACGAGCACAGTACTCACACATCCTTACGAGTTAGCGGTGGGAGTCCAATCTGAGAAATAAAATGTCAGCATTGGATAAATAGCTGGAGAAAACCAATGGAGGAATCAGACAAGGCTGAAATCAATTTGGACATCCACATATATGTTCGGAATGTGGTAAAACGTATGGTATTTTGACAGTCATCATGCGAGCGGTAATATGAACGCGAGACTCACCGCAGGTTCACACACGAAGGCGGTCAACAGGCAATTTGCAGGCTGGCTGTATGACAAAAGAAATTTATTCGAAGACATATTTGATCTCCGCTTCAATTGCTGGGTTTGCCGAGGTGCTATCTTATCCCCTGAAGATAATTCTCGTAGTTTCCCGTCAATCAATGCACTACACTTGTTGAGCACCACCGCCATCGCCTGGCTCTGCGGTTGGAAAGTAACTTTAGTAATCCCCTTTCTTCATTTAATCTCTAGCCAAAATGCAGTCCCTTCTACGATGGAGTGTCGAAAACTCGGGGAACTCATCTGCTCCATCACAACGAACAGACGTCGACCCGGGGCTCGTAGACTACATTCTAGGGAAGCCTGATGCACAGCTGATGAAAGAAGCAATTCAAATCGCCACGGACCCATCCAAAGACGAGGACACACGGATCACTGCTTTGGATGACCTTGAAATGGTACGCACTTCCAATCAGGGGGTAAACGTGGTCAGGGTGGAGGCACCCTACTAAAAAAATTTACTGACCAGCTCGTGGAGAGTATCGATAATGCCAACGGTACCGTGCATCTGTTCTGCCGGTCGTCGGACCGAATTTCGATCTCAATTTCCTTGCAGATCTAAAGAAGCTAAACATGTGGGAACCCCTGCATGGTCTTTTGAGCACGGCGAGCACAACGGACCCACTTAAGATGCAGACTCTGTGGGTAATAGGAACCGCAGTACAAAATAATCCCGCAGCCCAGCTTACAGTAAGTACTTGACTGCCTCATCGGTGGCGCTACTGGCAACTCTCACCCCATTGTCTCTTTCTGATCCAGTATTTGGCTCTTGATCCGCTGCCTGTGATACTATCCTCACTGTCCCCGTCCACTAACTCCGCAAAAACCCGCTCGAAAGCCATGTATGCACTATCCGGCCTGCTCAAGCATAATGCACAAGCAGTCCGTCAATTAAATACGACGGGCGGATGGCTTACTTTTCGCACTGCGTTGGAAGGTATGTCGCCACTAGCAGGTTAGGAGAGGCTGTCAACCGTACACCACCACAGATTCAGACGTTAATGTTCGACGCAAGGCAGCGTTTCTCCTCAACACTCTGCTGATGCCGACGACTGCGGGGACGTTTGACGGTCCTTCCCGAATGCATACACCTCAGAGTGCGAGTGCGCCGGTGCACCCAAACTCGCATGCATCAATGGCCTCGGATCCAGAGTCAGCGTCGACTACAGCTGCTACAATGGAAGCATTGCAAAAGGAATGCAAGTCCGAGGGCTCATCACTGATGGATGCTTTGATCTCCGCACTAGCAGACCCCGTACCATTCGGGGCAGATGGAGAATGGGAGAGAGACACGGAATTCCAAGAGAATCTCGTTAGGTTAGTCGCGTCGCTATATTCCATGCTACAGAGGGGGATATAACCGTGATTTGTGGCCTATCCAGAATACTACACACCTTTTCCGTGCAGTGCGGCGGGACGTTCTCTGATGCTCAGAGACACGCGCTGCGCGGCTTTTTTGGTGGTGCCGAGCGATCAGGCGACTCGCTCGGGCTAAGTAGAGAAGAGTTTACTCAACTGAAGAGTGCGATCGCGTGAATGATGCGCTTCGCTATACGACTTTGGAACTGGCTGCGATGATTCGAGTTGGCTGGATGATAGGTTTCGTTTCATACTTAGGAATGCCCGTAGTAGTACATACAATATTGCCCCCTCGGTGCAAATTGATATATTGAAGGGTCTCATCAATTACGTTATGGACTTTCGTTATCTGCGCTTGTGATGGGGTGCTTCTGGTTGGCTTCTGTCGCGAAGACATCATACGCGGTAAATCAAGCCTACTCAAATCTTGAAATACCATCAAGCATCTTCAGACCTGCTCTCAGAACACCTCAACTGAGGGTATGTCATTGTTATCACCTCAGTTTGTTTTATTGTGAGAGCTCCTTTTATATGGACAATCAGCAGGTAAAGTTCATTATTATCTTGCGATTTACCCCGGCAATTTTTCGACTGTCAAGCTTAAAGTGATGCTGTCTCATACCCTTACGTGTCCAGTGTCCAAGCGAACAAATAGACTTGAGTCTCTTTCTAACCAACCTTGGTGGTGAACCCAGTGTGCTCAAACCAAACACGACTTGAACCTCTGCTAGTGCACAAAATCTCTGTTCGGTATTCTGACGACCTTCACGCGTTATCATGTCGACTCTCCATTCTCTCTTCACGAATGATAAACAGCAACACCACCGACCTTTGCATTCCAGCGGACTGTCATTTTTTCCTGCCTCTGAACGTCTCACGAGCCCAATCAGCACTCCGATCACTTCTGCGCTCCAGGATTCCATTGCTTGTCAGCCGATGCATTCTGAATGGTCCCCGGGCTCCGTGGGATTCGGGGGTCAACTTATCAAGTGATCCAATTGACGCTACTGAATACCAAAGCATCGAAGAACGTGAGATCAAAGCGAGGCGGCGGGGGCGGCTTCGCTCTGCCGTTGTGGCACTCGAATTTCTGTTTGGTTCGCATCTTTTTCTTTGCGTTTGCATTAATTCCTGACAGTAACTGGTGGTATGGCCAGGTTTGTGGGGCATGTACACGACAACCCGTTACTTCCTCGCCTTCGCCACTGCTTCTGATCACACCCAACGGATTTTCGCTCTTGCGCTTGGAATCACATCTGCGGTAGCCATTGCCACAAATATTCTCTCCATTACATCACCACTATTTCATGATCACCTTCACGTGCGATCATGGAGCCGCATGCGGTTTCTCTTCAGAGCGTGTTACCTCCTACTTTTACTCTCCGCCTCTACGACCAACCTCATTCTTGTGGCAGCATGGCACCCGAATAATCGTTGCAAATGGGATATCGATCTTTCATGGTACATCTCGACCGTGAATACACCGTCTACACGTTGCCACCCCACCTCATTTATGGTGTGGATTATCGCCGCAGCCCTCAGGCAGCTTGTGACCTCTATTATAACCGTGAGTTCCCTTGCTTCCTTTAATTCCCGTTTCGAAGATGACGTGCGTAAATTGTCAGGTATTATTTATCTACGTCGCCCATGCGTTCCACCTCACCAGCAGCCAGTTCCACACGCCTACCCAAAGAAACCGTCGACCCTACCGGCCGGCCTTTTCCTTCACGGACCCCGAGGACACCTCACCCACAGATACAACACCCTGCTCATCATCGACGTTGTCGACGTTTAAGCATGTATTTACGTCTCCCTTCATCCGTCCGAGCCAGAAGCAGCTCGGAAGGTCAAACTCGACGCTTGCGCGATCAAACTCTAGCGGCACAATCGTCCCTTTCACTGCTGGCATGCCTGCCAGCCCATCCAAGGGCAAATTGTTGAATAATAATGCAATGCCACCTTCATGGCTAGCAAATAGTGGTGTCAGCCTCAGTGCTAATGCGAAGACGAGCATCTCCCGCTATCCTTCCTGGGCGAGCGCAGAAGACAACATGAATTTCAAAATGGAAGCCGCGGACCAGCAAGTCCCTGAGGAAGGAACGCCTACGAGATCCCGGATCCTTCGTCATACGAGTCACCCGTGGGCCTCGCAAAATGGACTCGCCGTTCCTGCAGAGAGAATGACCCTGGAGGGAATTTCTGACCAGACACATTTTGGCAGCACGGCTATGAGAGAAGTTGCAAACACCGACGCAGGCCACGGGTACGACAGCGATGCAGACAAGGAAAGCGATCGATCGACGACGGAGTCCGAGATTCTCTCGCACATATACGGTCAGAGCTATCATTACCCTCCGACCATACTACACGACCCATCTTCCTCACCGAGTGATGGGAATACTCACGACGGGGGGAGTAACAGCCCAAAATCAGACTCCACCGCTGGCGAGGACGATGAATATATTCCCATCATGGGTGGGTACGTCAGGCGCATGTCGACCATTGAAAGCCTGGGGTCGAGGGAGGTGTCGATGCTTGCAGGTACGACATCCTTTTCTACGCGGGGATCGATGTCTACGGCTGGGTCCATATGTCCGTCCATGATGTTGGGGACGGTATCCTCGTCATCTTCGATGGGCGCTGTTCAAGTCGGGACACGCCAATCCCCGTCCGCATTCCACTTGTCGTCGCTACAACTCGGACAGCCATCACCTTCTCATGCCGGCCTATCGCTGTCGGTCCCTCCTAGCCTTGCACCAAGTGGGAGCGGCACCGGGACGTCTCGAAGCACCGTTTATTTGTCGGTGTCCAGCGGTAGCATCGACGGCAGTGCCGGGATCGAGACAACCGCAGTTGGTTGGGGGAACGAAGATGCGCGTGAGCGAGCGTGGCGAGCTCCTAGTTCCTGAGCGCCCACCGGCTTCCGGAGCATCCAGCCCGATTTCATGCGGCCACCATTATTGGTCTGCAAGCAGCGGTCAAAGCGCAATGAGCAAGCAGAGTTCGTCGTCAATGATGGCAGAGTATTAAACCTCGCAATTTTTTCTGTTGCAGTAACCAACATTTACATGATATGCGGCTGCGGAGTAGTGGGAGAAAACAAGGAGAACAAGACACTGGAACCGATTGCGGTGGTTCCGCGGTACCCAGGATGCCGCTCCCCTGACTGGACGGGTCCTGCCGACCTAACCCACACTCTAGTGACCTGTGTTCTTTTCTTTTACGAACGGACGGACAAACGGCTAAGCTCGCTGCCCCACAATTTGGCGACTCGATACACCCGTGGCCGCATTCTCATGGTTTCATAACGACATTTTACTAGACACGACCAACTCGCGCTAGATGACCGACTAGTGGGCACACACGTCAAAATTTTGCTGTCACACCTCGTACTTGGAACGCATTCTGTCATACATACCCTCGCAGATAAGGGAGTGGGAACTGAATGGATACCAGTACTAACTTATCCTTATACTCAAGTCCGTTGGGACCACAGCTATGTATGTACACAATGTCCCCCTTGGGTATTTATCTTTTCATCTATCAACACTCGTCCTATCGCGACATTGTGCGTTTTTAGGGGAGGATATTTATTTTTCTATGGTATTGGGTGTGGAAATTGGTTTCCATACCTACTCTGCTCCGCCATGGTATTCACCCGCCTAAATCAAAGTTTTGATTTACACCGCTGTTGAGTAGTATCAACGTACATAAGTGGATCGCCTATGTACAATGACAGAGAACACACCGTAGAAACGTTCGCCGCCAAGCTCCGCAATCCGGAGCCTGTGCTTTTCTGATCCCGACGAACAGTCTCCCATCATCGCATGATCTTAATAAGACCGTGGCCTAGACCCGGTGCACAAATAGGAAACCGCCTGGTCAGCATTGCAACAAAGCGGGTTCCTTATAATGTAGACTATAATGTAGACGCTTGCCTTTACAAGGACATGCGCGCGCGCGCACCTGCCTGGTAGTACCTCACTGATTAGTATGCCATCGGGGAACCAAAAAAAAGGCCCCACCTACCCGGAGATGACTACCGTCACCCACACTTTCACGTACGCAATCTTACCTTGTCCCCCTCAACAGGTCCACTGCGCTGTTTGCAGGTACGTACTTATGATCCTGCTACACTCATCAGTACTCACCATAGTATTAGCAGTATACAGTAGCCCGTGGCTGGCGGATGCACAACCTTGCCCCCTCCATTAGCTGAGCCTGCTGAGAGGGGGTTCTTTAACTATCGGAGCCCATCGTTTCATTCTTGACGTGTAATTGACAGTGTTTCATGTTCAAATCTGATTGCCACCCACACACTCCCGCCCCTTGATCACGAGTGGGTCGCGACATCAATCAGTGCATTCAACGCGCATCACCGCGATGCCAAATAGATCTTCTTTTCTCCCAATATTACGAGAAAAGGGTGACTTCAGTGTTGAGAAATTAATAAAGGGAGAGATATATGTGGGACGGGGGGTACTTAATGTAGTAACTGTCTCGGGTCCTGGCGTGGGTGTCACCGGTGATGCAAAGGTGTCTCTGCATTCCCGGGCCATTCCTCTGCTTCAGTGAATGATTGTGATGATCGAGGCAGAACTGACCGATGGACTATTGATGAATGTGACTCGTGGATGGAATCTTCCGACCTTCCTTCTGACTTCTTTCGTCGTTAAGAGGATCCTCTCTCACTTCCGAAACTCGATCCAGATACAATTCAATAACGGTGGGGTTTTGGTATGCTTCTCGCTTCTGCAACCGAAGCCCTCCCTACCTGCGGGCGATCGCGCTGTATTGGGGTGGTTAAAGCGGTACTCAATGTTCCAGAAATTTCAAGTGGCACGCCGGCCGTTTATCTTCCATCCCCAGAAAGCAATGGAAGAATCTGAGGTATTGGAGATACTTTCATCCAGAACTTTGAATATGGTGGCTTCAGAGGGACGGGCGGGCGCCCGCAATAACAAAGTTCAGTGATCGAGCTGAACGGTCGCGCGACAACGACGGAGGCGGTTACAACCGAAGCAAACCTTCTAGGTTTGCCTACCGGGTGGTGCTGATCAGAAATGGAGCGTGGAATGTTAAAGATTTAGCCTGAGAGCTGGACAGAACTGGACCCCAACCCCTGTGGTCTTCCGGAAGTTCCTTCATACGCCAGAGCCTCGGTGCCCTCGGCCGGAAACCAGCTGTGCGCGTGTGTCTGAAAATCGACAGTATACATTAAACAGCCAGGCTGCGGTGTGCTTCTTATCCTGTGGTGGCATCATTACTATCATCATACTTCTTACCACATCGTGATACGACTTCAATAGGGTCCCCCACCAGAATTTGTTTTACGGACACGACGCAAGCGATATGTGCGGAGCGCCAAAGATTCTGCAATTTCATTTGAAGGAAAGTCCGGATACGTTAGGAGAAGGGCAAGCACTAATAGGAAGGGGGATACATACGAAGGCAAGGACGGAAGACGAGAAAAAGGGGGAAGGGGAACAAAAAAAGGGCGATATTACAATACGGGGTTCGAGAAGAGGGTACTCGGGGTTAATGGTGAAAGATACAGATATGATAGGGATGATATCATCGATATCGGCGTGCTCTCCCTTCCAAGCTTCCATTGCCTCGTGTCCGTGTCTGTACGAATTCATTTCACGAATCTTATCATTGCGTGATGATATACGCACGTACCTATCTATCACAGCGGCAGCATAATGAACGCATTTTAGCTGCCAGGCGGCGGGACCAGGTTTGACTCTGATTGTAAATGAATTCCCATAGTCCCTGCCGCTGTCACCATCCCACGCATGTCGAGAAACTCAATCCGAGTAGCATGTGCACGATGACGAGGTGCACCATTGTACGTACTCACACCTAAACTTATTACTTATCTTTCCGCACGGGTTGGCCTTTTGAGGACGCGTACTGACATCATCGCGTGCCTCTGACCCGTAAACTAACCAAGTTCTGATTTCGATCAAGCTGTAGTGATCGTGCGACATCACTATCAAGCCCTATCAAACCTACTGTCACTGCCTTGGTACTCAGGAGCATCCATCCCTTATTCATATACGTTATAGACATCTGCTCCAACGTCCATTTCAGATAGCAGGTGCACATTGACCATATCCATGACTATCGAAAGTGTGGGTGCACGCCGACGACGGCATCACAAATTTTCACAGCGTCCAGACCGAGCTTATCTACCACCCCGACAAGTCGGCGGGACCGTTCAACCATGTCGTGTCTGATCCGATGAAAATCCCTGGTAATTTCCCAGAATTGCCATTTGAACCTGACTTTCCATCGGTTTTTTGGAAAAGCTCAAAAACGGACTTACATGCGTGGGTGCGCCGATTGCTATCAGAGAACTGAGTTGCCGTTTACCCCGCGTTTACGATAATCCTCTGCCAAGACATATGAAGCGGGCCCATTATTCCAAATTCTCATGGAACATGCTGGCTGACTGATGCGCGCAGGGTACACAGTAGTCAGCTACCAGTCTTGCTGAAGAATATAGAAGCGCACGGAAAAGGCAACACACAAAAGACGAAGAAAGCGCCCATAATGAATCGACAACCAAGTCTAATTGTGACAGCACCTCACGACACATGGCTTTTCGAGTACGAGCAACTTGATGAGTGGGTGATCATCTTCGAGCAGTACATCGAGTGTTCTGGTCAATGCTTAGTCTTCTATTAGGCATACGAAGGACGTGTGGTGCTGCTAACTATGGACTTATCACTGCAGTGAATTGATACGGTCAACACCGGACGCCTGCTGAACGTCAACCAAATCGGCCCTTACTGCACGCCTTCAGCACGCCATCCGCAGTGTGTCTCTGTCAGTGTACAATGTACCCGCGAAGTGTTCGCCCTTCTGACCAATATACCGTATGTCTCTTATCTTCCGTTCCTTCATTTCCTCCGCTCTTTCAGCGCGCAGGTAATAACCATACCCTCAGGGCCATACATTCCCCCGAGGCGCCGCCATGGCTGCTGGGTATGTAACGGAAGGTATCTGTCCATCGGCTGGGCAATATATTGTCAATTCTGTCTGTTTTGTCTGATAAGTATCTATCTCCTGCTCGTTTCCAAGGTTGCCTCCGTGGAGTCCGCGTAGCTATACGCTGCGAATCGTATTGCGCGTACTCACAATCAAAGACGGGACGACGGAGTGAGAGATAAATATATACCCGAGGTCTCGGCTCCCAATTTCCATCTCAGTTTTGGTATGCCTATGCCAGCTCGACGATGACCATCAGTCAAACCTGAAAAGTTGCCAAGGGGCAATAATTATAGTTCGTGGGCAACCTCCCGGACTTGGTCTGTGCATTGTATTGCACTGCATCATTCACTTACCAGGCAGGTATCATGACACTGCTCTCATGTCCGACAAGGCCGAACGGCTGAACAAGCTCGAGCCTGGACGCCGCCGGATCTTCCGCCTCCGCTATTCTTGGCCTTAATTGTTCCCGCCTGGTAGTTGCAGTGTCTACGATAACGCAGCTTGTGACCAGGAGTTCCCTTGGTACGTTTATTCCTTATTCCATTACTACGCCACAACGCAGCACGCAACCTCCGTCCATGGAGCGAAGAATTATGATATTATGTGATACATCGTCGTCGACCTCCACCCTTGGTTTCAATGTGGCCACTTGTCCGATGGTCACCCGGATACATTCTACCTACTGGGAGTTGTCCCCATTATGTCCACGAAATCGCTGCCTACGTATCTGCGAGCCATTAGGTAGGTTTCACTTCTAGTTTCATCAGAACGGGTAAGACCGCGATTGTGTGACAATTTCGATCGCTGCCAAGCAGACAGCTTCGTGGCGGGTTGTCCTTCCGCTGTGAGTAAGTAGACCAGAACCTGCGCACATGCATCCACGATGCACACTAACATCAAACTTGGTGGAATTTTTTTTTTGGTGGCCGTTAATATAGAGGAAGAGCGCATCTATCCTTGCGTAGGGATATCTTCTCGGCCCCTCCGTGCACTCTGACGCACTCTTCAAGGATTCCGGGCCGTATAATCAACAAAGCTCGCTATTAACCACGCTTGTCGAAGAAAGTTTCGCATCCGCATCATCCTATGTGGGCATGGTGTATTACTTAGTGCTGGCACACCGTGTTGGTGAGGATCGGTAGAAACAGACATGCGACGCCTGATATCAACAAGTTGTCAGTGATGCCTGACCGACCCCCAAGCCGCCTAGCTAGCGATATCAACTTTAGTGTCCTATCAGCCATCACATACATCACATGGCATGAGTGGATAATACATACTACCTTTCACAATTATCCGCGTGATTGGCGTCGAATATTTTATATCATGTAATCAGTGACTTCCCCGGAGCATCAACGGAAGAATATTCGTTTTCCATGCAAGAACCAGGTACTGTTGCGCCGTTACAACTGAAGTACCAGGACAGCGGGCGGAAATATATATCGGGAATTCTTTTTCAAAGAACGCCGTCTGCAAGGGAGGACCCAATAGCGGGCCATAGTAGGTAGTCTAGGGGTAATCGTGGATGTATATGTCTGTCCAAGTACGTACGCACGGAACTCGCAGAACAGAACACATTGTATGGATCTTCGGGCCGAACCTATTCAGTTCTCCACACTTCAGGCTACTACTCGAGTCGGAGATCCGTGACGCTAGCGCCCTGCAGGGACGTGACGCTTCTGGTATTTGCTCGTTCGGGAAAGACTGGTGAACAATGCAAAAAAGAAATACACCCCTGCTTTAATTCCATTCCATTGGTGGTCGTGTGAGGTAATGTGGGGATGAAAGAAATGAAATGTGAAAGAGAAGCAGGCAGCAATTGACCCAAGACTGGCAGGCAATCTAATAATGAGCGGGCGCAGTGGATGGATCATTTAGCAAGACCGCGATTACTGGACCCACTGCATCCGGAACTACCGAACCGACTGATGGGGCGAAGCGACGTCTTGTGCCTCGAGGACGTACCGTAAGCACATTGTTCGATGACGTTACTACTCCCAAAGTCCCGGGCATGGCACCGCTCATTCATTCTCCCCAATACCCGTCCCCCGCCGATGCTCAATTGAAAGGAGGGTCACCACTACCAATGACATTATGCCGCATGGTGATCGGCATCGACCCTTGCCTCACCTTCGGGTTATCCAGTCGTCCGTCATCTCCCTGGTCGCCGATCAGAAATATTGCGACAAGCGACCCGACCTAGACCAGAGATCTACCGGAGACTAACAGCGAGCGTAACAGCGTCTCCAGGGCCGTGTGAAAGGTCACTTGCCATCCAGGATGGTCACCACAGCGGGCTACTCAATTACCTCGAGCTTCGGTTTTTTCTTCGTCGGTCCATCTCGTCCTTCGAGCCTGACTGCATCGCCCGCGCGCTTCATTTTCACCTTGTCCTTCCTTCGCGTCACAGTCAAATCCACAGCTGCGGATGACATGGACGAAGATGGTGACCCATCCTCCTCCTTTACGTTGACCCGAACAGGGGCATCGACGCCTTGCGGTTTCATAAACCCACTGGGACGCTGTGCTCGTAGATCCGTGCCAACACCGGAGATATCTCGTATGACGTTCTTGGCGGTCTTCGAAGGGTCCCTTTCCCGCTTCTCAATCTCCATGCCTTCGTCCGAAGTTGTTTCCCTCCCTTTTTTCGACGACTGTGGTTTTCCAAACGATGAGATAGATTTGAGGCGACCAAGTTTCCTTGGAGAAGCGGTAGATGTGTCGGCTGTAGTAGCGTCTGTATTCGTGAGTACGCTCGACGTTTCGTCTGCCTGTGGGCGTGATCTGTCGTATGTTTAAATAAGAATGGTTGACGGTGTGCCTGGCGAAATATGAGCGCGATGAGAATACGCACGCACCTGAGCAACTTCTCGACCGTGTTTACCAAAAGTACGACGACCTCGTGGGCGTAGGGATACCGTGTTCTGCGAGCCCATATGACGAGTTTCGTCGCCGTCATCCCACTCTTCACCGTCGTCGTCGCCAATATCCACCTTCATTCCGGCATGTAATCTCCCCTCATGACCGCGAACCCTTTCATTCTCCCCATCTGAGAGCGATGGGAAAAGAAATGGAAGGTAGGACTGCTCATATGTCACACGTTTCCTGTCTTCGTCTCCTCCATGGACCACTCCCCATGCCCTTCTCACCTCCTCCGACACCTCCCATTCTGCGTCATCTTTTACGTGTGCTTGTTCTATTTCCACCTTCTGCTGTTCCGTGTTCTGCTTGTGTGCGCCATTTTGCATGAAACGAAGTGCAAGGGTTGTCGTGCTCAGCGATTTTTGGGGCATTTTGCGAGTGGATAAGCAAGTCGAGTTAAGTTATAACGCTGTTCTTTTCGCCGGGTATTTTTTGATTGATACGCCGTAGATAATGATGGTGCCTGCCTCGTCGAGGCGATGGGTTCGCTGGCCAAGAAATTTAACAACGGATAAGCCCACGGCGGTGAGAGGAACCGCATGCGATCTTGCAGTGCCCTCGAGTTTACATAACATCTTCCCACGATGTACCCTACTACGGAAGGAATCAATATCCGATTTGTCTGGTGTGGCGTAATACAGCCCTCCAGCATGCCTTCCAGGACTGCCAGTGCGCGGATTTGGCCCAAGGACGTGTGTCGCTTGCTGTGGTGACCCTTGGTATTTCGGGCTGAAATGAAATGAGCATATGACGTCTTCATTTTCTGCGAGCCTCGTGTTGGATGGCGGATGGTCATAAGATATCTGTGACATGTTGGGTCCGAGGATGTGGTGTGCAAAGTAGTGGTCAGAATGAAACAACAAGCAAGGGGAGCATGTCATGGAAGTGCCCCTTGGATAAGATGGGTGGGTGAGATGAAAGCAGTGGTGGACAGAATATGACAGGGGCCACTGTCCGGAAACCAAGGAGACAGAGATCCGGTGAATCTAAGATGAGGAGATCTGACAGGTGCATACACGAGAAAACAAGGGAGTCAGCGTGGGGACGGTGCATCGATATTGGCAGATTCCGCGATAATAGACGAAGAAGTGACTGCCTTCTTCATTTTTGGACGTAACCAACGTCGCAGATCACACTCCGAGCGAGAATTCGAACACGTCACCTTGTCACGAATCGAATCTCGCTTACTCAAACACGCATACACACGCATACATGCATGTATGCGCACAGTGGGGTAATCTTTCTATATCTCTCTTGCCTGAAGATATGATGTACAGTATATAAGGGGGACCCTCTTCCCTTCCACCACCTACTCTTATTACCCTCCTGCTCACCCGCCATGTCTACCTTCCATCTCCATCCTGTGTCCCACCCTCACTCCCCTTCTCCCCCCTCCAGCACCTCTACTGCCACTGCCCACAGTCCCCTTCCAAAACAATACGTCCTCCGAGGTGACTATCTCCCCCTACGCACCCATCTCATATCTCTCACGTAATGAGTCTAGATGTCAACATCGCCCATGATTCCAGCGCTGGTCCTCGCAAGTATCCGGCACCCCCAACTGGGCATGAGCTCATGGCACTCTTCCCACCCGCACCACCTGCGACCTTTTCCGACATGAGACATTCCACAAGCGGATTCTTCCAGCGTCAAGAGCGCGCCTTTTTTGCTCAAGCGGGAAGGGAAATTCTGCGAAGTTGGCCACCACATTCTCCTGCCGAAACTGCCTCCTCTCCTTCCTCCCCTCCGTATCCCCGTTCCAAGCCCCATCGCACTATGCCGGGCCCGCCTCCTCCAGCGTCTCCCCACACCGCTGCTCCCACGCCCGCCGCTCCCGCTAACAATATCAGTGCACCACCCGTGTCACAACCTGCGCCTTTGTTGTCGCCGCAGTCGCATCACCACCCCCACGATCATCACCAACTTCCCCACCATCCACCTCCTCACCCATCACACCCCAGTGCACTCGGGCTACGTCCACCACACGACCATCATCACCAACCACACCCTCCACAACAGCCGCCATCCATGCAAGCTGGAGTGTCCAAAGTAGAGTTCCAAGTACCGGAGGACTACCGAGACGACAACGGGCTCGCCGGTGTAGGCCCAGGAGGACCAGATGATTCGTGGAGGAGGCCAACCCCCTATTCGGATCGTCGACGTGCGGGAAAACATACTAGGAGGGTTTTCGTAAGAACTTGATTTGGTGCCCGCTGAGCTGCTGCTGCGTGTATGCGCATGAAGTCCCCCCCCCTTCCCTCCCCCCTCCCCCGTAGGCTCCATTCATAGCCGCAATGCCGGTGACCGTTTTACGCATACGGCACCTTTAACTGAACGCGACCATTCCACGATACTAACATTGCCACCAATACTGGTTCATTCTTCTCGCGCTATCGTGACTCCTTCCTTGTCCGACATCTAATTAATATCTCTCGATATCCCCAGCATCGTTCAAGATCTTACCGATTCGAGCTGTATTTTTGGCCAACTATCTTCGTTGTGCACGCATCTACTGATCCTCGCATCTTTTGTCATCTCAGAGTCGATGTTGCTAGTTCGTCTTTCACCGACAGGTTATGTTGATTCCCATAGATGGTCATTTATTTCTGATCACAAAATTTTCATTTCACCTGTCTATCTAGTTACGTGTTCCCCCGTTTCTTTTCGATCCGTATGCTTGTCTCCGTTTCTATTTCGCGTTTCCGATGTTATCATCATCATCCACATACATACCACCCACGTGCATGACGTTCTCCCGTCATACTAATGATCCCTTTGTTCACATAGCATTTGACCGCATGACCGTTAAGTAGTAATTAGCTTGACTGACTGTATGAACTTTACGCTATGCTATGTATGTATGCGCCTGGGGCGCTGACTTGGGACTGTTTGTTCGCGTCGCAGTCATTTGTGTTCAGGCATTTGTTGTTGTCTCGATCTCGATTTGTCTGTCTTGTGCATTTATTGTTTTCCGTACCGTTCATATCCGTGTCATTATCCGTAGATATCGCAACCGCGGAATCTTATTGGAGGTCGAGTGAAACCAGTAGCTTCGATCCTGATTCTGTCGGATGCCATATCCATTGTGTGTATTATCGGTCCATTTTTGACCTCGCGTTTGTCCGGACGTGTTTCAATAAGGTAGAAAGGTTCCGCCAGGTTTCATATTTCATTGATAGAACACTAGAACACTCATTTTTCTTTGTTATTTACTTCCGTTCCTTATTATTCCATGAACTTTTTGATTCCGCTGCTTTGTTACATAACGTAATACACATATCCGGTTACATCACTCAAAAAACTAGGGGACTCGTAACAATCGAGGACTTCCCTTTAACTGTCAGGACCTGGTATGGCCGTTCATATCATCGTGCCCCAGAGGCCGTGCTGCTCAGTAGTCGGGTCGACTGTCATACTTATGCAATGCTAATCTCCACGGCATTATGGACACGATCTATTATGTTATCAAGTTACCACGGATATCTCGCCCCTCTCGTTCCTGTCAACGTGCATGTCTGTACGCTTCTTGGCGTCGTTTCGTTGCATCTACCGTCCCGCGATCGCTGCGGAATTACCTCAGAAAAGATGCCCCCACCATCAGAGTCCCATTTAAGGAGACGGTCATTGAAGTACCCGCAACACTCACCGCTTAGGGTATCAACAGGGACAGCTTGGTGACGACAACTCAAACAGCGAGAATTGGAAGCCCCTTGGTAAGTGCTGCGCACATTGCCGGACAGGCGATACGACCACGATTGTGGCCGGAGGTGCATAATCGGCGGAGACCCGTGGAGATGGCGGCGGTAGCGCTTACCCTTTGCCCCACTGGCTGGACTACGTGGCCCTATGACATTGTTCAGACAGCCCGACATGCGGGATATGCAGCTGATACTCCGATGGCTCTAGCGACCCTCTGAACCATTCTAAGTCCGAGTCCATAGACCGACGGCCAAACTCGCAGTAACTGGAAAAAGAGACCGAGTCGGAAGAGCCCAGCCACTCGAGAGTCTCACCCACCAATCAATATATTTGTTATTACTCGCGACGCTCCGAACGGCATTAATGATGATCACTTCAAGATCCCATGGCAAAATTGAGCGCAAAACGGAAGGGATGAGCCGCCACTGAGACACACGCCACGGTGAGTATGTACCTTATTTACTGTCAATGGAGTGTCACGTCGTCGTCGGCTTCGCCGATAGATCGGAACAGAACAGATAACGCAAGGATCCCCAGTGGCAAATCTTGCTCAACTGTTTTGCAAGGACTGACCACCGTCATTCGGAGTGTAAAAGGCGCTCTGTGAACGCGGTGATACAGGCGCATGACGCAATGTCCCGTCTGGTGGTGCTCATGGGTGCCCGCACGGGCACGCTAGACCAAATAGGGGGCGCCAAGAAGCTGTGCAATCGTAGAGAACAGAACGTCATGGGTTGGAGAGCTATGTACATACGTACGTACGTACGTATTGCGGAATCAGAAGAACTTCGGTGTGACCTAGAAGTTCGAACATGCGGTGGGCAACGGTGTTGGCTCTTAAAGTCCTTGTCTGTCTTCTTGGGATAAGTTGGGATAAGTTATTGTTATTGGTACCAATCTACTGAAAGGGCTGAGCAGGAGATAAGAAACTTGGCCTGGAGCGAAACAAACCATTTTCCATCCAGGGAAATTAGTTCAGAGTGGCATGATAATTTTGACGTCGGACTCGATACGGCGATACGCCTACGCGGTGCTAATAGGACAAATACGGTGGGGGTGGTGGTGGTGGTGGGTAAGAAGAGGTACCACAATACCGGTGCGGGAAGTTCCGATACATATATGGGCATTTACCTAGGGCGCTAATCATCGGGCGCTAAATCACATCATCGGGATCATGGTGACTGGACAACCCGCGATGCTCTGGAGCCTGGTGGGTCATTTTTTCATATTAATATGTATATTGGCGTTCATCGTGTTGCGTGCAGACGTCGACTGAAGCATCTGAGCGATTGGGAGTTACGGCCAGTCCTTGGCAGCTCGCAACCAAATCCCACCCCACGTCAGAATGTTGTTCTAACCCTGACTCTCGTCCAGGTCACTGATTGAATCCAAAGAATCAGAGCACATATCCCACACCATTGTTGTCCGCTATCATAGGTGATGACGTGGCAACCGGCCAGCAGAAGTCGGGTTCAGATCGTCGATAGCAACATTCCGGATTATCGTGGGTGCGCAGCAGGTACCATCCAGGCGTGTTGCCTTGCGGGCACGTCATGAATATGGGACACCGCGTGGATCGGAGGAAAGTCGGAGGCTGCTGGGCACACGGTTTCCGGTTGGCATACACCGATGAGTTATCCAATACAATGTCGCCTCAGGGTATGTTGGCCTCGCCGTGTCGCCTGCATCATGGTGCTACCGATCACTTGCCTGGTCACGTTCATTGTCGCTCCACAAATACACTCCATATTGGAGTCAGACGCCATGGCATCGATTGTTCACGTTCTACCCGCCCCTGTGTCGTTCGTGTCACACACAGTGGCGTCCGGATTCCGGTTGTACCTGCCGTACAGGCTTCTCAATACATTTTCGTCTTTCAAGGAAGTTCGCGCCGAACCCCGGATTTGCTGTTCCCCCAGTTTCGCTATGTAGGTACTCATTACTGATCAAAACCTTGTGATGCCACGGCTATCCAGGGCTATCCTCGACCCGATCGTTGCAGTCGCACTTTCCCCGCAACACGCGTTTAGATCTTCGATGTATTCGAGACACGTCGTCAAGGCTCCATGGAACCGATTTACAAGTATAGCACCGAGGTCACCGGGGTCACAGAAGGGTGGGTTCCGAGAGCTTCCAGCGCTGAGTTGAGGAAAAGGTCGCGCTGCCTTCGCGGGTTATTTCCATGGGGATGCGTTAAACTTAGGTTAGCCTTAGCCCTGGGGGGCTGGAGCTGTGGGGAAGTGATGGGCTGTTTCAACTACTCTCACGTGTCAACTGACTGTGGATACCAACCGACATGAGATGTCATAGGATGTCATAGACTGGACACGACGTCGAACGCAGGACTGGTGACCTAGTAAAGATCCGACCTTGTTGGCCGGTTAAACAATCTATACATTTCCGCCTTCCTGAAGAGACCTAGTAGTTAACACGCCACAGCAGTATTGCGTCCATTGGTTTTTCCTCCATCACGGCCCCATGCAAGGCACATCTAACGGACCGATTCTTACCGGAGAAGCGCCCGGTTCGATGTATGTCCATCATTTTATCACACACAATCATTGGAATGATATTATGACGACAGGGTTAACAATTATAAGAATCGGTTTTTCCTGCCGCCCGACGGAAGTGGTTCTTGTAGACACATGCCGGAGTTGAATAAGCCTCGGAAGGAATTCTATGACAAAATGAAAGACCTTTCGCTTTTGATGGGTTTTCTCTTTTCCTCTCGGGAGACTGATCCGAGAAGTCGCGCGTTTAGGGGTCCCGTTCCGGCGAATTGTATGTATACCCTGGTCTATATACCCAGCAGGCAGGTCGGCTCGATATGACACCGGCAAGGCCCCCGAATCGAGTCTCGATCGGAGACCATCATCATCGCCGTACTACGACGGATATGTATCGCACCCGACGGCATCCTAAAAGCGGTTTGGTTACCGGTGGGACAGCTAACAGCAATATGATGTATGTAGGTTCGTTGGTCCCATCAGGCAGTATATATTGGATAAATCACTTACAAGACTGAGACAATACGTATAGCTTCGATACCGATCTCACAGGGAAACTGATATGGTTCTGTCGAGTGAACGCCCCATCACGACAATATATTATTTGGATCACAGATCATAGCGCCTCATAGCCCTGGCTCATGTATCAACTGTACTGATCGCCTGTCACTCCGGTACCTCTCCGCATGGGATCCAACTGCGGAGGGCTATATATTGGAATGGAAGAACCTTACCGGTGTACGTGAGGGTACGTGTTTTGTATATGCCGGCGCCGCGGAAGCCATGCTTTATGTATACTTAGAGTTGGCAACAGTTGCCCTCCTGCCTCTTCCTGCCTTCATAGTACCATTAATTCACGTCCGAACCTACCTACGGTTTCCAAAAGCACGCGCGCACGAATCGCTATATGCCCAGTGATCGAATCGGGTGGCCCCAGGAAGATAGAAGTTGATGAGCGAGGCACCTAGTACGGTTCGGTCATACCCGGAATGTCCCGGATACAGTAGGAGCCTTGCCGGTATATGTCGCTATATGATATCACCACTCGAGACCACCCGGTTTGATTAAATATTTTGGTGCAGTTTAAGGATGTCGAATTCCGCCGGGCGGTTGATAGGAATCGCCAGGGACCTAGTAGAGGCTTAGTCAAATTGTATGCCAAATTGAGGCTTCGATTCCTTATCGCATAATACTATTTTGACCTTTCCCTTCCTACTGCGGAGATCGATCTCATATGCAGTATCATAGGGACTGTTTTTGGGTGATGAGACGTGCTATGCAGTTGGTATATCACCCTGAGTCCCCTCCCCCTCCCCCATTAGATCCTCGCAGGAGCCGCCACGGAACCACCTGACAAGGGCTGAAATGAACTTGTAATTGGAAATGGGGAACTTCAAAGAACTAACAAACACAGTGAAGCAACTGCATCATGGAACATGTCAATAAACAACCATTCCTACATGTGCACATATGAAAATATGATATCTGATAGAAACGCACACCCATTGGTGTTCATAAACACGCAGCCCGTTCTTTCATTTATTGCTTGGCAATTCGATCGGGCCAAGACGGGTCCCCTGTGGCTTGGACATAAACGCGAACCTTCATTGACATGGTCCTTTCATGTCCTTTCCCCGCGAGCGCAGCAGGACACGAATTGGATATGGATGCTGTACGCAGCCATGAACGGTAATCACATTATTTATGGTATTGATCGTGCACGGATCGGGCTGTTCCATGCTCGACCGATATCTACGATCATCAACATCCACGGCCAATCGAGTTCCAGCGGCAGCACGAGGGTCAACGGAGACCGACTTGGAAGAGCACGGGACGGGGCAGAACGGAACAAGATGAGTGGTTGATGATCTTCGATGACGTATTCACGATACCGGAGCACGAGTTATTGGTACGGCAGAATGTGGTAGGATATAATGACCCAAGAAACGGGATCAGTGGTATGGAATGTGTGACGAGATAAACAGGAATCGAATCAGGTAACACAGGATGGCTCCGAATGTGAAGGTCAGTAGATATGTACTTGGCAGCAGCTCAGATATGAAAGATAACCAACAACAGCGCCTTACCTACAAGGTGTGTCTTGTACTTACGGGGAAATATATGCGTGGTGATACCTGCCGTACACGGCATAGCTACACATGATTGCTGACGCGAACATGCAAATGCTTGCGCTTGGCCCCGCGGAGTGGATAGATCGACGTGGTCAGTCAGCTGCCCGGAACGCATGACATTCTACGGCAGGTGGCGTACGGCGCGTGGCGTCACAATTAACAGCAAAAGGAATGTGTCCAAGCAAATACTTGCCCTTATACGTGTAAGTGGTTCTTTTGAGGCCTCTTAAGCAAGCAAAGAGGTCGGTATTACTTACCGTATAAAAAGGGGATGGCAAGTTACCGCGAAAACGAGATTCGGACGGATCCCTGTGATGAGGTAAGTAGTGTTCCACGTTCGTTCATTGGTTTTGGAGTTGCGTTATGGATCCGTTATACTCCCAGAAGCAGGCATGTGTTTCGGAGGGATGGGGTATAGTGCGGAGATCGTGGTTTCCGGAGCCTGCGATTTGGATGAGTCACAACTGTACATGATGGACGATGTGATATCGCCATGTGTTCGTAGGGTGTGTGCCCCACTCGACCAATCTGGATTCGGTACCGCGCTGGGATGTTCTTCCATAATCCGATATTTCCAGCGATCGCTCGCCGGACGCCGCACATAGAAATCGGAAAGATAGCCGCTGCAACGTTTTGGAAGAAGAAGGTGAAAGGGGAAAGACCATTGATGGAAGGCGGATGATGTGATGATATCATAGGGAGCGCTGGTATTTGTCCTTGAGAAGGTTCTCTGGCTGCGGCCAATACGCGCAGACCCATACGATCGGGTACCACATATCACGCAACTGCGTCACGACAGGTGTGTGGACAAGGGAAATGGATGAATGCGGACATGTGTCCTGAACACCGAGGAGCCCTACATTACCTTTGAACCCCAACAAGCGGTAATCAGGAATGGAAGACATACACGCACCCACAGCTAGCACTGAACCATAAAGGGCCGGCACATCCTCTTAGGAGTCACGACCATGACCGATAACCTTGATGTCATAAGGGAGTGGAAGCGATATGGTCCGCAGAACACGTTGCAGGAACGAGTCAAGTGGGGATTCAGTTGCGAAAATTGTAATCGATAAAAACTGGCAGACATACTGGATCGAATGGAAAGTGGATTTCGCAGGAGTCATCATGGTGGTAGGCAAGTCATCGTGAAAAAAAAAGTCAGAGCAAGTCGAGTTCAAACTATTAGAGGGGACGCTCACGTGACGCGGGGTAGTGTCTGCCATCCGGGTTTATCTCGTTGCTGCTCCTCCACTCGTCCTGTTAGCCGCAAACTAGCTGAGAAATGGTCGGTCGCTGTTGGAATATACCCGGATAGGCTAACGGTTATAGTCAGTCTTCCAGAGTAACTTCACAGGCATTATCCGAGTTTCTGTCAGTGACCGGCGCATCGTAAGTACACATCACCAACGACTTCAGAACCAGTGACTCATCACTGTCGACCAGGACCAAAGAAGCTAGGCGATATCTCGAAAAATACAAGCTTCTCGATGCTGCTCTCGATGCTTACTTCACAGATGGAGGGCGAAGACGCTCAGAAACAAACCTCTCGACAAGTAGCATCAACGTGCTATTTGACAAGTACAAGGGTATTTCCATTCGAGGAGGGGATAACGTGTACATTTTGTTAACGGATACGTGCTTCATCTCTCACAGATCCTGGAAGCGATGAAATCAGCGTGGATGGCACCGTACGGTTATGTGGAGATCTAGGTGTGGATCAAGAAGATATTGTCTTGCTTGCGATAGCCTACGAACTCAAATCACCTCATATGGGAGAATGGACAAGAAAGGGCTGGATCAGCGGACTGAAGAGTTTGGGGTGAGTGCTCTCTTTTTTCCTGATACATATATACATATGGCCGCGGTTATACCACAAATCATTTTATCATCCACACAGATGTGATACGTTGGATTCACTCAGGAATTCCCTCCCCCGCCTGCGCGTAAAACTCGCCTCCGACCCATCATACTTCGTCGCGGTGTACAATCACACCTTCACACTTGCGCGCACGGAGGGTCAGCGCAGTCTAGGCAAGTCCTTTTCCTTCGTCCGACTGTAGATCGAATGCGCTGAAGATTATCCGACATACGATGATTTTACACATTATACCTATTAGCCCTCGATACCGCTATAGCCTACTGGGAACTGCTCATTCCCTTTGGTCTTTCTGGCGGCGCTCTCAATCGCATTTCTTCATCTTCATCATCTCCACATATTGATTCAATCTATGGAAATAATCATTGCAGCGACGCCGACGTCGATATGGACGAGAAAGGAAGTGGCGATGACGGGAACGGATGGGGAAAGAAGCACACAGAATGGTGGTTCGAGTTTCTGAGGGAGAAGGGCAGCAAGGGAGTGAGCAAGGATACGTGGAACATGGTGAGCGATCACTCGTCTCTTTTTTCCTCTTCGGATCTCTCTTCGGCAACCCACTCTTTTTCCGTTTTCCTGGCTTGAGTCCTCCGACTTCCAAATAAGATATGTATATTCTTTGGCAAACATGCATGCTGATCGGTCTGTACGCCTTCATCGGACGCGAACAACCAGCTTGCAGAATTTATCCGAACGATCGATGCGAAATTTGAGGAGCACGACGCGACTGGTGCGTGTCTCCTTGCAGCCTTGTGACGAAGGCCTGTTGATTCGTATTCGCTTGCTGGATCTGTAACCCACCTGATACCTATCCGGTTACTGCTGATGAAATGTGGATCTCATCAATCCAATACCACACCAAAACAGCTGCGTGGCCATCCACAATAGATGATTTTGTAGACTGGGTGAAGGCGAAGAAGCTCAGAGCATGATGCATGCTCATCACCCCTCCATCATGCTGGGACTTTTCTTTCTTTTGATTGCTTTGCTCCGCACAGAATGCACAAGTATATACCTAGCTACACTCGTGACGAATTCAGAGTTGCGCTTTGGGTCCGGGGATGATTCGATGACGACGCGTCGAAGTCATATTAGATTACCGTCTTGCGTAGGGAACTTCCTCCTAACAGCTGTGCAACAGGTTCCCGTCCCAAGCCACCAAATTTATGACCAGTCGGACGGTCGATGCAACACTCCAGCACTAGAGCCCTAAATGAAGCAGTGATTTAGGGGAGCAAATCAATTCCAGTATTTAGAACAAGATACTCTTTGTCGAGCTGGCAAAACCTGAACGGGGGATCTACCATTGACCTTGGGGACACCGTATCATTTCTGGGAAGTTTGTGTAATACGATTGGCGTCATGCGCTTTGGAGTCAGAGCGAAGCATGTTGAAGGCAGTTTCGCTCGCTTCTAGCAGTCTTGGAAGACGGTCTCTGCGCGTCAGTCACCCGTGGATCACCTTCCCGAGTCCCTTACAAACCGATGTAACTAGCATCAGCGTAACCACCACTCCCAAAGGATAGGGACGGCAGGAACGACGATTCTCGCAGGAGCGAGAACCTAGGCTGCGAGGATCGTGAGGGCGAGGCGGCGGTTACGGCAGCTAGTATCTTCGGCGCGTCACTATCCATTTGCCCATTGGTTCGTGCCAAGTCCGATCCGTGCGTTTTTTTTTTACAAGTCATCAGCCCGGCATAATGGAGCAAGGGAACAAAAAAAAAACGCATTAGCGAGCAATGCTTCTTCGCAAAGGGACGCACGTACGACGGATGGACTCTCAGAATGACCTCACCCCATGGATCCCGCCCACCAACGCGTACACCGCCAGTGCTCCACTTCGTGACAGCAAGAATATCGATGTAAGTGCCCGCCGACGTGATCCCGAACGAATCACCTAGCGCGTCTTGAAGGGCCTTGCGAATGGTTAAAACGTCTACATCTGCATCAGAATCGGAGTCTGCGGTTCCGACTGGGAGGGTAACTTGAGAGACGAAGGTAGTGGTAGTTGGTGGAGAGCGGTGTGGGGGACATCTTGAGGGAGACGTTATGTAGAGATTGCACCGGACAGGGTGGTATGGAGGATAGCCGACTATCAGATGGCAGGCATCGGATTTGGCGCGTGACGCCTTTACATAAACTGCCATCCCATTTCCCGTTGCTATTTCACGTCTCAACAATATATCCCACCGTCAGGGAAGGTGGTGTGCGTTCTTCCCGCCAATGAGCTGATACATTCGTAGATATGTGTATCCTCTCATGAGGTCATTGCCTTGCTGCAAACCCCATGACTGTGATCGAGTCCTCGATTTCGGATTGGCAATCCAGCGACAACTTGGGGACCGAAACGTGCGTCGTGGCTCTACAAGGTGCACCGAGATGAGACCACTGCATAGTGGCCTGCTTTTGCTACTGAGGCTGCTACTGTACGCTGTCAGCCCAAATATCGGACCTCGTAGGGTACAAGATGTCAAGCGTGCGCTGATATCCTATGTGAATCGTGCCCGACTAGAAAGACGACATGTACTTTTTCCGCACGACTGCTCGAATAACCTCGAAACTGGTGCTTACATCCCACACTTTACCTCTCCCTACAGCATCAGTCGTCACTTTGCCTTTCATCTTATACTCAAAGCTTGCTGCCTGAAGGATTCTCTGTTCGCTCGGACACTGACGGTGAGTGCAATGGCTTGCAGTTGTTAACATGTTTAACATTGCATCAATTCACTAGGAAGATGAAGCTATTGGATGTGAAAACTTGTTTTCGACTGGGAGGCTGAATCCAAATATGATGTCCTTAAAGAACTGGATGACAAGGCTGCAGATTATGCCATACTGTCGCATCACTGGTGTACTAATGTTGGTTATGGAGAGATAACTGGGCTCATGAAGATGGAGGAGCAGAAGAGGGATGAGGTCAGGTATTGTGATGGCTACCAAAAGATCATCAAGAACTGTGAGCAGGCCTCGAAGGACAGCTACAAGTGGGTGTGGATTGATACCTCTTGCATTGATAAGTGGAGCAGTGTGGATCTACTACATTTTCTCCTGTCTTAAATATTGACTGCCAGACAGCATCCCCTTCTGGTTAATTTTACTACATCCCACCATCAAAACAAATTTTGTCTAAATCTGAATCTGTTCAGTTAGCAATCTCCCACCAGTGGCCATCCAAGGTGGTATCACATTAGTCAATCCTTATCACAAGTATCACCACTATTGTTGGGATGCTATGAAATACAAACTTGTGTGCTGCAATGTGAAGGCTAAGCAGGTAGCTTGAAACATTCATGCCATCTATTGCCATGAGCCATCTGGCTCAAGTCCAGCTCTATGTGAGAACCTCTAGGAATGACTACCCTGGCCCACATTGAATACCACTGCCTCCAGAAGGTTGGGGGTATCCAAAGTAACAGTCTACCCTTTGGGCCTCTGACCCAGCCATCACTGTGCAACTTGACTGGTTCATTCCTTATAACTACATCTTCATACTGAAGCCCATCAAGAAGTCGTGCAGTGTCATGAATTGCATGTGAAGGGTTTGATGAGAAACAAATGAGGTATGCTGCAACCCCACACCCCTCAAGAGAGCAATCAACTTGCATACCTCTATCAGCACTATCCCAGACCCTCACAGTCTTGTCCCAAGAGCCTGAGACAATCCTCTTCCCATCAGGGGAGAATGTAACTGAGTTGACTTCCTCTGTATGCCCCTCAAGAGGGCTGCCAATTTGGACACCTCTCTCAGCATCCCAGACCCTCACAGTCTTGTCCCAAGAGCCTGAGACAATCCTCTTCCCATTCAGGGGAGAATGCAACTGAGCTGACTGACTCTGTATGCCCCTGAAGAGGGCTGCCAATTTGGCACACCTCTCTTAGCATCCCAGACCCTCACTAGTGCTTGTCCCCTTGAGCCTGAGACAATCCTCTTCCCATCAGGGGAGAATGCAACTGAGCTGACTGACTCATTGATCATGCCCCTCAAGAGGGCTGCCAATTTGGCACACCTCTCTCAGCATCCCAGACCCTCACAGTGTTCATCCCATGAGCCTGAGACAATCCTCTTTCCTATCAGGGGAGAATGCAACTGAGCTGACTGAATCTGATATGCCCCTCAAGAGGGCTGCCAATTTGCACACCTCTCTCAGCATCCCAGACCCTCACAGTGTTGTCCCAAGAGCCTGAGACAATCCTCTTCCCATCAGGGGAGAATGCAACTGAGCTGACTGACTCTGTATGCCCCTGAAGAGGGCTGCCAATTTGCACACCTCTCTCAGCATCCCAGACCCTCACAGTCTTGTCCCCTGAGCCTGAGACAATCCTCTTCCCATCAGGGGAGAATGCAACTGAGTTGACTGACCCTGTATGCCCCTGAAGAGGGCTGCCAATTTGGACACCTCTCTCAGTATCCCAGACCCTCACAGTCTTGTCCCAAGAGCCTGAGACAATCCTCTTCCCATCAGGGGAGAATGCAACTGAGTAGACTGACTTTGTATGCCCCTCAAGTGGGCTGCCAATTTGCACACCTCTCTCAGCATCCCAGACCCTCACAGTGTTGTCCCAAGAGCCTGAGGCAATCCTCTTCCCATCAGGGGAGAATGCAACTGAGAAGACTGACTCTGTATGCCCCTGAAGAGGGCTGCCAATTTGGACACCTCTCTCAGCATCCCAGACCCTCACAGTGTTGTCATATGAGCCTAAGACAATCCTCTTCCCATCAGGGGAGAATGCAACTGAGTAGACTGACTTTGTATGCCCCTCAAGTGGGCTGCCAATTTGCACACCTCTCTCAGCATCCCAGACCCTCACAGTGTTGTCCCAAGAGCCTGAGACAATCCTCTTCCCATCAGGGGAGAATGCAACTGAGGTGACTTCATCATTGTGCCCCTGTAAGAAAAGCTGGACAGCTGGCCAATCTTCAAGTCCTCCATGAGCAACTTGAACAAGGTATGAGAATTTTGGCATGAGCATTTTTGCTACCACTGTGTTCAAAGGGGATAAATGGCAGTGCAGAGATGTAAAGGTGTGGAACACTGTGAGAGATTGCACTGCTAAAGTTATGAATGTACTTTATCCCATCTTGTGCCAATGCTACAGTCTCATCAAAACCACTTTGGGCCTTTGACTTCACATTAGCTGATATCAGATGTGAAAACTCAATACTCACAGGCAGCCATGGCAAAGTGCATCTAAGAGCATCCATAGCATTTCCCAACACACCAAGAAGGCTTAGAGCCTTCTAGCCAGAAGAGCAGCTTTTCACTTCCAAGGATCCCCCTTCACCAATTCTGCAAGTGCCAAGTCAAAGGCTAGTCTTCTCCAGATGTCGGGCCCAGAACCTACATGAGTAAGATAGATGGGGTGAAAATGTTTTGCTTGATTCTCTTTTCCAAATCAGCTAACCTCAGAAGTTACTGAAGTATGAACTTTCCAGTCCACATATATTGAACGCACAGGTCATTCGACAGAATCCTGCAAGTGAGGACAAAGGCAAGGTCGTACATGTTGGATTCACCAACAAAGTATGTCTGACTCCGTGCAGGGTCAATGAGAAAGTCATAGAACGATGCATGCAGTGGTCGGACAGGAGAAGACTTGTCTGTAACACCACTCAACAGCGGCGCCATAGGATTCAAGAATAGCAGTTATGTCATAATGATCCTCCTCGGCAGGAAAGTGACTGCGCATCTTGTTTAGTGCATCCATATGCAGAGGTTCAAGCGTCGAAATGATCTGCTGCATGACAGAGCGGAACCGTGTGAGCATGATCTCATCCCCGTGGATAGTATCCTCAAGAATTGCTCGGTACATGACGTCCAATAGTTCGCCTCCCGAACGAAAACGCATGATATTGTTGAAGCGTTCCTTGGCTGATCCATTCTTGACCGTACGACCTGGGTTTACGAACTCGCAGGCAAGACGTGCCCATTCAAATAGACCTTCCGCCTTCTGGGAAATCCCATAGACTTCTGTGGCTCCGATATCCCGAAGAGGGCCCAGTCTTCTCATAATATACAGACGAATATCACGTTCCTCTGACATCGCAGGGACGTCGTCCAACGAGGCTGCCCTCACATGCGGAGCGGTACTGAGTGCATGCTCGATATCGGGAAGTGGACGGGATGTGACGAGGATGCGGACATTGGAAGGCAGGTCAGCAGCCTGTACAGACGCAAGCACCGACAGCAGGTGCCTCCGCGATCGTTTTGGGCCGCTTTCGTCCAACGCGTCGACGACTACGACCACGTTCCCAACCATATTACCAGAGACCTTACACAACGGTTCCAAAATGAGTTTCTTCCATTGAAGCGCGACGTCAGAGGTGGTCTTCAGAGAATCATCCGTCGCAAGCGCATCCGCCAAGGCTCGCCGGAATGCGGGATCACGTTCTGTCAAGTCGCACGCGATTGTCCTGAATATCTTTTCTTCAAGATGCTCGGCCTGCCAGTCACGGGCAAAGCAAAAACAGGACCCGACTCCTCCAACTTTCTTAAACCACAGTGCGATCGTATGCGCGATAGCAGATTTCCCTTTGCCAGCTTGCCCATGCAACCAGAGAATGCGTGGGACATCTTCATTGGTGTCATAGATCCAGTTGATAATCTCCGCAAGGATCTCTGTTCTAGTCCCGTCGAGGCATTTCTTGGTCCAATTGGGACCTGCACCTCTGGCGGGGGCCAAACTGGCCCAGTCCAGGTCTTCAAGTACGCGGAATGCGTCAACCTGGACGCCCCGGTCTTCACGGCGCCGGTATTGTTCCATCAGGTCGTCTAGCGCCTGGGTGTACGCAATGGACACGTCCCGCGTCTGATATTCTACGTCTTTCCCGGATCTCTTCCCTGATACCGCGTTACATTAGGCTTAGGTGACGGGCAAGTGTGATAGACGTACAGAAGTCCTTTGTCGCGGAATAATTCTTGATGAACTGCACTGCACCACTGGTCATCAGTGCGATCTTCGCGAAGGTTTCCCGCATGCCAGACATATCCTTGGGGGCAGTTTCTTTCGTGAGAAATTCGTAAACCTTTCTGACCGTATCCAGGAGGTGGGGAAGCCGCTCGTCTCGGATCTCTTGAACCACGAACATCTATGTACGACTACGTAAGATGAGGGATGCATCCGAGAATGAGGACGTACTTGAGAAATAGTCGCTAATATTCCCAGCGCCATCTGGGCGTAGGGATGGATCTGGCGCAAGCGTGCAGTCAGTGGATGGACGCACAAAAATGAACGCCTACCTTAGTAATGGTGGTAACGTTTTGATTGAAATCTTTGAACGGTTTTAGATACATATCTGGGAAGCTTTGAGTCTCAGCGGATGTGGCACACGGGGGAGGTAAATAGCGCCTTCACCGATATTCGATGTGGAATCCATGCTGAAAGTTGACTCATTGGCTGATCTCTGAGTCTGTCCAGCGAACTCACTCAGAATCTTTGGAATATTTGAAGGGAGTAGATAACATACTTCATAGATTGGAGTAGCTTGAAGCTGCTCTTGTTCTCTTTGTTCGTAAGTGACCCAACTAATATGAGTGTCCGCGCTCTCTCCGGTGATGGAAGCTCGGTAACTTGGCTCGGACGGATGAGAGAAGGCCGGAATTAGCCTTTGAGAGACACTGCTCGACACTTGAGTATCAAAGGGTAAGTGCCCAGCAGTAACCTGAGATAGTCCCTGTGACTTATTTTTGGCCAATTGACATATGTCATCGCAAGGAAGGAGTAATCTACGTACCGAAGAAGGGTCGAGGTTGGATCGGTTCGTAACACTAGTGCGACGTTTCTTTGACTGATAACCGGTCATTGTGAAGAAATGAGTAACTCGATAGATACCGTCGACAGAAACAAATGGACGCCCTACCGAAGGAGGATAAACGCTAGAGGGATTCGCAGCGCTGAAGAGGCGTTTCTTTGACTGATCGTTATCCATTGAGAAATGAGAATTTCGTATGAAGCTTTGCGAGTTCAATCGGAGAGTGAGTGTCAACGAGGAAAGAGCAACGGTTGTGGTATGGCGGCGCAGCTTGCTGTAAGCAGCTGGGAAGGCCAACTAGCACAGGCAACACGTGGCTGGATATGATGCAGAGACTACCTTCTACGACGCATACCATAAACATCCGAGTCGCTCCTTGAGCGTACTATTTTGTTGACCTCCAAACATTTCTTCGCTTCACAATCCACTGTGCCCTAAGTCTCGGGACAACAGCTCGAGCGAGCAATATTGATTACGACAAATAGCATTCAGTAGTTGCGTCATCGCAACTGCGGTTGGCAGGCTGCATTCGAGATGAAAAGGTTGGTTATAGTTTCGACAACGTATACAGACCTAGATGACAACCAAGCTAACTTGCGACGGTAGGCGGCCTCATTTGGCATATGACATCGATATGAATCACTGAATGTACATTGTCCTAGCAGTGATTATGTTTGATCCAGGAGTCGGCATATCGAAATATCAGTTGCTGCGTGCTGCAGAACGAATCACATAAGTGGCCAGGTGCGACTAGGGATACCCTTACTATTGACCACCCCTCGGAGTACAAACTCTCAAATTCGCTTCAAAACAGTGGTTTAATAAACATGGGTATTGGGAAGTATGTCCTTATTACTTGGTCCAGATGGATTCAACTGATTGACGGCGATCATGATGTTACTGTAATAGGAATGATATGGTCAATATGTTCAGACTTGCTCGCTCGAAGTAAGGGGTCTCCTTGTCACCTCCTACAACATCAGACGGATTCCAGGCAACGATACATGTAACCTTCTGTACAGGAAAGGATCACTGCCAAACGCGCAATTGCAAACACTTTCAAGAGCCGCGACTTGTATCTCGTTTCTCGTATCCTTCTATAGGTTTCGCATACAAGTTCGCTGCTAACCACTGGCAAGAGGCATTCGCTCGCAACCATCATAACTGGACAAGCGTTATCATTCCCAAGGCCGGCCAGGACGAAATTTTTCCCGGCGACAGTGGGTTGTGGCACGCTGCCATCATGTAGGCGTACGAGCAGCCAACAAGAAGTTCAATTTCTGACTGGGCGCAAGCCAAACAAGTTCATGGGTCATACGATTGTGAAGAATTGGACTTGAGGTAAAAAGCTGAGACACTGAGAAACGATTTGCGGCTGCCATCTCAATACAATCGATCATGACTGCATACGTTGGGTGCATGCGCGGCCGTGCGCACGCGGACGGTGAATGTTTGAACCATTTATCGTGCACTTGAATCGATGACTGGTGACCGATGCTATCCTTGACATCGGCGTACTTACTCTACCTGTGGGCCGGGACAATCCTTTCGTAGGCGTGAAAAGAGTACCAATATGATTGGTGTGATATGTATTGTAGCAGCTAAACCTGCAGATTCATGCCGAGGTTGCACGCGCTAACTGTTGAACGTTGATGTATGATAGCCCGCCTACCTTCTTAGGTACTTGGTAATGTCACGACGCGAGAAAAAGGAACTCAAGAAGAGCTGCTTCCAGGATATACCGCTTCATTATCAGGGATGCAACACGTTGGGTAAGTTGGAAAGTAACAGTCCTCCGCCAAGTCTACACAACTCCTGATGCGGCAGGTCGGACAGCATCCTCGTCCCTTCCTATTTAAATAAACCATCAGAAACTTGGATCCAATAGGGAAAACCTCGTGAGTTATTTACCTTCATAGAACTTCTGCAAGAACGACCTTTGTGGTCTCTCGTTGGGTTGCAAGAGTATCCCCATTACATGATCCGGCTGTTTCCAGATATTCAGTGTCTCCTGGAGGTCTTGTCTGCCCTTGAGCAGGAGGACCTCGATGGCTCGCTGGTCCGTGACGTGCCGATTGGCCTCGAACTTTTGGCGGATGCAGTGTCGGACATATGCGGGTGTAACGGGGAGCGCGTAAAGTTCGACGATTTCTGGGGCCTAGATTGAGATGTTTGCGTGCAGTGTGTGATACAGAAAGTTGGTCAAGACGGGAGGATTCGTGTCCATGCATTTGCACTCACCGCGCGAACCCAGGCTCTGTACAAGTCGATGACTCGAGTACGTGCCTCGGCCGGGTTGCTTGATATGCGTGTTACTTGCGCGAGACGGGAGGGGATGGTCGTCATTTGGCGTTGAGTGGAATGGCCGTCGCCGGGAGTAACTTAGAGCTGCTGACATAATCACCTCCAAGCGAGAGATAACTGGAGGCCCTTCGTCTCTCGTTCAACATCTCATCGAGTTTCAGTGCAGAAAATATGGTCAGAGGAACAGGTAAGGTCTTCTGCCGATAGTGGTAATCACTACATCGCACCATAAATCGCTACATGTCGAGACACGCGCTAATCACCGATGAGACAGGCAAATTCAAGGGTTACAGGCGTGGTGGGGGGAGGAACTTCAGGTGAGTTTTCACCGTGGTCGTCCTCCCTTGCCCGCCACCCGGCGCTTGTCTGATCGTGTTGTCAACCCTTCGCACACCACCTCTAGTAAGCATCTAAACGCAGACGGGACCACTGTCTCGACAGACGATTGGTGCGGCTACTTCCTATCGGTGCACTCCCGCCACACTCTTTGCTCATAATTTTTAAATTCTCCTAGGAAAAAGAGGAGAGATTTGGACGAACATGATGATGATTCCGATGAGGATGCGGATGAGGATGAGGATGAAGAGGCGTCGTCTGAAGAAGATGAAGAGGACGAAGATGGAGATGGAAATGAGCAAGGAGGGTCAAGCATTCAACAACAGGAACTCAGCCGCGAGGAGAGGCGCGCTCTGAAAGCCCAAGAAAAGCTCAAGAAACAACAGAAACAAGATGCGGACGAGGAAGAAGATCCAGACCTTATCAATCCGAACCACGTCCAAAGGAAGCTTAATATATCGGACATCGGTGCCTCTCAGCAGCTCACTCGTAGAGAGAGGTACGCATCAGACTATGATATATAATCTGCGGCTCGGTGTCTCAGTGGCGATGTAGGGAGGTCAAGGAGAAACAGGAAGCCAAGGATCGGTATTGGAAGGTATGACTGGCTATTATGGTTAATAGCAACGCGGTTTGACACATGTACCAGCTCCATGCCGCTGGCAAGACTGCCGAGGCGAAGGCGGACCTCACTCGTCTCCAGAAGATCAGAGAAGAACGAGAGGCTGCTCAGGCAAAGCGCAAGGCTGAGGCTGAAGGTGAGACCATTATTTGCTCCCACTTGACACGAACAAGATAGAATTAAACCACACTTGTATATTTTGCAGCCAAGGCAGCTGAGATAGAGGCAAAGAAGAAAGCAGCCGCTGCAGGGAAGCGCATTTGAGACGATCCTACGGCAATTGTTATTCCAGCTTTATTGTATTTTTTTTCTCGTCCCGTAGAAACACAAACGAAACGCAAGAGTAGATGTAGGATTTTATATCACAGTGCAAGGTTCTGTCCGATGCAGGATCGTGTGATCGGACTGTTTACAGCATTGCTAAAGACGGTCGTCGGCCTGATGCCCGCAGCTATCGAACCAATGACTGGTGACCTCCTACTTGCTTCTTTGACCCACAGTATTAGCTTGCATGTTGCTATTATTGTCTAGCTTATCTCGAGCCGAAGAGGTTGCCGAGATACATATGTAACGGAGAAACTCCGTAAGTACGTTACAAGGGATTTCCGAGTGCCCCGGAACGTCCGTTTCTCCGTATCATGGTCAGGCTCATGGGCTCACTGGACTTCCTTCGACCGTCAACATGGGCCCTCGAGCCCGAGAAGACAACGTTCGCCAACCATGGCTGGAGTAACAAAGATATGGACCCGGTACCTCCTCACCTACGCACATGGACGTGAGTGATTAACGGTCGGGTCAATGTTGTCTCCCTGGCTCATGTAAGAATAACACCCAAGGGCATGGAACTACGTGTGTCGGATTTCCTTTTTCTTTTCATCACAGTGGGCTTTACAGCCCCTTTTAAGGTTACATACTGGGTCTCGGATGCTACAAACGTGGCCGTCTGGGAGCTAGCGGGTTCGATGTTAGCCATCGGTCTCTCTTGGTACGTTCCCTTCTCTCCTGTGTGCAAAATCCGACGCAGAACACTTACTCGCTGGCGAAAGGCGTCAGGCATTACCATGTATTGCTGCCGGGTACGCTGTCATATCCGTGGTCATGGTTATGACGGGTACTATCGGCGCTCGATTACACGTCGCATTCCCGGTTTTGAACCGATCGTCATTTGGCTTCTGGTTCAGTTATTTCACGGTATTTAGTCGTATTATTCTCTCTATGTTCTGGTTCGGCATTCAGGTACGGGTCTACGGCATTCACGTTTTGGGTTGACAACCAGCTCATCGTTAAATTAAGACCTACAGTGGTTCGCAAGCCATATACCAAGTAAGTACGTCAAGATGATATACTACTGCCTTCATCGGAATGACTGTTGCGTAGGTGCTCAAAGCGATCTGGCCATCTATAGCGAGGCTCCCAAACCGTCTCCCTGCCAATGCAAACATAACCAGTTCTGGTACAGATGTCTTGCTCAATATCGTTTTGTTGCTTGTCCGATACTCATCCAATGCACTTTTGCTAGGTCTTCTCTGCTATCTACTCTACTGGCTTATCCAGTTCCCCTTTATGCTCCTCTCACCACACCAGATTAGATGGTTATTTCTTGTCAAGGGCATCGTCGTCCCCATTGCATGGTTGGCAATGGTAATCTGGGCATTCGTACGTGTCCCACCGTCGACAGGGCTCTTCGCCCAACATGCCACGATATCGGGTAGCCAACTCACTTGGACATGGTTGAGTGCTATGAACAGTGCTCTAGGCGCATATGCGACTCTCTCCGTGAATATACCCGATTTTACTGTGAGTTTACTTTGATGTAGTTTTGTGTCCGTGAGTCCTCTGATGCCTGGGAACAAATATCCAGCGCTACGCCAGGAACGAGCAGGCGTAAGCATTTTTGATCCGACTCACACTCCTAAAGAAGTAACCCATTTTCATGTGCCTCCAGCCAATTCGTACAGCCTCTGGTCATACCCATCGTATTCACCCTCTGCAGCTTCGCAGGCATTGCCGTCACGAGTGCCGGTATCCAGCTCTACGGAGAAGTCCTTTGGGACCCACTTCTACTCATCGATCGGTGGGACAACCGTGCTGCCGCCTTTTTTGCTTCTCTGGTGTTCGTAATCGCTACTATCGGAACGAATATCAGCGCCAACTCTTTAAGTGCTGGGAATGATATGACGGTGTTGTTGCCCAAGGTTGGTGCGTCTGCAGCGATGCACATGTCGTGTTGCAAGGATACTTACATAGGAGGATGCACATGAAAGTACATCAATATCCGGCGTGGTCAGGTTATCTGTGCCTTCATCGGCGGATGGGCACTTTGTCCATGGGAAATCTTGGCCAGGTAAGATCATCTGGGACCCGCTTTGCCCAAGGAAAATGGAACCGATCTCCCCTGCACCACTTTTTTTTGTCGCACAGTGCACAGGGATTTTTGAGCTTTATGAATGGGTACACGATCTTCCTTGGTCCTTTTGCGGGAATTATGATCACAGATGTACGTTTTTCCTCTTGGACGGGCATGTCTCATCATTTTGGTAACCCCCACGATTGATCGCGTTTCTTCGTGTGCTATACGCGCATCAGTTCTGGTTCGTCCACAAAGGTAAGGTCGACGTTCCTGCCATGTACAACCCCAACGGCAGATATCGCTACACCCATGGATTCGTGAGTTTCCCTTCCGGATACTCACTCTTGCGGACAACATCTGACCCCTCTACCCCAGAACTGGCGCGCCGTCCTCGCTATACTTGTCACCGTGGGCCCGACGATGCCTGGCTTGATCAAGTTCTATCAATCCAGCTGCTCGAATAGGAAACGCGACTCACTTGTTCGATATTGCGTGGATGTACGGGGTAAGTTTCTTTCACTTATAGTCTCCCATTTCCCAATTCCCCGTGGCCACTTCGCGCTGTTAATCGTTTTCGCTGACTGCGTACCCCTTGTAAATCCACAGTTTGTCGTCGCGTCTGTAGTGTACTACGTCACCTCCGTCGCGTTCCCCGCACGAGAGACGCACGTCGAGAATCTTATCTCCGCAGACGATGCACCTTCTCCGACAGGTACGCCCTACGATAGTGGGGGTGCGTTCCTTGCGGCCAGCACTGCCTCAGCAAAGGATGCGGAGAAGACCCGCGACGTGGAGGTCGAAACTAAATAGGATATTCGTTATACCGATTTGTTACTTTAGCACTAGTAGATTTCATGGTTAAACCTCTGGAGTGTTCACCGAACAACAGATCATCATCATCAGTTGAAGGAGCACTCCTTTGTGCAGTATACGGCCGTGTCGTCCTCGCGCCGAGTATCCGTAATCTACATTCACGTCTCAGGTTCTTTGTGGATTGCGGGAACACATTTGCACAATTTTTGTTCCCGCTATAAAGAATACTTTTTCCGCACAGCCATGGATGCTTTGAGACTGGCGATGACTTCCAAGTATCGCCTTGAAGTAGTCTCCCCTAAGCGAACCAAAAGACTCGACGGAAGACAATTGTTCCCTCATCACCAGACATCACCCTGTTTGTCTTTGTGCTACGGTTAATCATCTAAAACAATATCTCATCCTGAGATACCTAGACAGTACGTGTCATGACCTACAATCAGTTCACGAGGCGCTCAACCTTGCGTTCACTTTCAGTTTGAGGAAGATGAAGCTATTGAATGTAGAAGCTGTGCTCGATAGAGACAAAGGCATTCAACAAGCAGGACACAAACCTGACATCATGAAGGAACTTGATGACAACACCACAAGCTATGCCATACTGTCACATCGCTGGGGAGCCGAGGTTAGTTATGAAGAGATGATTGGGTTGATGGAGATGGAGGAACAGCAGAGGGAAGAAATCAGGCAGCGCTACGGCTACCAGAAGATCATCAAGAGTTGCGAGCAAGTCACGAAGGACGGCTACAAGTGGTTGTGGGTCGATACCTGCTGCATCGACAAGCGGAGCAGTTCGGAACTGTCGGAAGCCATTAATTCGATGTGTCGGTGGTACCGAAATGCACAGGTGTGCTATGCTCACCTCAATGATGTCGACGCATCTGTCTTCCCCACCGAACGAAACAACAACAAGTTTGGCGAGTCCAACGGTTGGCCGGAGTGGTTCATGCGAGGCTGGACACTACAAGAGCTCATCGCACCGAAGCAAGTGGCATTCTTTAACAAAGACTGGGCGCAGATCGGTAGCAAACAACGTTTTGCACCCACGTTGCAGAACATCACGGGAATTCCATGCGAAGTTTTGAGGGATGGCCTGGCCGCGAAGCGCCTCAGCGTCGCACAGATTATGTCCTGGGCCGCCGACCGGAAAACGACGCGTGTGGAAGACCAGGCGTATTCTCTTATGGGGTTGTTCGGGGTGAACATGCCAATGTTGTATGGCGAGGGCGAGAAAGCATTTCAGAGGCTTCAGTTGGAAATCATTCGTGTATCCAACGATCACAGCATATTCGCATGGTATTCACCAACACCACGGCCAGGCAGTGTCCTTGCAGAGGATCCACGCGACTTCCGGGGCTGCGGGCGCATCAGAAAGTTGGAACCCCGCGAATATGTTGACAAACTAATATTCCTAGTGTAGATGCCGGTTACCTCCGGTAGCAAATGTCCATCCGAGTGACAAGCCTGAAGCACTGCCACCCTGCCTTTCTGCATCAGACAAACACCCCCCAACAGACTGTCACTGCTCCCACTCCAGCTCCTTGCCCAATTGTCATTCCTTTCGATTCACTCGTCGTTCCTTTTATTCCTACAATAACCCAATGCATCAACACCTAGGCCTCCAACTAAACCCTTCGAGCAGTGCACCATCTTCTACTACAGTGTCTGGAACTGATGCAGTAGTGCCCCATCAGACCCTTCAGCCGTCGCAGCCAAGGTGCCCGCAGACCAGACAAACCACCGGGAATCAGTCCCAAGCACCACCCCCTCTGCCGCTCATCCAACAACCAACCCAATCTGAGTCATCGGACTCAGTGACAACTCAGCCCCATGCAGCGCAGGCTGCACAGCCACAAGTCCAGCTGACTGCACCAGCACAGTCAACCAGCCAAGCCAATATCCCCAACCCACCGGCCGATCACACGACAACAAACCTGGACCCCCCAACACCAGCAACATACGAAGCCATTATAGCAGCCTTAATGGATCAGCTCAACAACCGACGCGACCAGGAGCAGCCCACTCCCCCAGGCAACCATAACGCTGGAACTCAGACACCATTAGTGGCCGATGCAATGACCCTAGAGCGAATTCACGAAGCCGCCACCTCCTGCAAGGAGGATGCCAAATGAATTGTCCTCCCACCAATTCGACCGGGCCTCAAAGTCAGCCCTTTAAGCCTTCGTAAGTCTTGACCTTGTTCCCATGCTATTCGTAAACAATGGATTGGTTATCACCTTCATGCCACCACACCGTTTAACTGTCACTGTACACTGTAACCATTTTCTGCTCACCGTAATACTGTTTCCACCGTACTGCCACTTTGCTACACTGCCACGACCTTGCCCATTGTTACCTCTGAACCTACCAAGCACAGTCTGACTGGTGCTCCACAGCAATATCGTCTAGAGTTGAAGAAGCATTCAGAATGTACCGTTATGTACCATACTCCCTCTTAACCCTTTTGGCCCATGCCAAAGTGAACATGAAAGGCGAGGACGCAGCTTATATCCTCACACTGGAGGGCTTTGCGACAAAGTCACTCGATCGGGCGAATGAACTGTCCATATCTGCTGCAGATTGGATAAATGCTGCATGCACTGCAGAAGAGCGTACTCGCTTCCACCATGGGGAAGAACGTGCCAATGCCCTGGCATCCCACCACCAAGTGGTCACTGGTATCAGTGCATCACACAGCTGGCTAGTGGCCATGCACTATGATATACAACAGCGCGAGATTGCACATGCAAACCCAGAGCATGACCTCACGGGCCTTGACATGGCGGCCTTAACCATTGCAAATAACCGTGCACTCCTCGCTGCGCAGAGCTTGACTATAGCCACCACCACCAAGCGCGCAGCACCGAATGACCTTCCTTCCTTCCCCCGTAAAAGGCCAGTGCATCCCAACAACAATCATGGTTGTTGCTTTCGCTGCAGCCACTCAGGGCACTTACCATCCAGCTGCACAGCCTCATCCACTGCAGCAGGCAAACCAGTTGCAACCCTCGCATCAAATGGAAAGAGCAAACATACCCTTATGCGCCCAATGGCCGTCACTTCTGCTTCAACTGGGCCGCACACTCCTCCTGCTCATTTGGCCCTGAATGTCGAAATGTGCACAGCTGTTCAGTCTGTGGCGAGTCATCCCATGGAGCTGCATCCTGCTGCCCCAGAATCTGATCCACGCTGCATCACAACTCCTCTGATACCCGACTGCATTGAGAATTTACTATGTAAATACGATATCCTAAGTGACTGGTCCCATATCCTCTCTGGCCTACAGACAGGCTTTGATGTTGGTATTCATGAACCCCCTGCACATACCCGTATATTTCGACAACCACAGCTCAGCATTATCCCACCCCACTATAATCAAAGCATACATTACTTCAGAGCAGAGAGCTGGCCACTACTCACGAGGCTTCTTGCCCCTCAAGCTCGAAGCTCTAATTGGCCCTTTTCACACCTCACCTCTAGGCGTAGTGCCAAAGCTGAACTCAGACAAATTCCGCATAATCCAGGACCTGTCTTTTCCCAGAGATGATCCATCGACGTCATCCACCAATTCTGGTATCAATGCAAACCTTTTTCCAACGGCTTGGGGAACCTTTGAAGAGACAGCTGCATTGGTCCTTTCTCTACCACTGGGCTCCTTAGCAGCCACCTTCGACATAGAATCAGCTTACTGCATTGTCCCAGTCTGCCCATCACAACAAGCAGCTCTGTGCATAGCATGGCAAGGTCTCGTGTATGTAGACAGAGCACTAATGTTCGGCCTATCATCCAGTGCTGGAGTATTTGGCTCAGTTGCGGACATGCTAGTTGCAATCTGCAACGAAGCTGGCTTTCGCCTAATAAAAAAATGGGTCGACGATTTCATAGTTTTCCGCACACCAGACCAGACCTGGACAGAACGCGACTTCATAAACCTAACATCAGCTGCCGGCATGCCATGGAGCGAATGAAAGACTCGCCCGCTAGCCTCATGCCAGCGGTATATTGGTTTCGACTGGGATCTCGAAACAAAGACTGTAGCTCTACCATCAGAAAAACGGACACGTCTCATCCAACTACTGGAGAGCTGGCTAGCCCCAGGCTCTCGGCACACTCAGAAAGAGACCGAGAGCCTCCACGGAAAACTTGTCCATGCATCCTGCATCTTCCCACTAATCCGCCCTTTCCTGCGTTCACTATCCATCTTCGCAACATCCTTCCGCTCACAGCATGCTCGACAAGCATCTCCACACTATGTGCAGAGCGATCTACCATGGATACATACCTTATTAACCCGATCAAAGAGCGAGATATCACTGAGTCATACAGACCCAATAGACATCGACTGGTGGGGCGACGCAAGCTCCTCCTTTGGAATTGGAATTACAATAGGATCCTACTGGGCCATATGGAAATGGAAGCCAGGATTCCAGGTCGGTCCGGACCAGGCCTTCAACATAGGATGGGCTGAAGCAGTCTCCATAGAGCTAGGCCTTTTAATGGCTATACACATTGGCCTACCTGCACTTTCACATCACCGCAATATACTAGTTCACTCCAACAACTTAGGAGTAGTGATGGTTACCAACAAGGGACACTCCCACAGCCATCAGATCAACGAAGTCCTCCGCCGCTTGTACCTTCTCCAAGCCGACTTAGACATAGCAGTGCAGGCAATCCATGTTCCCAGTCGGGACAACATTGCCGATGCATTATCCTGTGGCGATGTCAAGGGTTTCCTCACTGGCTTCCCAGCAGCCTCAACCCAAGTCTATCCCCCAATCCCCCCCTACCTAGCCAACATGTTAGAATATTTATAGGAATGATGCTATCTCCTACCACAAACACCTCTGCACTGCAGCTAAATCCATCCCCACTTTGTCCAGAATGTAGAGCTGCAGAACGACTATTCCTGTGGAGAGGCATCAACACTCCCCCCTCTGCCACCATAGCCAATCCAATAATCCAGCAAATAGCAGCCACTGCATCCCGTGCCTCCCTACATGATGCTGCAGCATATGGATCAGGCATCCACAAATTCCACATTTTCTGTGACATTTTCTCCATCCCCGAAGCTGAGCGCCTCCCAGCATCCTTCTCACTACTACACTCCTTTGCCATATGGGCAGCTTCAGACCCCACATCACCTGAATTGGGAATTTTGGGCACCTCTGTGCCATTCGAACCTGTAGCACCATCTGTTGCTCGTAAGTACCTATCAGCAGTCCAAGCATGGCACATTGCACAAGGATGGCCTGCTCCACTTGATGACTCCCACCTCGAGCGCATCAATTGGTCTCTCCGTGGCCTCGAGAACCTTGGAGTGTGTCGCCATCACCCTCCTTGTCCCCCTATCACAATTGCTATGCTATCAGCCCTGAAAGCCTCACTAACCCTATCAGACCCATTTGATGCCTGCATCTGGGCAATGTCAACATGTGCCTTCTTTGGGATGATGCGTTTTGGTGAAGTGTCTGTAGTATCGCGTGCAGCCTTCAATCCAAGCCATCATCTCACAAGAGGCAATGCCTTCTTCGGGACAGACCTCAGAGGCTCCCCCTATGCCCGTTTAGACCTACCCACAGCCAAAACAGCCAAACCCGGAGAATCACAGTCAGTTTTCCTGAACGAACAGGGTAGTCTCTGCCCTCTGGTAGCCCTTCGTAACATGGCCATGGTTACACCAGCATCAGCCTCAGACCCACTATTCTCATGGAGGGACTCCTCAGGTCTTCCCCGTCCCATGGTCAAATCCCATGCCATGGAGCACATCAACAGCATCCTATCAGCGTGGGGATGGGGGAACCACTTTGGCCACTCCTTTCGTATCGGCGGAGCCTCCTTCTTCCTTGCCAAGAAAGTAAACCCAGAAATCATTCGCATTGCTGGACGGTGGAAATCACTAGCCTATCAAGTATATATACGAGCCTTTGAGCAAATTGTGTCCCAGCACCTAGCTAATGCTGTATCCGAAACTGAGGCCTCCACTCTCGGGGTTGGGCATTTGGCAGGCACACAGCTGCAGGGTTCCGGCCTATGGGTGAGCGGCTCCGCCTGCCTCGCCTCCGCCGAGCTAACGCTTGGCCCAGCCCAACCACTGACAGGACAGATCCTAGCGAAATGCGTGAGACGAGGATGGATAGTGTAGATGCCAGTTACCTCCGGTAGCAAACGTCCATCCGAGCGACAAGCCTGAAGCACTGCCACCCTGCCTTTCTGCATCAGACGAACACCCCCCAACAGACCGTCGCTGCTCCCACTCCAGCTCCTCGCCCAATTGTCATTCCTTTCACCCACCCACCACGCCCTCTTCTTCACACTATAGCCACAGCCATAGATTAGCCCAGCCACCGTTCTAATCTTAGCCCAATAATTACATACTGTTCGAAATGCTACTGCTATGCCTACGCAGTCCTGTCAGAGCGAGCAGGTGACCCGCCCTCCCGAGCGGCTCTGCCTGCCTCGCCTCCGCTGAGCTAACGCTCGGCCCAGCCCAACCACTGACAGGACAGATCCTAGCGAAATGCGTGAGACGAGGATGGAAGTACATCAAAGAAAATGATTTAGGCGACCCACGATACATCGACGTCTTCGGAAGCAACAGACGGGCACGTCGAAGGAAGCTCGCGGCATTGCGTGACGCTGTGCACTCCCAGCAGTTTCAGACGTTCACTGTTAGCAATGCGGGTATCCAAGTGTGGCTGCCCGTCATCCCCTCTCGCGACTCTCCATCTCATTTCAGGACTATATTAGCATGTATTTATGGCTGGGGTGGGCTGGTCACCATCGATTTGGTGTCTTCTGGATCTAGCTTTGACAGGAGTGCAATTGACTTTTCAGACATGCTCACGGCCTCTCCAGAATTCAAGACACTCCATCTTAATCATCATCAAGACGCCAACGAGATGCGTCGTGAGTTTACACTTGATGACGCGAACGCCTCGTATCATGGATTCATCCGCTGCGGCACCTTCCCGCGCGAGTTCACAGGCGACACTCTCAGAATTTCATCCCTCACAGATGCTCTCATCATTATAGTCTATGCCAATGACGATGCTAGATCTCGCTTTGCAGTTGGTCTCGGATACCACCTAGGCCAAGGATGGGTGCATGTTGTCTATGACGAATGTTCTGCAACCCAAGGGGACAGCTGGACACCTTGGTCAGAATTTGCCTGGAGAATGTATTCTCGAATGTGGAATGTGCGTGCAGAAATTGCCCGGAACATGCCCGAACGAGCACATGGCAATAACCACCGCAATGACCACTTCATCAAGCATGCCCACCTTCCTCGATCATTATGGGCGGCGCGTGTAGTCTGGGGTAGGTGGGAGATGGACAATTTCAAGGTCATGGTCGACGTCGAGCAATGTCCAGGATGCTGTGATGGGCTGAGTAAATGGACAACTACATCTGTTGGTATTTTGTCGCCTATGGGAATGCGTATCTCACCGTTCGTATTACCATAGAATGCCTGGGGTGGCCTTGCTATGCCGGGGCTTATGAACACAGTTTGTCATTCATATCAACTGAAATTGGACGGGTGGCGAGTCCAGCTTGATGAGTGTTCTGGTCGAGGGATCGCGGTGAGCCTGCCATGCAACTTATATTTGTGTCGAGCCTTGATGTAACCATAGCTGGGGGATTATGGTGACTATTCCAATGGCATTCTCACACGCACCGGCAATATATTTGAGGATATGGGGACCCTTGGCATCAACCCCGTGGACTCAGCTTATTGCCCTGTGGTCTCCCACGTATCTGGCTATGAAAAGCTATTGCATCGTCTGGAGAGTCGGAATGATCTTGCTGTGGCGTATTATACCGAACACAAATACCTGGCGCTGCGCCAACCAAAGGCCCTCTGGCTTCCTGCCAATAAACCTCTTTTGCTACTACTGAAAGCCTTGTCTACCCGTGCCGCGGGCAAACATTTGGTGATAGCGGTTGTACAATGCTCAGATTTCTATCAAGCTGATAATGACGGAGAACGAAGGGATTCAGAAGACAGTAAGTCTTCTGCAAACGATTGTACCCTACTCACACTTTGTCCTTGGGTCCCAGACCCAGCATCGAATAGTGGTAACGACTCCGCAAAGCCAGGGGTTTTGACTCCGCTATGCGCCGTCGCCAGCCCACAAGTCTGGCGAAGAGAGCTGCCTTGTGTACAGAGAAGGGATCGATTCAAACGTATTCGGTAAGCCATGGAATCACTTTGTGTAGTGTTAGTGATGTTATGTTTCGGGATGTAGGGAGCACTTTTACACTTTAGTGAACATGGTATCTTCCCTAATCACGCTCGGGGTTTCCGTGCTCACCAATTATCTGCAGCATCGACCTACAGGAACTGAGGCCTATCACAACTCTGCGGTGCGTCGGACGACTATATGAAACACACAAGTATTCCCTCATGATGGCAACAGAACAAACAGACGAAGGAAGCGATCAAGTTCTTCTCAGACATATTCGGTCTCGAGTATCTGAGGAATTTCGTAAGCATTCATATTTTTATTGTCTTGTCCTGCTCACAACCTCCAATGAGTGTAGACCGGCGAGATAAGTTTCTTCAAAAGGCTTGCTTCTATTGCAGAAACCGATCTCTTCAGCGAGGTTTCTGTAGGCACCATGGAAGGTTCGTCATTTCCGACAAGTACGTTGGTCCGCACACTTACAACGCAGTACCAGAGGGTTTGCTAGCATCTCCATTGAAATCCAGTTGGGCGATGACACGTAACCCGTTCCGGCGCAGCTGGAAATCCAATGGTGCACGAGATCCCCGTCTTAGAGCTGTATTACCTCTGTTGCAAAGACGGTGCAGAACTCTTCACGCGCGGGATGAAGCGCCGCGTCTGTATGGTGATGAAAAGCAAAAAATGGAACATGAGTTGAAGTTCATATCGCAAACTTTGAGTGCTGGTGTGCGTGTTGCGATCGGCACTAAAGAGCGGGTGCTAATTCCGGTCATAAAAAAGCTACACGAGCACATCAGCATCACGTTTTCCAACGCATACCTTGAGGATGAGCATTCGTAAGTACACCTGTTGCCCTGAATGCCTTTTTCCCACAATCTATTATATCCCAGCGCTTCTCGCTCCGAACTAGTAGATCGAACGAGCCACATTAATTACGACCGGTAAGCACTGCGCCTATTAACGTTCAGTAGTGCATGTTCTCAACACCATATGTAGGCAACTCGACATCCATTCCAAGGTTCAAGAGATAAAGGTGCTTAAGGCAAAACTCGATGCGACAGAGGATGAGGACGAACAACGAGCACTGGAAGAGGATATCACGGGAAGGGCAAGGACAACATCCACTTGTCACTCCTTTTGATACTCAGCATGGTCCATTCATTGATAGATCCTGTGGCTTTGTTGGTGTGGGATCTGTGCAGAAGTGGACCAATTGTTACCCATGGTAAGGCGACTCTCGTCTCCGTAGATGTCATTTGACGCTGTCCAGGTTGTAGGTTATATTCAGAGAGAAGGAAATATCGCGGTAAGTGGTATCAGGCATCCGAACGTCATCATAACAGTGGTCAACAGGCTTTATATGAAATCTACCAAATTATGACGTCGCGAAAGTATGCAGAACCAGACGACAATCAAGCTCACTTTCAGAGGTAGGCAACGTGACGTCATCTGATATCTGGTGTCGATATGAACTGTCAAATATGTATTGTTCCAGGGTCATGCTTGATGCAGGAGCAGGCACATCGAAACATCAACTGTTGCTTGCTGCCCGTGCTGCAGAGCAAGCCAAGTGGTCAGATACGAACAAGGACATCCCCACTATTGATACCCGAGGTAGCGCCCCGAGTACAAGCTTTCACGCCTCCTCCCTATCTAGCGAATATGGATACATATTGGTATGTTGTCAACTTCGTCCGGGTATATTCAACTCATGGACGACGTGGTGATGTCAGTACGACTGATGTGGTCGACACGCAGATGGAATCGTCCAAGGGGTGGTTGCAAGCGCCTCGCCTGTAGTACCGTCTATGGATGTAGTAGTGGATGTACAGATTGCTCTTTCCCATTCGTGGCCGGTCTTCCTGCACACTTTGCTTAAGGAAAAGAGCAGCATGTCGCACGGCGATGGAACTTGTGGAGCGAAGCAAAGGCTTGACAGGAAAAGGCATGAAATTCATGATACGTATCTGCGAAGCACAAACCGTGCAGAGATAGGGACCTGGTCTTCAATGATGCCTATGCATATGCACATTGCTTTCATTCAGCGTTCTGTTCCGCTCGAGGAGTTCCGTATTGATATGTACTGAAAAGTATCTGCGACCCTGGGGAAGAGAGTACCACGAAACGTATGATTGATTTATCAACCTCCGGAAACGGTGTGTACAGAAGCTTTCGAGATGATCGTAACAATAGTAGCTTCGACAACGAGGTCTGTATTTCCCTGATGTGATATCAGAGGGAGAGGCCACATATTTGTGGACGCATCACGGGAGGATGGTCGTGTCACACTGGGGGCCAATATCGTGGTCATCCGTGCAAGTAGATGCAGAGTTCGCAGGTGGATAACCGCAAGCAGTCGGGGCAGTTGGCGTGAAAAGTATGCATCATCTACACGAAGAGCCCCACCTGTATGTCTGACCAGCCTTTCGCCGAGCCCTTTGCTGAATGCAATTCGTGTTGAGGGTGGATTGACTGCGCAAACAGTAACATGGAGTGTACCCATTGGCACGAAGGTGCCTTGTAGCAAGACGGTCCTCACTGCGCAAGAGCGAGTCTACGATGAAGGATAATTAGTGCAAAGCACACGGACCCCACTTTACTTTTGCAAAATGCGAACTCACAAACTATATCAAGCTGCATACACGCAAGCCATCGTGGTCTTGTAATGATTGGATTCATACCATATCCTAGATTGTCACAGATGAAGCACTTACATAAGAACCTGTTTAACCGTGCCACCTCAAACCCAAATACGAAGTCAACCAAAAAAAAAAACAAGGCGATAGGAGCATGAGCCACTAAAATTAATCTGTACTTCGTACTTATGCATAACCATGGTCATCGCAATCAGTTTGCAAGTTGGAAAGGACATCTCCGCTTGTGCTTCCAAATGTGTATAATAATAAAAAGGGAGTTATGCTAAAATTCATCTACAACTCGTCGTGGCCGAAGTAAGGCTCGTCCTCATCCTCAGGTGCTCCAGCAGATCCACCCGCACCCGCGCCATCAGCATACAACTTGCTCGTGATCGGGCTCACGACAGACTGAATCTCTGCCAACTTCTCCTCGAAATCATCTGTGGTCGCCGCCTCACCGTTCTCCTCGATCCAATCGGTGGCCTCCTTAATGGAGGCAAGAATTGTCTTTTTGTCGTCGTCGCTCAGCTTACCACCCAGTCCGGATTGGTCGCCGAGTTGAGACTTGAGACCATAGACGAAGGATGAAAGAGAGTTGAGAGCCTCGATGCGCTTGCGGTTGGCATCGTCCTCCGAAGCGAACTCTTCGGCCTCGCGTACCATGCGCTCGATCTCTTCCTTCGAGAGACGACCCTTCTCGTTCGTGATCGTAATAGACTCCAGTTTACCACTAAATGTGTCATTAGAGTGGAATAAAAATGACAAATACCAATAGCACGCACGTTCCCTTGTCGGCAGCGGAGACCTTCATGATACCGTTGGCGTCAATTTCGAAGGTGACCTCGATCTGAGGGACGCCGCGAGGAGCAGGAGGAATACCGGAGAGCTCGAACTTGCCAAGCAAGTTGTTATCCTTCGTAAGGGCACGCTCACCCTCAAACACCTGAATAAGAACAGTAGGCTGGTTATCAGCGGCGGTAGAGAAGATTTGACTCTTCCGGGTGGGGATGACGGTGTTACGAGGGATGAGTTTGGTGAAGACGCCACCGGTAGTCTCGATGCCGAGGGTGAGAGGGCAGACGTCGACGAGTACAACGTCTTCCGTTCCTTGTTCGCCAGAAAGGATACCACCTTGAACAGCGGCACCGTACGCGACGGCCTCGTCAGGGTTGATTCCCTTAGAAGGCTCCTTTCCAAAGTAATCCTTGAGCATCTGCTGGACCTTGGGAATACGAGTCGAACCCCCAACAAGGACAACCTGTTGAAAATGAATTGGTCAACCCGTAAAAAACGACTGATGAAAGTGTACCTCATCGATGTCTTCCTTCTTGACGTTGGCATCCTTGAGAACCTGTTCGACTGGCTTCATGGTCTTGCGGAACAAGTCCATGTTAAGCTCCTCGAACTTAGCACGGGTAAGGGTCTCCGAGAAATCATTGCCATCCTCGAACGATTCGATTTCGATGCGAGTCGACTGTTGGCTGGAGAGAGTGCGCTTAGCCTTCTCGACCTCACGCTTCAGTTTGCCCATGGCGCGCATGTTGGTCGAAACATCCGTTCCGGTCTTCTTCTTGTATTGCTTAACGAGGTAGTCGATAACCCGGTTGTCGAAGTCCTCACCACCGAGGTGGGTGTCACCTGCGGTCGCCAGAACCTCGAAAACGCCGTCGTCGATGGAGAGAAGGGACACGTCGAAAGTACCACCACCAAGGTCATAAACAATGATTTGAGACTCGCCACCCTTCTTGTTGAGGCCGTATGCAATCGCAGCAGCGGTGGGCTCGTTGATGATGCGAAGGACTTGAAGACCCGCGATGGTGCCGGCATCTTTGGTTGCCTGGCGCTGTGCATCATTGAAGTCTGGGGCGTGTTAGTCATTAACATCACGGGGAATTTAAAAAATAGGGCTTACATGCGGGGACAGTGACGACTGCATGCGTAACCTTCTCACCGAGGTAAGCTTCAGCAGTCTCCTTCATCTTGGTGAGCACCATTGCGCTGATTTCCTCGGGAGTCTATGAAGCTCAGGTCAGTTAAGTCAAAACACCTAAAGCACGATGCGACTACTCACAAAATCACGCATCTCGCCCTTGTAAGAAACCTGAATAGATGGTTTCCCGCCTTTGTCTGCGACGGTAAACGGCCAGTGCTTCATATCACGTTTCACTTCGTTTTCGTCCATTTTACGACCGATGAGACGCTTAGCATCGAATACGGTGTTTTGAGGATTCGAGTGAAAAGCATTCTTGGCACTATCGCCAACACTGAAATTGCACGACTCTTAGTGGGACGAGCAGATGTATGTAATATCGAAATACTCACAGTCGTTCTTCGTCCGTGAAGCTTACCCATGAGGGGGTTATCCGGTGACCCTGATCGTTGGCGATAATTTCCACACGACCGCCGCGCTGTACACTTGAGAGGGAGTGAGAAACAAGGACGCCATTCTACGGGTAGAAATATACTTACCCAACACATGAATACCTTTACATTTCCGTGAGACGTCAGTCTATGGCACGGTCTGTTAACGAAAAAAAAAACATACGTTGTACCTAAGTCTGTCAATCCGAGCATGAGCATTGCATCGACAGGGACGTAGAAAGAACACACGCACCAATACCAATGACGGTTCCATACTCGCTCTTTTTCGCCGAGTCTTGAGCTGCTACGGGAGAGCAGAAGCAAAGGAGCGCGACGAGAGCGACAAAGAACAAAGACAAGGACGATAGCAGATGGCGCGATCTTGCGCGTGAAGGACGGCGGTGATGCAGGGCCATCATCGCTGGTGGTAGTGGTGAGAGAAAAAGAAAGAGTGTTTAGCTTGTGTCCACACACCCTTCGAGGCAGCCCTTTTTATCCAGCAGAGTCCAAAGAGAGTGACACGTCGACACCATAGACTATTCTCACGGTCACGTGGGGACACGTACACCACCCCAAGCTCAGACGTGTACCGACACAGCCAAGTCCGGGGCCGCGTTCCGTTGCTTCTTGCAAGTAAGACCCCTTTTCTACCAAAATCCACATTGATGTAAAATGTCCACCGGGTATTACATCCAAATCCCTACATCTAGTAGCATACGAATCACGGAGAAAGAGTATTTTGTACCATTTGTCCTAGCACCGCGAGCCCACCTCAGAAAGGGATCGCCAATAATTGTCATCTTCTACCCGCCCTCATCGCCTGTGAATAATTTGGAAGCTCGGTCGTAGCCAGTGAAGTAGGCCGTGGACTGTTCATGATCTGACCGTGGGCACCTGCCCCCTCCAGGTGTGGGTGATCAAAAGACTGCTGGCGAGATCCTCCCTGTAGACAATATGTCACTCTACTAGGATTACATACATCCCTGAGATTACGCGTACCAGAGGTTGGCTCGATAATGGAACACGTTCCACTTGAGAAGGATGAGACACGCCTTCCGAACCATCACCGGGTGCCCTCTGATAGGCATTCCCAGAACTTTGATGACCTCGGGGATCTAGTGACGTGGTGAAACCTACAGCTCCTTCTTGTGTCTGCTGGCTGACGTGGATGCTATGCAGTTGATTGTGGATCGCTTCCGCAGCCTTCCACTTCCTGTAGAAGTAAAACGCGAGGAGAAAACTCAATGCAGCCATAGCCGCGGGTACGGTGATGCCTGCGATGGCTCCAGCAGTCAATTGTCTGACCAAAAAGACGACGATCAGTGACTGGTATTAATGAGACAGGAGTACATACTTCGAATTAGCGCTGTGTCGACCATGGAATTAGTAAGTAAAGAGCGATCGCCGAGAGTAATTAATCTTACCTTGAAGTTAAGTCAACAGAGACACTAGTACTTGACAAGAAATGTCAGCGTCGGAATCAGAGCGAGAAAGTGCAGCCGACGCTCACCTCGATAGGTTCGATACCAACGCATAATCAATGCCCAGTCCTTGTCCGCTTGTACTAGGGGCATTCGTGATGGTTAGCTTGTGTTGACCAGAGCCAAGGTTATCCGCATGGAAAAGCGTGATTCCGTAGTATGGAAGATTGGCCGTAGCATTGTACGTATTGGTCTGCCCACCATCTAGCTGAACGGTGTAGGGTCCATTCGAAGTCCCGGTCTTACCGAACAACGTAACCATATCTCCTAAGGAATAATAATCGCTGTGAGACTTGAGTTATGTATGGCAACGGCGGAGCTAACATGCCCTGAGAGGACATACTTGAGTCAAACCTTATGGCTAGATGGATGCAGTGGTGCAACGCACTGTGAAAGTCAAGGTTGCGCTGGTTTGTTCTTCCGTATAGCTTGACGTTTATTGTCAGTGAATTCAGAAGCCTGCATTGGCTAGTTAGATGCACCTACTGGCCTGTGCCATTGCTGTACAAGTTGACGTCACTAGGTGAATCCCACAGCGACTCCTGGTATTGGAACCGCGAGTCCGAGTCGTCGATTGTCTCTGTGATCAATTGGTCGTCTTCATTTCCAACGTTTGATTGCCATACAATCTACAACAGCACATGAGATTCTTACATACGAAATGAACAAAAAAACACAGTTCGCTCACCAAATCGGCACCAACGTAGAGAGTCGTTCCCGACCCCGTGTTCGTTAGAGTGAGTTTGTGCGTTCCTTGATTCAAATCGGTGATGTTGAAGATGGGGACCATGAACTGCTCTTCGACCGAGTACCCGTCATAGGGTCCATACGTATTGTCGTCGACTTGAACCACGAAAGTGCCATGATTATTCCTTCGAGCGCTATACCACCAAATTCCTGTACCGTTGAAGGTAAAAGTCACTTGTCCGTTTGTTACATTGTTGGTAGTGAACGTCCCGTGGTAGTACCTGCAAAGGAAAAAGAAAAACGAACACATCATTTGAACAGGGTACAGCAAGAATCGCGTTTTACATACTGGTCTTCAAGTTGATCGTCAGCACTCGTTCCAGGCAACCAGGTAGAATCGTATTGGATGAGCGGGGACTTGTCGTCGATGAGGTTAGTGACCAAAGGCATCCCCGTTGCGAAGCCTGGTGTGAACCGTGAGGGGGATTAGGTGCGACTATATGTATTAGTGCTGCGGAGAGGACAAAGCCCCACAGATACCGCCCTGGAATGTCCTGAACATACATAAAGTCTGTTACGCTTTATGTTTAGTCGCCGGTCCCTGCATAAAGTTACGGTGATGTCCACCAACTGAGTAGTGTATCAATGGTGCCTCGCGCGCGATCATGGCAGGCAGGCAGTGACTAAACCTGCTGGAGGAAGACCAGTACGATAAGTCTCCACTCGCTAGACCAAAGTGATCAGTGCGAGGTGACCGATGACAGTCAACTGTCAGGCAGTGACTTACATGAAAAATAAAGTCCAACACCAGCGCGCAATTCACTGTCGCGCTCGAAAATTATATAGGTGAGCAATCAGGCTTTCTGAAGATAGTTGTTCCCCGCCCGTTTCGCAATCCGCCGTATCGGACGCGCATCATGACGCACTGGTCAGATCAAATCTCCCTCGACGGGTGCGATTTCTGTTGCTATGACATCAAGCACCCCCCGATCATAGAATATCTCCTCAGGCACGCTCGCGCTCTCCACCGACTCCGTGACTCCACAGCGGCCATTCTTATTCCATTGCTCCACATGTAGGTGATGCCTCCGATCAAGACTCTTGGCCATGAGACCACTCTCAGCGCGTGCTCACTATTTCGGAGAAGGGGAAAAGCCAGTCAAGAGAAAGAACTTATATCCTGCATAGTCTGAACGTGTCTACGCTATGCAACTCCACGGCCCATATCTAAGCGGCTCCCGACTGTAGGCTTCTTCTCTATGGAATTGATCCCCTGTCACTACATAAGTCTATGGTGGAGCTCATACGTCAACCGAGTGAGATCCTGGATATGCAGTGTCCCATGATGATTGAATTGTATGACTGCGGCCCTCTTCACGCCCATGACTTTTGTAATAGATCCTGGCTTGTCACATAGCCACTCAGTACTACGGATCCAGTTGTCATGCCTGCAAGATGATAGCACAAGAAGGAAAAACTACTTGGTTACTAAGCGATGAACGACAATTTAATATGCCAAGACTCAGCACTCGACATCGGTCGCGTTTATGTATGTAGTTGCAGAATACTTTTTCCGCACGGCCGTCAACGCGTTCCCCGTCGAAACTGGCGCTCAAGTCCGACCTTCTACCTTACCTAGGGCCTATGACCAGCGACCAGCCTGTCAGTCTTCCAATTTCATACGTTCAAGGCTCGCCGTGTGGAGTATCGCTTGCTGGGCTCACACACCTCGAGAGTATGTCTGATCGACTTGTGATCGTCGACGTATTGAACTTTGCATTGACTCGTCAGGAAGATGAAGCTTTTGAACGTAGAAGTTGTGCTCGACCGGGAAAAGGATATCCAGCAGGCCGAATCTGATCCTGAGGTCCTTAAGGAGCTTGATGACGAGGCCACACATTATGCCATACTATCACACCGCTGGGGGGTCGAGGTCACTTACAAAGAGATGACCGGACTCACGAAGATGGAGGAATGGAAGAGGGACGAAGTCAGGAAGCGCTACGGCTATCAAAAGATCATCAAGAGCTGCCAGCAAGCTATGAAGGATGGCTACAAGTGGTTGTGGATCGATACCTGCTGCATCGATAAGCGGAGCAGTTCGGAACTCTCGGAGGCTATTAATTCAATGTATCGGTGGTATCGAAACGCACAGGTCTGCTATGCGTACCTCAATGACGTCCACGAGTCAGCCTTCCCTATCGAACAAAATAACAGCGAGCATGAATTTGGCAACTTTCACGGTTGGCCGGAGTGGTTTGTACGGGGCTGGACGCTACAGGAACTCATCGCACCGAAGCGAGTTGAATTCTTCAACAAAGACTGGGCGCCCATTGGCAATAAACGGCACCTTGCACCGACATTGGAGAGGATAACAGGTATTCCTTTGGAAGTTCTGAGGGATGGTCTGACTGCGAAATGTCTCAGCGTCGCACAAATCATGTCGTGGGCTGCCGACCGGCAGACATCGCGCTTGGAAGATCGGGCGTATTCTTTGATGGGGCTGTTCGGAGTGAACATGCCCATGCTGTACGGCGAGGGCAAAAAGGCATTCCACAGACTTCAGCTGGAAATCATCCGCATATCGGGCGATCACAGCATATTCGCATGGGACCCATGGAAGCCACGGCCGGGCAGTGTCCTGGCAGAGGATCCGAGCGACTTTCGGGATTGTGTCTCTATCAAGAAGATGGAACCCGACGATTTCCACAGACTATTAAAGAATTACATTGAGAACAAACTTGAACTCGACGGCCTCAGAAACGACGCAGAGACACATTGGCACAAACTCGCGGCGTTGCGTGACGCTGCGCACTCCCGGCAGTTTCGCACATTTACTGTCAGCAACGCGGGCATCCAAGTATGGCTGCCCGTCATCCCCTCTAGCGACTCCCCGTCTCTTTTCAGGGCCACATTGGCATGTAGCCATGGTTCGCGTCTCGTCACAATCGACTTGATATCCCCTGGGACCAGCTTTGACAGGACTTTTGGCACTACAAAAATTCTCAGGACGTATCCAGAGTTCAGGACACTCTATCTATCCCATCATCAAAATGAAATGCGCTGTGAGTTTCTCCTGGACGACAAGAATGCCTCATACCGTGGGTTCACCCGCTGCGGCACCTTCCCGCGCGAGTTCACAGGCGATACTGTCGCACTTTCATCCGTTACAAATGATCTCATTGTCATGGTCTGCGCCAACAACGATACCAGGTCTCACTTTGCAGTTGGAATTGGATATTACCTCGGCCAAGGGTGGGTGCATGTCATCAACGATGAGCGCCTCGCATCCGAAGAGGAGGACTGGAAATCGCCAGGCTTTGCCTCGCGAATATACGATCGAATGTGGAATGCACGTGCGGAACATGCTCGGAGTATGCCCAAACAAGAACATGACTATGGGCACTGCCACGACTACTTCATTAAGCATACCCATCTCCCGCAATCAATTTGGTGTGCGAGAGTAATCTGGGGTAGATGGGAGACAGACAATTTCAAGATTATGATCGATGTCGACCAATGTCCTGGCTGTTGTGATGGGCCACGTGCATGGACAATTACGTCTGTGGGTATTTTCTCCCCTTTACCATGCGCGTGGACTTCACACTTGTGTCACCATAGAATGGTTGGAACGGTCTGGATATGCCAGGTCTCATGAATACAGTTCACCATTCTTATTCTATGGAACTGGATGGGTGGCTGACTCGGTTTGATAAGTTTTCTGGTCACAGAATTGTGGTACGTCGTGCCGCGTCTCCTTCTGCTTGGCTTGAGCCCGAGATGAACAGTTGGGTGATTATGGCGACTACCTCAATGGCAATTTCAAACGCACTGGCAATATATTCGAGGATATGATGGCGCTTGGAATCGATCCTATGGAGTCAGCTTACTGCCCTGTGGTTTCCTATGTTTCCAGTGACATAGCGTATCATGATGGGCACAAACACTTGGCACTGTGTCAACCGAGGGGTTTCTCGCTTCCCGCCAATGAATGTTTTGTGCTACTCTTGAAAGCCTTGTCTACTCGTCTTGCGGGAAAATGTTTGGTGATAACGGTCGTAAAATGCGTAGATATCTATGGAGTTGGCATTGGCAGAAAACGAAGAGACAGTGAGTTTTCTGTACGACATCCTGTCCTGTTTATTTTTATGACTTTGAGTGTCAGATTCGGTGCCAGACAGTGGTAGTTACGCCGCAGAACCTTCGGTTATGACTCCACTCTGTGCTATCGCAAGCCCACAAGTTTGGAGAAGAGAACCGCCTTGCGCACAGCGAAGGGAACAATTCAAAAGTATTCGGTAAGCCCATGGAATCACTTGTGTTATGTTACTGATACTGTGTTTCGCGATGTAGGGAGCACTTTTATGCCCTCGTGAATATGGTACCTCCTCAAGATGGAAAGAAGGATAGAGCGATCGAATTCTTCTGTGACGTGTTTGGCCTCGAGTATCTTAAAAACTATGTACGTATTCATCTTTTTAGTGGCTCGTTCCATTCACGCCCTCTGTTAAATGTAGATTGGCAACATCACGTTCTTCAAAAGGCTCTCTCTGATGGTAAAAACCGATTCAACCAGCGAAGTTTCTGTAGGCAGCACAGAAGGTCGGCGCGTCATACCAGATATGTTGGTGCGCAAATTGACATTGCGGCTTAAGAAGATGGTTTGCTAGGATGCAGACCAAAATTTCCAGGTGTGAATTGGACGATGACGTGTAACCCATTTAAGAGCAACCAGCAGTCCAATGCGGCGCAAGACCTGCACTCTGACGTCGTGTTACCTCTCTTGCGCAGGCGGTGCCAAATACTTTGTGCATGGCGTGACTCGCCACGTCGGTATACTGATGAAAAGCAAAAGGTGGAATGCGAGTCAAACTCCATACAGCAGACATTGGGTGCTGGTGTAAGTGTTGCCTTGGACAAAAAAAGAGCAGAAACTGATTCCAATTACAAAAAGTTACTCGAAGGGATAACCACTACCTTTGGCACTGCATCCTATGAACATGAGAACTTGTGAGTACCTTCATTACTTGGCATTGCTACCGGTGGACTGCCACTTATTGTTTCCTGGCTCCAGAGTGACAGATCAAATAGGCCACAAACATGACAGGTCAGCACCATATCTACTGACATTCATTAGTCCATGTCCTAAATGTCATATGTAGACAACTTGACATTCCTTCCATGGTACAAGAAATAAATGTGCTCCAAGGGAAAGTCGATGCCACAGAGGACGACGACGAGAAACGAGCACTGGAGGAGGACTTGACCGGAAAGGTAAGGGCAGTATCAAGTCGTTACCTTTCTGGGCTCAGGATGGTCCGTTTGTTAATAGATCTTGTGGCTTTGTTGGTGTGGGATCTGTGCAGAAGCGAACCAAGCGTTACCAAAGGCAAGTCAACCTTCTCGGCTCCAGAGATGGTATTTGACATTGCTCAGGTTGTGGATTTCATCTGGAAGGAAGGAAATATTAGGGCAAGTGATCTCACACTCAAACATCATCATAGTGACGATTGTCAACAGGGTTTATGGGAGATTTCTGCGATTATGGATTCGGTAGAGTATATAGACCGTGATGACAATCAAACTCACATGCAGCGGTAAGCGACCTCATATGGCGTCGATTTGAATTGCTGAACACACATTGTTTCAGGATCATGCGTGATGCGGGGGCGGGCACTTCGAAACATCGACTGTTGCTTGCCGCTCGCGCTGCCGAACAAGCCAAGTGGTCCCAGTCAGGTACGGCCAGAGCCACACCCGCTATCGACGATCCGAGTTCCAGTGCCCGAGCTCCCTCCACATCAGCACTTTAGCAGACACGGGTATTGGCAAGTACGTTTTTGACCTTCGTCTGGATAAATTCAACTTGTGGATGACAATTGTGATCTTAACCAGAACGATGCAGTCAACGTGTATTGGCTGGCTCTTCGATGTAACGAGTCTCCTTGTCCGGCCTTGTAATGGTAGATAGAGGCGCAACACATATCTTTCTGTAATCCGAGATGAGCCCAAGGGGCGATTGCAACCACAAGCCAAGGTCTCAGGAACAGACACGAAAACAAAGCGCTTCGAAAAAATCTGCGATGACCTCAGTTACTCATCTCAGGACATTGCCTGAGTTCGAGATGCCAGAGGAAGCTCTGGCGCCCGTTTATTTCGTTCACCAGTCCAACACTGACGCATACTTCACTGTTGCGCTCGAAAAATTCGGTGACCAACCTTGCTGAAGACTATTACGGTTATACGCTTCCTGTTTTGCCGCACGACTTCATCATCGACCTGGACGGGGCGTGGCCGCGTGCTCGAATGTATCGTGTACTGGTTAGACCAAGTCTCTCTCGACGAGTGCGATTTTCGTTATTCAAAGCACCTCCCAATGATACAACATTGCGAGTAACCTACCCTTCTCGCTGCAACCGCTCTCACCCCATTGCCTTACAAGATTTGTACGCCTGCAATCTTGCAAGACTCGGGGAAAATGCGTCTGTATCCTGCGTGTCTGAACCTGTCCACATGCAGCTCTGCCGTCCGTATGTACGGCTGTCAGCTATAGTTTCCTGTTCTAATGCCATGCAATGGATCCCCTGTCACTGCGTCTGTGGAAGGACCAAGTAGTCCCAGGCGTTCAGGGGCAAAATACCTAGCGAGGTCTTGGATATGCGGTATCTGTTGTAGTTGACGACCTTGGAACGGGCGTGGCGCTGCACTATGGTGCACTCTGGCGTACCTTGAGTTATATACCACTCTGAACGGAATCAAAATAATTGAACCGTATGGCTTCTTTAATTAAGATTCTATTCATGCTCGTAAGTTTTGCAACCGGTCCATCAGAGTAGTCAATTTTACGGTCCGCATTTGGAGCTCGGCCAGTCACGATTGTCCACCCCAACTCGCACTCCATCTTCGCATTGACCATCCAAGCACACACAGTGCATAAATGGCTCCTGCACAGACAACAGAACAAAGTTTTCGATCCAACTTGTCCCAATTCCGGTGGGCGAGGGGTGTGACTGACGACTCCCAGCATGCGCAGCAGCAACAACAACAGCAACAGCCCTCAGCGTTCTCCCGCTTCTACAACGCCGTCGCAGGCGATTACATACCACTAAGGTCGGGCGAACGGTCGAACGAAGAGGAGGCGTGGTTTGCGTTGTCTAGATGGGACAGGTCGGTGGAATGACTTCCCCTGGAAAGTTGTTAGGAAATGACGTCTTACATCCCAACCTGTCGCTGTCAAACCCGATGCCGTGTTCCATGCGTTGGTTGATATGTATGCTAGGTTATTGGGATTCGGCGCATGCTTGATTGGAGCGGTTGTCTGTTTCTTCTTTGCGTTCATGGGACTGCCATGGCTCCCAGTACGCCCAGCGAAGTTTGCTTTGGCGTTTAGGTGCGGCGCATTCCATGTCGAAATGCGGAACGTGTTCACTTACACCCTATGTGTTCTTTCTTGCCTTCACAGCATGGGAAGTCTGCTGGTCATGATTGGGTGGGTCACCGTTCTTGCAGAATCGATCGATCCGAGATGCTTAACCACCAATAACAGCTTCTCGATCCTGGTCGGACCAATCAACCACATCAAACACCTGCTCTCTCAAGAGCGACTACCTTTCTCCGCAGTCTACTTCTCTAGCCTAGGGCTCACGCTGTATTTCTCGCTCGGGGTAAGTTCTGCACCCGCGTCTCATCGATGTGAACGTTCCATTGCTAACTTACGCCCTTCAGGCACAATCGTACCTGGGTTCCCTGGTCGCTGGGATAGTCCAGGTATGGTGCCAATCATTTTGTCCTCTGTTCGTGTAGCTTGAACTCCTTTGGATCGTAGGTTGTCGCGCTCGTTGCCTATGTGCTTGCATACTTCCCAGGTGGTACCCAAACCCTTCGTTTTGGTGGACAAGTCGCTCTCAGAGGTGCAGGGAGCCTTCTTCCCATCTAACTTCCCCGAACTCCCCACTGCCCACTATTTCTCACCGTTGTAACTAATTTCACTGATATTTATTCGCGTTTCGCCATCTATAAGGCGCCAATATGTTTTGTTCGAGGGCTATGCATTGTTGCATTCCCAGAATTAAATACGTCCCGTTTCGAAAAGGACAAGGTTCTACTGCAAATTACAGAAGTGCGTTTATGTGGAGCGAAGCACTAGTGGGGCTTCTTTTGTTTTAATGTAACTACCTGAAGCGAACTCGGCGGAACAAAACATCCATTCGTGCCAACTGGCTCGCCTACTCGAGCACATCGTGCAGCCCGATCGTATCCCTCAACCGCCTCGACATGATGTCAATGTAACCCTGGTATGATTGCCACTCGGCACCAACAGTTTCCGCATCCTTTAAAGCAGTCGTCAATGAGTAAACCATCACCGTCTTCAGTGGGAAGATTTTCCAAAAATTGCTCACCAGATCCAAAGCAGACACCTTCATCAACGGGCCTACAAGCCTCTTACCAGCCTCTGCCTTGAATGATTCCCTGTCAGGTGCAGGAAGAAGACGCATGGACGACTTCAGATTAGGAGGTTGCGGGGCAGTAGGGTGTGCTGGGTCGGTTTCGGCGTAACTCGCGAGATGTCGCCAGAGCAGTAAGAGGAGCATCTCAAGAGCGCTCAATGCTGTCTTTACCTCGTCCTGTAGCTCAGTTTTGAGACGTGCATATCCTTGACGGATCAATAAACGTTTTTGAGTCATATTGAGGTCCTGGAGGAAGGCGGGATCGGGGATGTGCACGATCTATAAGCATATATGTCAGCATACGAAGCATAACCGCCAAATATCATTCACCTCTTGGATGTTATCCACACGGATATGGTCCCTCGAGGACAGTTCCGCTGACAAATCGGCAATCTGCTTCAACGTCGCAGTAAGATCACTGCTGAGGTCGTTCAGGGCCTCAATAGCTTCGCCAACTGTGGGGATCGTAGCCACGAATCTTGATGGACGCTCATCGTGGCGAGGTGCAGACAGAACTGGTGAAAGGACCAAAGTAATCTCCGGCTCTACGAGAGAGAAAAAATCGAACACGTCTCAAAAGCCCATTTTCTTTTGTAGTGGTAAGACACATACCAGTGAAATCGCTCGCCGCACCGAGATACTCGATGACTGCTCCCTGCAGCAACAGCAACTTGTGCCGCACCGTGGCATCGAATCGGCTCTCAGATTGGCCTGGTGCAAGGACGCTGGCGTGAAGTACCTCAGTATCTGTCTGAGGCTTCACAAACGCGCTCCAGTTTTCGTTACCCAGGCATCTGGCAGCCAAGCCCAGGATTGCACCGTGAATGCCGCCGAAGCCTGTGTTCATGGACGCCTAATTTCTTGCTGTTTAGCGGGCGATAAGACACCTCTTATACAACTACTTACTAGCTCTGATTTGGGTACGTAGGGTAGGAGGCTTCCGCTGAGCGTAACCAAGAGATGCACCTCTTCAACATAGGACAATCCAACCTCGTCAGAATCATTCTTGAGCATGATAATGATAGTATCGCGGTGGTTCGACAAGAAGTCCAGAGCCTACACAGATGTAAAGTGATCCGGTTGTCTGAGCAGGAGGAAACCTCGTTCAACTCACCTGATGGCTTGCAGTCGTGTGTTTAATGCCGAGTGAAGCTAGCATGGCCACCACTAGTTGCAAAGCCGGCATGAAAAGTTGATGGTACCGCTGGATCGCAGATGGCAGGAAGGAATCACGGTCTACGGGAAGGAGTAAGACATGTAGCGATCAAAATTGACGGATAAGTATAACACGAACCCATGAATGACTGGTCGGCTTCGGGTCTCGTGTCCAGGAATTCACACTGCGCGAGCGTTGGCAGTATCTGCGCTTCGAGCAGTCGTTCTGCACCCGCTCTGAACTGTGCCATGCGAGTGAACAAGGCCATTTTGGCCTCGTATACATAGAGAGGATTTAGATCGTCTGAGAAAATCGGGGTCAACGAACCATACCAATACAAAAAAAACGCTCGCAATGTAACTCTTACCTGGATCAGGCTTTAGAACATGCTGAAGTTGTGTCTCTGTCTCCTTCAAACCCCGCACAAAGCTCGACAGGTAACCATACCGAACCAACGTCGTCAATAGTGTCCTCGACTTCTCCGCGCGGCAGAGGTGAACGAGTGAGTCCAACAGTATGAAAGCGACTGTCTTCCATACTTCCGTACCATCGGTCGCGTCACGGGATATCGTAGTAACTAACCGCTCCGTCACGTTCTTCATCACCGAAAGCGAGCCGCCCTCCAGATTGGAAATACGCGAAGCTGCCCTGCCTCCGGGAGTTGGCGTAGCCGAACGGGCGGACTGACTTTCTGACAGCAACAAGTCTTCCCGCGTGCTCACCACCGATAACGAGAGAGACATGGAGCGCCTGCTGACGACATCTGAAGAGGGTTCCGAACGGGGCGACCGATCGTTACCGGCGACAAGATGGAGATAATTAACCAAGCATGCGTAGAGATTACCGCGAACGAGCTCCGAACGATCGCTGTCCAAGATACACTCTAGAATGTTACGTAGGAGAGCATACAGTCGCTCTTCGGGTAACGACCCAGCCTTCGGGTCGCCTCCAGCAGACTGCAACATAATCTGGTAACTGCGATCTTCCCGGAGTTTTGTGATTACTGTCAAGATCGCCTCCGAAAGTAAAATTGACGTCCGTTTTTGTACGTCAGATCGAATGAGAGCGGGAAGAACGTGCAGCAGGTCGAATAGCATGTTTTCGCGTCGATCGTGTGGCAGTCTGTTGAAGCATTTCATGAGTGTCATGTCCAGCAGTCTGCGCCACGATTCGTAGCCGTTGGCGACGGCGTGGGTAATTTCCCGTCGATGGTTTTCAACGGCACAACTTTCGAGAATGTATGTTGTCTCCGAATTCAATTTCTCCGCTAGCGACGTCGTGGCAATCTGCCCTTGCGCGTGAAGCGAGCGAGATGCAGTTGTAAGGAGTGATAAGAGTGCCGATCTGTCGACGATCTCGCAGCCGGTTGCATCGAGGCGAATACACGAATGAAGGTTGAGCGTAGCAAGAAGCTCAACGTCGACAGGATGAACGGCAAGGCTATCCGACCAATCGAAGCTCAATGACTGCACGAACTCGATGATGCGTAGTTGCGACTGTCCGATATCTCTAAAAGGTTGGATCGTTCGATCCTCCCATTCTGCGTCCATATCGTCATGCAGGCTCTCCGTTCCGTAAAGGATCTGCAGGATGATAAGGACCCCCTTGAAGTGTCCCCTGTTCGTCAACACATGCAGCTCTAGGGCAGCGAGATCCAAAATTCGTGAACGCAGCCCCGTGAACGCACGGACAGTCGGAACGTTCGTCAGTACACGCGCACCGTCGTTGTACAGCATTTCTATCAGTGGCTCAACGGAAGCCGTAGGAACCTTGGATGGTATTGCCGCAAGGTGGCGGACGAAAAAGTCCTCGTGAGTTCGCAAGTATCGCATCGTGGGATCCGACGTCCGAGGATGCACGCATAAATTATAGATGATCCGGTAGCACTTCTCGGCTAGCGCTGGGAGTACTGTGAACAATGGTTCGGTAGGCGCCAATAGCGTACGGTCTCGATCCCTCCCTCCGCCCCCTGCTGGTGGTATGCCAGCGTTTACCAGATCAAGAATTACATGAGAACAAGTGCGGTGTGCACCGAGGGCATGAGAGTCTTGAATTTGATAGCCATCTTCCGAACCACCGAAAAGTAAGAAATGGGCGATGTTAGGATAAGGGCGGTCCGGGAGGGTGTTTTGCACGAGCAATTTAAGGACGGCACTTCGAATGGCCTGGTCAAGAGACTCCTGTGTCTCTTTGTCGGGGGCACCAGCACCAGTGACCTGCTCTGCATATGCTTCAGCCGTTTCTACGTCGTCCAGCGAGTCCGTTTCGAGTAGTTGTCGGAACCCGCTCAGAATGCGTTCCGATTCGTTGCTACGTTCGATGAGATTTAGCATGGTGTGGACCGGCAGGGTGCGCGCGAGCTCTGTGATGATTTTGGCCGCAAGGAGTACGAGTTCGGGGTATGCGGGGTACAAGACGTACGTTGCGAGCGCGGGAATATATTGTGACCCATAGGCCAGTGCCTGGTCCAACCGCGTGTAGTAAGAGCGTGGTTGGACGCTCGCCGCTAGAGGCACGCCGTCGAGCTCACTAAGGACAGGTAATAGAACATCCAAGAATATGTCCTGAACCTCGAGAACGCGCTGGGCTATACGCAGGACGCGCACGATCGTATTTCGCAAGCCAGGCTCTTCTTCCGTTAGATCCTTCTCAAACCCTTCGACGCCGTCAACAATATACGAGAGGATACTTGCCTGCAATGGCGAGTTGGTCAAGAGTCGCGAGATCACGTCATAGCCTGGATGATTGAGGAGCGGTACGACATTCTCTCGCCGCAACACGCCCTCCTCTCCGAGCCTCACCAGACTTTCCACCTCCCAACTGGCCAGAGTCCGCTCCACGAACTTCAAACAAAGATCGTTCATCTGCCAACGCTCCGAACGGTGCAAGTATTCCCTCCTAGGTATGTTGGCGAAAACATTGTCGATGACAAAACTGATATACGGGCCAATGCCGGGTACGCGATATGGTTGACCGAGGTTGTCAGGGATCGTATTAAGAGATTCCACATCGGTAAGAAGGGCTTTCTGTGTGAGACGCTTTGGCGTATGCAACAATGTGCTGAGGAGGTTGAGGAATGGAATCGTAGCCGGATACAACTTGTAGACTGCTTCAACCTCGTCCAGCTCCACCTCTACGCCCTTGACTGGAGGGAGCATGACACCCCCAACCCTTCCAGCACTCGTACCTGCACGGACGTTGATGACCTCCAACCTCTCCATAAGCGTCCATACTGTTTTGCACAACTCAACACCCGCAGATCCAGCGCCGGGTTCGCAGAAGGATGCCAGCGCATCGAATATGGCGCCTTTCAACTCGAGAGGGATGCCGAGGGGAATGAGAGATACAAGTGTTGGGATGGCACGAAACTGCGCGGTATTTGCGACGGCGAGACGGACTGAAACCGCGTGGAATGCAACCGTGGATAACAGGCGGAGGAAAGCCTGTGCAAGGAGGACCTCCTTAGGTCCAATTACGATCTGTGGCGCAGGTTGGAAGGCGGGTGGCTGCAATGCCGTATGGCTCTGCGAACCGAATGGACCGAACGTCGTTGAAAGAGAGTGCTGAGGTGGTTGGTTCGCGCGCGTGGAGGGTGCAGGTGTCGCCCACGACTCGAGGAGAGAGAAAATCATTGTCCAAGATACAACCTGTCCTGCATTGTAGTGCGCCGAACCAGACGCAGCGGGAAGACTACTACCAGGTATCACTTCCGAACCACCGCGAGCCAAGAAGTTATATGCGAGCTCGCTGCATTGCTGTCCTTTGGCAAGACCGCTGAGCATGTTGTACAACGCCGTCATCATACTGATGTCCCTAACTTGGGTGGACCAGACGGCCCACTGGAGGAACGAAGGAAGCTTCCCGGAAGATAACTCCGAAATCTCGATGTACGAGAGTCGCCGTCCATCGGTTTGGGGAGTCGCACCCCAGAATTGCAGAGCACGTTCAGGGGGTAGAGTCGAATACAGGATACCAATGAATGTGTATAACGTCGCAATATCATTGCGTGGTGGAGTCTGGCCTTCAGCGTCACCTGTGGATGTCGCAGTCGACCTAAACATCCGCGTGCGGTCCGTTCGCGCGCTTGCAAGTACATCTTCTTGCCTTTGTTTTATCTTGCGCAGCTCCGAGCTCGCATACGCAATCAAAGACCTGACAAGCACGTCAAAGACGTTGAGGACGGCGGGTTGGAATTCATCCGCAGGCGGCTCCCGCTGCTGATCCTGCTCTGGAGTAAGCTGAACGAGGTGCGCATACAAACTGGGGAGGGAACCGTGGGACCTCCTCTGGAGCTGGATGAGGGCGGCGACGAGGTTGGTGAACGCGTCACCTTGAACTGCGTCCCAGATCCGGGATTCGAGCTCTTCGGTCTTGAAACCCTCTTGATTCTCCAAAGACGGGTCTCGGTGACGTGCCTCGGTCATGAACAGCGTCCATTTAAGTGTAACAACAGCTTTTAGGCTCGAGTCTTTCCAACAGAGAGCAGGTCCCAACTTGTTCTTCATATAGTGGATCATAGACTTGTCTACTGCAAGGCTGCGACGAACTCTGCCGCCGTATGTCTGGGGGTCAGCGGGGTCAAAAGCAGTGAGGACGGCGGTGAAGATGTAAAAGGTTATGGAGTCATTGGGATTGGTAGATAGCCAGTCGATCGCCTTCTGAACGTCTGCCGAGGAGAAATACCCAAGACGAGCGATTTGGTAGTAAATCGTGGACAAAAGTCGACGCTCATATTTCAGAGAGTCGCAACGCGCATTTAGGATGTCGAAGCCAAGTTTGGGCTGAGCGGCTGTGCATGCTACGAGTGAGAATCGCAGTCAACCGCAGATAGTGACGACTTACTTGTACTGGGTGGTACGGTGTTGCTGGTAGCAGACTGCTTAGCGGCGTAGGCTTCGGTGATGGTACTACCCAACGATTCGATTGTGCTGAACAGTCGATTGGCCAGCGTCGCGCCCTTTCCATCAACCTTAACCGCCTGCACTAATTCCTGCCTCAGAAACGCTTCCAACCTGACATACAATCTTGGTGCGTCCGACGACTGTGCTAGCTCGGCAGCTTCGAACAGGAACCGCAGACAGTCGATGAGATTGCGTCGTCTCTTGTGGAATTCGACGACAGTAGCCTCCATCGCACCGACAGAGTCTACGTTGGGGTTCTCTGCCATTATCGAGTGCAGTATGCTAGCGACGTATTTCTCAGAACATTTGAGCTGCTGGGCGAGGAATATTGTTTGTTGGGCGAAGTCTGCATTGACAGCGAGTGATCTGCCATTGAGGGTAACTTTTCCTAGTGATTGAAAAGCGCGAGTTACACGTCTACACATGCATGCATGACGGAAAGTGACAGATTAGGCTCACCGCTCTGTAGTTCTCGTTGCTCCTGGGATGAACTTGGGCCTACATTGAAGAGACTCTGTAGCCGAGATTTGTGGAACATAAGCTCGTCAAAGAGCTCTTGTTCGCTGTGCCCGCGCGAGCCGAGCGCCATCAACAAGACGCTTCTCAGTCCCGACATCGACTCCATTATTGTCGACAACCAAATTATTACAGTAGTGTTGTTGCGCTCGAGCAGGGCGGAAAGAGATGGGAAAACACTTCCATATATGGATGTGTCACGGTCACGTGACTGCACTCCCACAAAGGCCTCCCTCTCCTTCGCTCTCGATGATGCCACTCATGAGGATCTTGAAAAACAAGTGAATAAGGCCACTGAACCTAACTTTGGCGGCCACCAGTCAGGGACTTCGACGTTATCACCCTTCTTCAAGCCATCGTGGAGTTTTCGAATAGAATTCTGGGTCCCAAGTACAAATCGGTCCGCGCAGTAAGGGGTCAGCCCGAGTCATGCCGTTTGGTAGAACCAATCCTATCGTGATATTCGAAACTCGGGTCCATATGATTCCTTCTCCGTGTTCTCCGCTAACCCGCTTCCCAGACATACTTCAAGCGCACAGAACGGAAGGTCTTCTGGTCGCACTGGAGGATGCGTTGCAGACGGCATTCGTTTCCCCATATCGCAGCACGGCTTTGGACGCTTTTTATGAATGTCTGGAGGTCATTCCCCACGAGGCGCTCTGGCAAGCTGACGAATCAAAACGGCCCATGCCTTCGCATTTACGCGGCTTGAACCAGTGCACGTACTTCTCCTTTCTAGTTCTTAATGCGAGCCATTCCAATCGACGCTTCATAAACATCAATTCGCCTGCAAGATGGTCGACAACTTGTGCAATCAAGGATCAACTGCGGTTCAGCCGCACAGCACGCCATATGCGGTGGGCGGCCTAGGTGGAGTCGCTTAGCTCAAAGGCCAGGTTGGTTTGAGTCTATACTATAGTATTCGTATGTCTCTTTCCGCTGTGTTCGCCGCCTTGAGCCCTGTACCTATCGTACTCTGCCTATACACCCCGAAAGGCCATACGTAACCCATCAGTGGAGGGGTATAGGTCGCTTTTACTCTGTTGTCCTTCGCTACCAGTCTATCCTCGTCCTAAACGTTTCCCTGCTGTAGTCCAACCTATCTTTCTTGCAAAGATAGTAACGTCGGGCGGTCTACACACAAGATACTAGTCTAAGCACAATCTCTCTGCATCAATGATATAGCAAACATAGAACTAGAACGTATGTCCTTCGCCCGGATAGATTCAACTGATTGACGATGGTCGTTTCCCCCATTACGGGTTTCCTCGTCGAGCTGGGCCTTTTTGTAACGACAAATGACAATGTCCTACAACATCAGATGAATTCCTAGATCCCCGGACAATGGTACATGCAACCTTTTGTACAGGAACGACCAGGGCGAGCGAGAACGAGCGATTCTCCTTGGGCGATCCAGTCATACAGGTCCATGTTGAATGAAGGTTAGTTCAGTTGGCTCAGCACCCACTCAACCCAACCATACCCGTCTAGGTTCACCCCCGGCGGGAGCAGAATCTCGGCGTCTTCAATGAGAACACAAGACGTTACTGCAGTCCTATTAAAAGAGTAACGTTAGTAGGTTTTTCGGCATTCGCTCGCGACCCCGCAGATGCTAACCTAGACAGGCGTATCATTGGCAAGGCCTTGCTAGTACAAACCCTGATGCTACGGTGTGTCGCGACTTGTTGCCACCGCCATGTCCGAGGCAGGCAGAACAGTCAGCAAGAAGTCAGTTTTCTGACTGGAGGCAATTAACCGAACGAGTTCACTGTGGGTATGAGCATGCTTGAACAATTATGAATATATTGGCATTGGACTCCAGGTAAGAAGCTGGGACATAACGTGAAGCTGTCGATGTTCTACGGAACCGATGCAATCGATAATGACTGCATGTGTGTAGATGCGCGTGGACAGTACTTGAACGTTGAACCGTATTCCGGCGTACACTTCGATCGGTGACCGAAAACGAACCTGTCGCACTGCTGTTTTGTAGAAGGCTTATCGATCATCGATGATCCCTACCCCGGAGTATCGGCAGCTGACACGTCTTCTGCTGGATGCCTACCAGTCCATGTACCCTGCATCTCTCGAGTCTCCAGCTGACGTTCTCAGGTGCGGAAGTACTGGTCAGCTTGCTGAAAGGTGGGTGAAGTACAATTTCTGCAATCCCGGGCCATGCATACTGTACAGTGTAACTGGGTACATACAGAAGTGAGGGGTGGCAGTGATCCAACACCAGGTAGCCCCCGATATCGAACGAAAGAATGTACAGCAAGACGAAGAGAGAAGAACGACAAGGTAAATGTACACGAGGACATGGGATTAATAAACGACGAGGGGTGATACCGTATTGGGATTAAAGATTAAACCGATGAGGTACCAAGAAGAAGCAAGGGATGGATAGACGAGGTACCGCCCCGGACCAAGCATTAATCGTCGTCGTCATCGTCGTCAATGACATAAGCGAAAGGGGATGTCCTGATGGGCTGGCGGGGGCTATGGAATGGGGAACTGTCCTGGTCTTCATCGGGAGGGATCGGGAGGAGAAGACGGAAAGCGTCCTTTCCGTTGAGATAGAAACGATACAAGCGCTTCTCTCGGATAAACCCAAGAGATTCATAAAGAGCAAGCGCGGCTACGTTGTCATACTCGGTCTCGAGCACTACCTGATGCCGCCAGTGATTAGGTTGCCATGATATTTCAAATTTTGTCCCCGAACGTGCGCACGGTGAGTGGGTTGCGGTCGGTATTAGAGTTGGGATCAGGATGTCATCGAGGTGGAGTTTATAAAAGTCAGTTCAATAATACATACGTAAGTTCCTGGGAGCACTTGCCTCGTCTACGCCGTGCTGTTTCATAACTTCGATAGAGCGTCGTACGAGCGTACTGGCTATCAGACACCACGAAACACGTCATCATGAAAGTGTTGGTCATTGCAGCGTAGGGACAGGGACGAGAGCGAAGGGTGTCGTGTGGTGAATTATGGGTGACGGAGGTCGGGGAGATAACTCACCTACGCCACGCTTACGCCAGTTCTTGTTCACGCTGAGCATGGCTATATAGCCTCTGTTAGCGACATGCTTGTGCATACTCTGCTTGCACACGATGACGCCTATCGGAACCGAAGAGCCTGCTGGTATCGCCTGGAGGGGTCGATAACTTGAGTAACTGTGGTGCATGAAGCAGGACACCAAGTATTTACCAGGAATGCAAGTTGCGGCCTACATTGGAGAAAGTCAGTGAACGCAAAAGGAGATACGCGGAGGGTGGACGGACCATTGATGGAGAAAGTAACGGTAGGTGTAGATGACGTAGGGTTCACTGAGCTCACTCTGAACCAACGACATAATGTGGGGTAAATCTGATTCGCCTATATACTGTCTGTATACAATTTCAGCCATGATTTCGGGACTTCCAGGTGCTAGGATAGCAGATACAGTGGTGGTTAGAGGACGAGCAGGAGGACATACGCCAGTCCACGTGCGGGTGTCGAACAGCCCTACTTGTGTCCGGGTAAGCCCAAATATTTATTGCCGCTGTTCCCGGAGTCCCGGTCATAATCGGTAGACCATTTTAGTTGGCCCATCCCTAACGCCGATTTCTCAGAAGTCAAGCAGAGTTCTGTCCAAGGAGCACTCGGACAGTTCGACACTAGTCATTTGGCACGGTCCACCCTCGGACTCCTCTCACACAGTCCCCTTTATTGGGTTAGCCTTTTGCATTTGCTATGCGCCACTCCGGTCTACTACCATCCGACCACTGCTGCGGTAGATCATCCGGTGAGCTCGCTCACCATGGATAAACATGCAGTAAGTAGACCATCAGTTCTCAAACACGCCTCGGCGTTGCGCTGAGTTCAATGGTTGCTTGCTTCTGCATGTTCTCATCGTTACCTTGTGTGTCCAGGTACGTGCCCCGCATGTGCCTGGTTCTGAACTATTTGCAGACGGGTTGGCGCCACTTCTGTCACCGCTCAAACGCATGGCTTTATCATTTGTCTCCGCTGAGTACGGTTTCCATTCATGACATGTAATCCTAGAGAGGTCGGCCGAGGGCGACATGAAAGACCTATTTGGGGTATCGCACGGACCCTTGATCCTTGGGAAGTATAACCGCCCGGTGGGGAGCGTATGCGGGGCAGAGCTGCCTTAATGACCCACCGGTGATTCCACACTCCGAACAGAACCCGAACCCTGCCAGAATTCGGAAGTTTTTGTTCAATTGAAAGGCGTCCAACGTGTCAGCCTATCTTGCCTGACCCTGGCATAAGGGCACACGGAATGCTCCTGATCCAGGGAGGCGGTGTACCCAGCGAAATGGACCATGCACTCCACGATTTAGTTCGTGATTGGTGATCTTCCAATGGTATCTAAGACACTTCTATTTTTTCCACTAACTGCGTCAGAGGAACTCCGCGTTATCTATACCTCTTCACTAATTCCTATGCGCTTTCGGTACGAAGCTCACAAGACCATACCTGGCACGACGTCATTGTCATGCCGGATCTTATAATGAGACGAAACAGACAGAACATACTTTCCATTCACTCTCCAGCGCTTGTCTTTTTCGTCCAATTTATCTGCAACATCTTGCGGTACGCCAACTACAACATCTGATTTGTTGGTGCGAAGGCTCAGTAGCGGGAACGACCCTGCCAAGGGCCCTGTGAAAAATAACCTGTGTCAAGATATCACCCTTGTATGCATTCGGAAGGCCGTTACCAAGAGCCGTGGCAAAGGGCATCGACACTGGCCACTTCACATCCCCTGTTAACCTGTAACATTCCGCTTATGAGCTCCTCTAGATCGGCACAAAGATAACACACTTGCGATAACTACAGATAAGGCATGCATTAACGAAGATAATAGGTGCCACAAATGTGATACGAACTTAAGATCTCCCTATCAACATCAATAGTATAAGAAGCTGCAGAGAACAGCAACCTCATTTGCTCACCTTAATTATCACTAAACTACTTTCAGATAACGAACGCCACAACTCGTTTGCCTTATCTTCCATATACCAATATGGCCAGGGGCCCGTCCAAAACTGAGTCTTCTTATACCCACCCTCGAGTTCCGTGCTTAGGGAAAACACGCCCTCTTGCAAGTATTTCTTCCACCGTTCTACCACCTCCTTGAGATGATGAGCTGATTCGGTCGTCGTCGTGGTTGCATTGAAGAAAGTGGACGACTGATAGCGACTCTATAGTCTTATAAAAGTCGACCGGGGTGACATCGGAAACGAACCAGGGAAAGAGCTTCGGGCTAAGATCGTGACTATATTACAATGAAGCCCATAATTTGCACTTACTGGAAGACGACTTTGGAGAAATAGGGTGTGTGGGTGACGAGGAAATCGGCAAACACGAGGTCAGTGAAAAGCTTCCAGACGGTCAAGACTCGACGGAGCGGAAATGTATCTCTTTCCCACCTCGAACCCAGCTGTGATTGAGTGAGTTAAACACGATCGCAAACGTGCTGGTTGTTTACCGTTATCGAGAACAAAATCACATCGTGTGACAGGTCCTACTTGATGCTCCAAGCTCCTAATGTGTTCCCACAGGTTCTCTTGGTCGTCCTTGAGAATGAACTCCTTTCGGGCTTGTTGAGCATCCCTCCCAACATTCTGAAATTGCTCGATATCGGAAGGCGCGAGGTGTATTAAGAAAGATAGGTCCTAGTTCCTCGAAGGTTAACTTTCCGGCGTTGTTGCTCGGCCACATTCTTCTCACCGTGGCATTTCCCCTGAACACCGAAGTTACTACGACAGCTTGTCTGATATGTGAAAGCAATCCCGCACCAAAGACACATCTGTACCATTTCCTTGAGGAGAATCGAGAGCTTATCAGGGTCATTTATAAGTCTGTCTTTCTCGCTTTCTAACTCGTGCATCATTGTTGCTATATCTATGGAAATGTGATCAACGCGGTTACACTGAGGGGCCGTACACTCGTTGATACTCACGATACACGGCGGTTGCGCTATTTCTGAATGCTTCTTCCTTCTTTTTGCGGAATGGATCAAATTCCGTCCAGTGAGTGGTCTGCTTAAAGAAAGAACGAATCAGGCGGTATCTAAAGCATATTGGTAAGTGGATCAGATCATATATACCGGGACACATACAGATAGCTCCTGTGAATTGCCGGATAGGGTGAGCAACAGCCAACTGGGTTTTGCACATAGATCTTACTCTGCAAAAAGCCATGGGACAACGAACCACGTATTTTTCCCAATCTGAGCGAGCTTTGCTAGCTCTAAGTTATACTCATCGACGTAAAACTCCTCATCCTCTGGGATCTTTCTGTAAGTTCATGGTATCAGTGCTTATTAAACCACATATCGATCCCCAAGACCCACTCCAGTTCCCGATCGCTTTCCATGCGACACTTGAGTCGGATAGCCTTCGAGATGATCTCTTTCCCTTCATTGATCTTCAGCTGAGTAGCATGATCGTTCCATCCGTCGTTGGTGTGAGCTTCATCAGACCCCACTGTAACAGTACAATCGATCAATTCGCGGATATGGTCGACCAGATTGGTGATGATGGCCGGCCAGTATGTGAGCAGTGTCTCGTAGCTTCCGAGTATTTGCTATGAAGCGCGTCGGTCGTGGGTTGAAGACGAACGAAACTTACGCGAAACTAAGGTTAGCGTAGTAAGTAGGGTATACGGGAGTTCCAAGGTATTGTCTTGCAAACGTCCTGTGCTTACCTGTCTTTGTCTTGTAGATCGTGAGGAGGATAAGGTGCCTCAAACATGAACATGTTAGAATTGTAATGTGGAATGTGGGTAACTATTATGTCCTACTGAGTACCAACTTGTAGGAAGATCGTAGGGCAGACAATACAAATGCGTACTGGCACATCTTGAAGTCTAGAGCCAATCAAAAGGTACTTGGCGATTACATAAGCATTGTGTTTGCACTTCGCATGAACCACCTACGCACGGGCTCTAGGATACAACACTACGTAGTACTGGTGGTCGCAATCTTCGCTCCGGATTCCCGAATAGTGCTTCAAGATGGCGAGGCACCCATGCAGCGAACTATACAAGGGTTTGTCTCAACGGATAACAGGCGCATCAGCCTTCCCTGGGAGGTTTGATGCATATGACCAACTAACCTCATCGAGACCATTTTGCTATAGCTACTGCCACATCTGCACCGCTGGAACTCATCCAGCATTAACCGTACTTATTTTCCGCATGGGTGTTTCTGAACTTGTTGAGACTAAATCTTTTTTGGCTGCTTCGGGCCCTCCAGGCGTTCGTGTTTCGTAATTACATTGCACCTCAGCGATATATCAAGAACCGGGCGCAAGGTTCGAGTCAGGAGGTCCCCAGCACTGCGTTTACAATCTCGATGATCGTGCCATGTTAGTGGAACTTCTATCTCCCCCGCACGGATGTCGGATCAGCCAGTCTTGTTATTTCAATTTTACAAACACAGGTAGCAGCTTCCCTGCTGTCACTCCAGCTCATTGTGATGTGGAACAAAAAGTCGCCATGGAAAGCGTTCTTTGACCAGTACGGAAGAAGATAAACACGTAATCCTGTGGTTTCAAGGATGCCACGCCCTTACTCCCCCGCCGCCTATCTCTCAGATCTCAAGGAGGTCAGACTAGAAGGAGTACTAACTTTTTTCGGATTACTGTCGTGGGCTGCGCGGACCAGCTGCATACGGTAATTATCAAGTACATGAGATTGCGTGCCAGTGGTGCGTGTATGCATTCAGACGCACCATCTTACATGTCGTTAGCAACGGATTCAGAGATTACCATCAATGCGTTCGTGAACGCCATACATATGAGTTTCGACTATATCGTTACAATCACTGCTTTCTCTGCCTGCTTATCTACCCTTCTTGTAGTCCTTCCATTATCCACCAACAAGTCTCGTCGCCACATGACATTCCGACTGAGTGTGCTTGCCATCCGTCTCGCCCTAACGAACCCGTTCGATCCGATGTCAAAAGTGCCTTCACTGCTGCAGTCGCCTTTCTTTACTTCCCGCCCTCACTGTATGACTCGATATTACTGACTCGCCTTTTCGTTCTCTACCCTCCCCTCCTGCCAGCACGCCTCCAGTCTCTCTACTAAGATATTGATATTCCCTTTTCCATTCTGTGTCAAATACGCTCGGTTGGTAGTTATCGTGGGTTCATTTGTCGATGCATATTTGGGTCCATTGGACATTGGTTCTGAATGCAGACTCTTCTCGTCAATGACTTTATTATGGTTGGTACGACCACCGAGACTCTCGTCAAGGATGATGCCAACATCGGGTTTCGTAACCCCAACGTGATCGCTGAATGGACACTGCAAATAACAGGCAACTTGTGAGTTGACAAATGTCGAAGCATTCCATCAAACGGTTTGACTGTCTCCGTTTCCAAAGGTATTCTGTCAGCCTCTTCCTTTATAAGCTCATGTCCGCGCGTGACTATTGAAAAGCTGTAAGATTCTTCTCACCACATGTTGTACTACTCATATTTATCGTGACTGATCGTTCCCCCAATATATGCGGTGGGATGTTAGTCTTGATCAACAGCTATGTCACCGTGATAAGTGTATTGCGCGCAATGCTCTGGTTCTCGAGATCGGAGTGAGCTCAACCTTGCAACGAGCCATTATCCGACGAAATGCTACGGCGTAGGCTGGAAATGTGAAGGGCTCTTGTCAATGGCGGGGTGGAGAGGAGCAGAATTGTGGTACTGGGTACGAGGATTGCCACAGTTGACCCGGCAAGTTTAGACGGTGACGCGCTAACGAATTTCAAGCAACTCGCCATGTCAACGACAAAGTACGTGGATTTTATAGTGTGATTCCCGATCCCTCCGAAATCAAAGCCATACGATTATTTTCTTCACTTACGGTGCGCTTGCTTGCAACACTAGTTAGGTTACGACCGCTTCCGTACGACTGCGTTCTCTGCGCTAAGTAATGTATGATAGAGTTTGTGTTCTTGTTTCGTACACACCACTAAATTCCTTAAGTCAACCAACACGGTCATTGCGAAGAACGTTGGTACGAGACAGTCCGGGAGCACCAGCATGTTGGTGCTACCTTGTGTCTGGCATGGAGCATCGGTAGAGCATCGGATGAATAGATTGACCCAGTGGAGTTCATTGAAAAAACTAAGAAGCCACTGCTATGTTGATGCTTGTCAGCTTACAGGGCAAGAACGACCGTGAAAACCAAGACACAGAACAAAGATTCCCTCCTGTGCACTGCACGTACACATACATTCAACAAGGTCACGGCGGGTACAGTATCAGAGCGTCGTCAACCATCATCACAAGACGTGCGAATGGGACCAGTAAATTACGCGAAGATATGCTTGTTCTCTTTCTCCGGGGTGGTGGGTTGCTTAGGATCCGCCTCGGTGTCTAAGCCTGTGTTGCTGTGTGTAACAGACCTCCCTATTAATATAATTGAACTCCCACTTTTCCCGCCAGTGACATCATCCCTTCCAAAGTTTGGTCTGTGTGAGTTGAGCATGTACCCAGGTAATGGTTCATTGCGAGTGCGAACTCGCTCCGATCCTGAGAACCACAATGTCGCGCACAATACCCCCATGACGGTTATATAGTTGTTAATCAAGAGTACCGTTGCACCGGTAGTAGGGGACCGATCAATCGTTACGAAGATGATTTGTGCAACGTTAAAGATGAGAGGGAAGATAAAATTGGCAACAGAGATATAGAAGATTTGGCGGATGCGCTCCGCAATGCTGCGTGCTGCATATCAGGAAATGCATGAGTTATTCATTCGCCAGAGAGGAACGCGGAGGTATTCTCACCTCTTTTTATCAGTGATGTGCGGGTGTGGAGGTTGTAAAGGAAAAGGCTGACGGAGTACCTTCCGAAGACAATATGTCCAACGGATCACGTAGAGGGGTGCCAACTTACAAGTTGTCAGCAATTTGCATTGTCCACTCAGCAATGAGGTAATGGTTACGGAACCAGACGGTGGACTGATCCTGGATGAGAGCTTCGGTAGTCATCCCAGACCCAAAGTAGTCGTGAGTGGCAACTGTCTGCGCAAAGCGTCAACCAGGAATGAAATAAATGTTGACGAAAAAACCGACGATAACGACTACCCGAGCGCATTTAACACAGAAGGGGAATGCAAATATCTTCAATAGAGTGATCGGAGGTGTGGTGGAGAGGGGATAGATTGCAAAGAGGCGAGTTAACAATATCGAATCATACAGCAATGGTGGGAAGACGGTGAAGACGGTTGCGGCAAGGTAAACGCTTGTCGACACCGGATTGAATGGGTGGAATATCGCTTGCCCATTAATCAAGCCAGTCAAAATGCCCTGTGACCGAGACGACGCAGATGGCGAGTACATTCAGTCGGAATGCCAGGCGGCGCCGAGATTCCTTGGTGGATAGTGCGACAAGGATTGCAAAGAGAGTAAACAGACAAGCAGAAAAAGCAGCGGTTACAACGATATAGTCAAAACTTGGATGTATGGCATTCACGAACGCACTAATGGCAGCTTCTGAATCCGTTGTTGCGGACATGTGAGGTGGTGGAGCCAGGTATGGACATAAACCACTAATATACTCTACCGTGCTGTACTGGATGATTGAAGACCCTGTTCGGCTTAAAGAGCGCACAGCCTAAACAGAGTTAGTACTCCTGCCATTGAGAAAACTAGTCTGAATCCCCTGCGACCCGTAACTACGGAGATATTAGCGAAATCATATGATTTGCAGTCGGACTTCCTGCCTTAAGAGTGTGCTTTCCGTACTGATAAAAAAAGGGTGCTAGTGTGTTTGCTTGAAAAATGAGTAGCAAAACTCACCGAGTCCGCCTGATGTTGTTTTGTACATCAAACTGGCATACGCGTGGGGAAGATAGAAATTCCACCGGCATAACATAATAGGGTTGCTGTATTAACTGCATGATGCAATGTCAGAGACCTCCTGACTCGAACCTTGTATCCAGTTCTTGATGTAGGTGCGAAAAGAATCCCAAGTGTCTGAAGCTGTAGGAAACGATGTAGCCTCAAAGGTAGGGGCTAGATGGAAACCATGACTTTGGGGCAAGTGTGCGTATAACAAAATACTTTGGAGGATTGGATGAGACCCAGTCTACCGAAAGCAGCTTTACAGTACACTTGCTCATAATGCATAACTGTTTCGTTCTATCGTTGAATTTTTTTACAGTACCAGATGTCGGTTTCTGCTGGTCCGACGTTCTGCATTATGAGCAAGTGCACGGTATATGGAAAGCAAATTGCCCATCGTGACTAGAATCGCAAATATTATGCCTGATCGCTTGCGGGACGATACTTGAGTTGGATATTCCAAGAGCAACAGGGAGGCAAAGGCGTAGTATTCTCGGAGTCTACTAGTACTTAGATGTACTTATGAGGAGCCAGCCAATGTATAGATTACATAAGCCGTGTGTGGCTGAACCGATCAATCGCTAATCACAAGACAAAACCTCAAGTACTAGTGGTTGCGGTCATTATTGTTCCGGATTCCCAACTACTGCCTCGAGATGGCGAAGCACGCATGAAGGTGAACTATTCAAGGGTTTGTCTCCACGGGTAACAAGGCGCGTCAGCCTTTCCTGGGTAATTCGTTGCATATTACTAACTGACCTCATTGAGGCCGTCTTGCCACAGTTACACTGCTGGAACTCATCCGGCGTTAAATCTTCCATATATGTGTTTCTTACCTTGTTGTGAATATTTTTTTTCAGCTTCGAACTCTCACAGGCCCTCGTGTTTCGTAATTAGCGCCTCAGCAATATATCAAGAACCGGGCGTAAGGTTCGAGTCAGGAGGTCCCTCATCACTGCGTTTATAATCCCGATGATCGTGCTGTGTTGGCGGAAATTCTATCTCCCTCGCACAGATACCGGATCAACTAATCTTTGTCCAATTTTACAAGCACAGCAGCAGCATCCTTGCCGCCCAGCCCATCCCAGCACAACGCGGAACAAAAAGGTTCCCATGGAAAGCGCTCTTTAGCCAGTAGGGAAGAAATCAATACGTAATCCTGTGGTTCCAAGGATACTATGTACTTACTCCCCCGTCACCACTAATCTCTCAGATCTCAAGGAGGTCAGAGAGTTCTAGTCTTCTCTTGGTGGAGAGTACATGAGGCAGCCTATTAGTGGTACGTGTTTGCACTCAGATGCACCATCTCGCGTGTCCTCAGCAACGATGAGAATTGTCACACCCTGCCCAGCAAGTTTAGGACGCGCCAAATGAATTTCAAGCAACTCGCTACGCCGTTGACAAAGGATATGCATTTTATAGTGTGATTCTCAATCCTCCGAAATCAAAGCCATACGATTATTGTCTTCTCTCTCTTCGCTCGCGACGCGCACTAGTTTATAGATTACAAGCGGCTCCCGTACCCATTGCATTCTCTGCTATGTAACGTATAATAGGGGTCGTTTTCTTGTTTCGTACATACCACTGAATCTCTGAAGTCAACGAACATGGTGATCATGAAGAACGTTGATGTGAGACAGTCCGCATCTGGGAAACAGCTACGCGACGCGGCTGTTAACAGCTCTTCCGCACTTGAGCCAGCTCTCTCATTGGCCAACAAGTGTCTTAGCGAGTCTTACGACAAGTCACTTCCAAACGGAGGCAGGTATAACCTGCTCACTCCCTCGGGTAGTTTTGCAGATGCGGGAGCACTAACATATCGGTGCTAACTGCTACCTTGTGTCCGGCACGGAGGATCGGTAGAGTGCTGGATGAATAGATTAGCCTAATGGAGCTCGATGATAAACAAAGATATAACTGCCACGTATACGCCTGTCAACCTTCAAGCTTCAGGGCAAGAATGACCTTGATAATCGGGGTACGGAGCGGAGATGCCCTCCGGTGTGTGATACAGGTAACTTCATACATACACCTACAGCAGTGTCACGTACATACATGGCTCATCGACATAGGAGCATCGCCATCCAATTTTGAGAAGGGTCACTACTCTGTTAACGGGACCAGTGAGTTACACCAAGATGTACTCGCTCTCTTTCTCCGGAGTGGTAAGTTGCCTGGGGTCCATCCCAATGTCCAGGCCTGTAGTATCACGCGTAACAGAGCCCTCCTCGTTAATACAGTTGAGCTCCCACTCTTCGCGCACCACACGACCCCTTCCAAAGTTCGGTTTGGGCGAGTTGAGCATGTGATCAGAGAACGGTTCATTGTGAGTCCGAACCCGCTCCGATCCTGAGAACCACAGGGTTGCGCACAATACCCCCATGACAGTTACATAGTTGTTGATCAAGAGCACCACCGCACCAGCAGTGGGGGACCGATCAGTCGTTACGAGGATGATTTGTGCAATGTTGAACATAAGAGGGAAGACAAAATTGGCAACAGAGATGTAGAAGATTTGGCGGATGCGCTCCGCAATGCCGCGCGCTCCATACACGGGTTATGCATTCGCCATAGAAAAGTAAGGCAGTGTGCTCACTTCTTTTTATTGGTGATGTGCGGATGTAGAGGTTGTAAAGGAAAAGGCTGACAGAGTACCTTCCAAAGAAAAGATGTCGATGGATCGTGTAGAGGGATGCCAACTTACAGGTTATCGGCGATTTGCATCGTCCACTCAGCAGTTAAGTAAGGGCTACGAAACCAGAAGGAAGACTGATCCTGGATAAGAGCCTCGGTCGTCAACCCAGTCCCAACGTAGGAACGAACACCGAGTGTCTGTGTAAAACATTACCCAGGAATGAGACTAAGCATCGATGGAAAAACGCACGATAACAATCACCCGACCACATTTGATGCAGAAGGGGAATGCAAATATCTTCAATAGAGTGAACGGAGGTGTGCTGGAGAGGGGATAGAGTGCAAAGAGCCGAGTTAACAATATCGAGTCGTACAGCAATGGTGGGAAGATGATGAAGACAATCACAGCAAGAAAAACACTTGTCGACAGCGGATTGAACGGGTCGACTATGACCTTCCCATTGGATACGCCAGACAATATGCCTGTGACTAAGGCGATGCAGATGGCAAGCACATTCAGCCGGAATGCCAGGCGGCGCCGAGATTCCTTGGTGGATAGTGCGAAAAGGATTACGAAGAGAGTAAACAGACAGGCAGAGAAAGCGGTGGTTACGATGATATAGTCGAAACTGGGATGTATGGAGCTCACGAAGGCATCGATGGTAGCCTCCGAGTCTGCCGCTGAGGACATGAGAGGCGTGGCCAAATCGGAATGCATGCATGCATCACTAGTAGATATACTTATACTGGATGATGACCCATTTGTTTTGCACACGACGCAGAGTCAAATCGGGGTTATTCCTCCTTCCGTCGAGAAGACCAGTCCAAATCCCTTGAGAGATCTGTGACAGTGCCAATCAGTGAAACCTATACGATTTGCAGTTGGATTTCTATTTATCTCCTAGAGGCGTACTGGTACCCTTTGTCCCCCACTCAGTTGGCCAGCGGTTGCTTGTAAAACTAAGAGTGGTAAAATCACCGGGTAAGGTGGGCAGCATACACGTGCTGTCATCTCGGGGACCTCCTAATTCGAACCTTGGGTTGCGCCGAGTTCTTGATGATCATGGAACGTTACGTTGAGGTGCTGACTGTGCTTGGACTGTGCACGAAACGATCTAGCCTCAAAAGGCAAGGTCCAGAGTTGAATAGAAGTATAGTTTTCGGGACAAAACAGAAAAGAACTTTTGCGAACGGACTTTAGCAGTGTAACGCTATGCCTTATGAAGCTCGAGGGCTCAAGAAAAGATCGTCGAGTGGGATGGAGACAACCGTGTACGGATAAGGACTATGTAGTAGCAGTAAGTACTTGATACAGGTGAGAATGAGGTGGGGGGCGAAGGATCGCCGACCCGGAGCGATGCTGCTGCGGGGTGGCAACGCGAGTCGTTGGCGCCGGACGGGTCGACTTGCCACGCGTAGGAAGGGAGTCATGGACATTACGTTCGACGGGGTGAAGGGGAACCGGAGTATGTGAGACTTGCCTTCTGAGAGAGAGGGTAGGATCAGCTGCGGATCAACTGGCTGGCGTGAGCACGAGGTGGTGAACACTCGAACCCCCAGACCCGTCGAGGCTCTATCAAGAGATGCTGTGGACAAGAGAGTCTCGAACAGTGGCATTAATCCCTCGTATGTTTTTCTATATATAAAAAAGGTCCCGTGCTGGGGTGGATAAATCTAAATCTAAATCTACGATAGATTGTACGCTTTGTAGGACCGTCCCGCCTAACCCTGGAGGCCCACGTCCTCTGAAAATGTACCAGTACAGGTCTGGCAGCCTGTATTAGTCCACTTCGCTCCCGCCAGCACCTCGTCTGTGTACTGGGTACAATCGTGCTTCAGGGGCGAGATTTCCTAAAACGGTGGAAAGTTCCTTATCGGTTCACCTTTTCCACTCTTCAACCGCAATGCAAAAATAACTACATTGTGGTTGTCCAGTTTTGTGGGGTTTGCGTTTTCGTTTCATGCATGTTGAATTCCTGAAGTCAACGAAAATGGCCACGTACAAGAAGCTGGCGCAGGAGCATCAACACCACCACACACATATCGATGCCATCTTCAGCACATCATCACGGACTGAATCGCTACCGGAACACTCGTGTCTGGCATGGAGAATTGTTAGAGTTTAGGTCGTTGATTGGTGTGGAGTTCGATATAAAAAAAGAAAGACATGACTGCTATGCTTATACCTGCTAGGGCCTGACTGCAGCAATGCTAGACGCAAAGCAGATATTAGCGTGTATCGTGCAAGTAACTTCACATACTGTACATACATACAGGAGTATCACAGGTACAACGCTCATCAAAATGAAACTTCAGAAGCGTCATCAGCCATCATTTTTAAGACCTGTGAGTGCACTGTGGACGGGGCCGGCAAATCACACCAAGATATACTTGTTCTCTTTCTCCGGAGTGGTGAGATGCTTAGGATCCGTCACAGTGTCCAAGCCCGTAGTGTCATGTGTAACGGAATCCCCTCCTATTAATATAATTGAGCTGCCGCTCTTCCCGCCAGCCACATGATGGCTCCCAAAGTTTGTTCTAGGTGAGTTGAGCATGTGCTCAGGTAATGGTTCGTTGCGAGTCCGAGCCCTCTCCGACCCTGAGAACCACAATGTTGCACACAACACCCCCATGACAGTCACATAGTTATTTATCAAGAGCACCACTGCACCAGCAGTGGGGGACCGATCAGTCATTACGAGGATGATTTGTGCAATGTTGAACATAAGAGGGAAGACAAAATTGGCATCAGAGATATAGAAGATTTGGTGGATGAGCTCTGCAATGCTGTGTGCTGCATGTTGGGAAATGCATTAGTTATCCATTTGCCATAGAGAAACAAGGAGGTATCCTCACCTCTTTTTATTGGCGATGTGCGGATGTGGAGGTTGTAAAGAAAAAAGCTAACAGAGTACCTTCTGAGGAAAAAATGTCCAACAGATCATGTAGAAGGATGCCAACTTACAGGTTGTCAGCAATTTGCAATGTCCACTCATTGATCAGATAAGGGCTATGAAACCAGTAAGAGGATGCATCCTCGATGAGAACCTCGGTGGTCATCCCAGGCATGACATAGTGATGAATACCAAGTGTCTGTGAAAAGTGTTACCCAGGAATGGAACTAAATATCGATGAAAAAACCTACAATAGTGACCACCCGAGCACATTTGATGCAGAAGGGGAATGAAAATATATTCAATAGGGTGAATGGAGGTGTGCTGGAGAGGGGATAGAGTGCAAAGAGTTGAGTTAACAGTATCGAGTCATATAACAATGGTGGGAAGACAGTGACAACAATTGCAGCAAGGTACACACTTGTCGACACCAGATTGAATGGGTCGACTATGGACTTCCCATCAGTTAAGAAAGACAATATGCTTGTTGTTAGGGCGAGACAAATGGCAAGGACATTCAGTCGGAATGCCAGGTGGCACTGAGACTCCTTGGTGGATAGTGCAAAAAGGACTACAAAGAGGGTGAGCAAACAAGCAGAGAAAGCAGTTGCTATGATAAGACAGTCGAAATTTGGATGTATAGTGTTCACGAAGGCATTGATAGCAGCTTCTGAACTCATCACTGAGGACATGTGGGGTAATGATTCTAGCAGAATCCACACATACAACAATGATATACTCTACCTCTTGTACAGGATGATGACCTTCTTTGGTTTGCACAGTACAGGAGTCTAATAGAGTTAGTACTCTCCTCCACAGCTTGAAATCCTGTGACTGCAGACAAGGCTGCATCAGAGAAACCACTTAATTTGCAATCAGACTTCTTGCCTTATAGCAATCAAGTAAAGAGTACTTTCCATACCTTGCTTGCAAAATAAGAGTAGTGAAACTCACCAAGCCCAATTACAACTGTGTGTATTGTATACAAAGCAGCATGCATGCACACAGGTAGGGATGCTACTGGCATACTATAATAGAGTTGGTGTAATAAATGCATGTTGCAATGTTGGGGAGCTCTTGACAGTTTTGGGTATTGATGGAAAGTTGAGGTGCTGTTCACGAAGCAAAAAACGATGTGTTGAGTGCTTGGAGAAGCAATTTAGCCTCAAGAAGTAGTGTTGTTGGATGTTGCTGTGCACCAAGGGTTTGAATCACCTGCAAATAGCAAAAGTACTTTGAAGTGTATGTATGACTTGATTGACCAGAAACAGCAGGTTTTACAAATGGACTGATGCAGGCCTTGACAATGACTTGATTGTTATCAGGTGGCAGCTCAGGATAATAGAATGGGACCCAGGGTTGGGTTTTGACAAAAAGATGCTAACTGGTATGGGCTGATATATATATGTTCCTGATGGCTATGATTATAAACTCTCCAAATTCAGTTTCATGTATGATGCTGCATCTGTAACAAATTGATATGCATTTTTTTCTTATGTACTGTGTGCATTTTGCTTACCCTGCATATTTTTTTTCATGTACCATGTGCTTCTTTGGAGAGTATTCATGTAATATAAAACATACTGTGCATGTTGTTTTGTGTACCATGCACTATGGTGCTCCATTTGGGTAAAAAATAATGCATGTGATACACACAAGTATGTGGGGTACACAATATATAATGTGCCACACAGGATAATGCATGACACAGGATAATGTGCGACACAGGATGATGCATGACACAGGATATACAGTGTGAGGCATGTGATGTTGAGAGTGCACAAATGGTTGGCCATTTATGGAGGTGAACTATCCCAAGTAAATGCAGGGAGTGACAGCCTGAATGATTTATGGAACTGGCAGATAACTATGTGGCATGGACCCTATGATACTTTGATAGGAAGAGAGGTACACCATATTGCTGATCCCATGAAGCACCCATGGGACAATTAGAAATGATAGAACTTCAAAGTGCTGGTTGACCTGAAAGAACTCCTTGACAACCACTGCCAAATTTTTGTATGCATTCCTCCTGTTAGTATGGGACACCATAAATCATGCTGCAGAGACAACTGGCATTCACTGCGGTGGAATGGGATGGAAACATCACTACATCAATGGTTGGAAGCCTTGGTGAATATTGACCCCATGTAGTCCATTTAGTCACAACATATAGGTAGCCTGCATGCCAAAATGCCAACACTTATATAGACCCCATGATGGGCCTGTCTAAATAGATTAGCCATGACACATGGACAGGCCTGAGGGCCTATAGTGAGAGCAACATATGTATGGGCTTGTAAGTGCAATTCCACAACATATGGGAGGGCCTGTGGAGGGTAAGGATGCTGGAACATATAGATGGGCCTGTGACCAAGTAAGTATGCTGAGCTACTGTAAGACATGGACAGGCCTGTCCATGGTGGGGTGCACCCCAATCACAATATCAGGATGGGCCTGCCTATTGTATCATGAAGAAGGCTGCATCATATGGACAGGCCCACCTGTCATATGCTTTATAGGGTCACAACATAAAGAGGGGCTCCTCTATGATAGATTACAGAGTTGGCAACATATGGAAGGGCCCATCTTTGGGATAATATACCCTTGTCACAACATATAGATGGGCCTGTCCATAGCAAGATGTATGCCTGTCACAACATAAGGATGGGCCTGTCAGTAATATCATGGACCGCATCACAACACATAGACAGGCCCATCTAGTAAGATGCATCCCTGCCACAACATAAAGACAGGCCCATCAGTAATATCATTTATAGCATCACAACATATGGATGGGCCCTTCTGTAATATCATTTATACCATCACAACACATGGGCAGGCCTGTCCATTGTAAGACATACCTGTCACAACATAAAGACAGGCCCTTCAATATATATCATTTACAGGGTCACAACACATGGATGGGCCCATTTAGTAAGATGTACCCATGTCACAACATAAGGACAGGCCAGTCAGTATTATCAATTACATTGTCACAACAGATGGATGGGCCCATCTAGTAGGATATGCCACTGTCACAACATAAGACAGGCCCATCAGTAATATCAATTACATGGTAACAATACATGGATGGGCCCATCAATAGCAACATGTATGCCTGTCACAACATAAAGATGGGCCCATCAGTAATATCATTTACACTGTCACAACACATAGATGGGCCTGTCTAGTAAGATGCACCCCTGTCACAACATAAAAATGGGCCCATCAGTAATATCATTTATAGTGTCACAACATATGGAAGGGCCCTTCAGCAGTATCATTTATGCAGTTACAACATAAGGACAGGCCCTTCAGCAGTATTATTTATGTGGTCATAATGTATGGATGGGCCCTTCAGTAATATCTTTCATATTGCCATAAAACAAGGATGGGTCCATCTAGTAAGATGCACCCCTGTCACAACATAAGATGGGCCCAACACCAATAGCACATATAGCATCACAACATATTGATCAGATCACAGTAAAATATTGAGGCAAGCATCCCAACATGCCATAATTTTCCAACAAGCTGCAAGTGGCTTGCCCACTATACAACTCCAACCTCATCCACCCCAAGCATGAATACCATGCAAGACATGTCTAAAACCCCCATGGATGGTGAATGGAACTCACAGACTGCATTGTGTCATACATGAAAGCCAGATTTCAAGAGGAGGTATTCAGTGGACCTTGTGCCCTTCCAGATATATCAAATCTGTTTCTAGTATTATGTGAAGTGGATCACATATTGTCAGTAATCTCTCAGGCCTATCATCACCCAAGTAAGTCCATCATAATGGTGCAATGGAAGTTTTCATCTTTCTGCAGTCAATGTCAGGAAAAATTGGGGTGGAAAAACCTGCAATGCAGAAGCTGCTGAGAGATATGCAGAAGTGACTGAGTCATCCATTCTGGTGACTGACTCAAACACCATCCATGTTTGGTATATGCTGGATGCTCTCAGCCCAAAAAGAAGGGTAAGGGAATCCAGAATCTCATATTCTACTGACTTAATGGAATGGCAGGCCAATGTATGGAACTGCCTTCATCTTCTGAGGGAACCACTGTGGGAGAGCATAAAGGCTTCCCCACAGGCATGGTGGATGGACAAGTCATATTTCTGTGATAATGCTGAGTTGAAATGTGCCATCAACCTGTCACCTGCATGGTTTCAACAGGGTCATGGGGTGGGTGATCATTTCTTGCCTTGTGAATAAAGCACTCATCTGTCTTGAAGCCCCAAAATGGCCTCCTGGAAGCCTCACAGCTGCTCAAATCTAGGATGGAAAACACTTCTACAAGGGAATGGGTTGACCAAATGTCTGACACCAATGCCCTGTTATCTGTGATCCTGCATGTCATCCATCTGTGAATGTATGCAGATGGCAGGGCAGCATTGATCCACCTTGGCAAACAGGTGGAACAGCAGGTGGACTTGGATATGAGCTCCATACTGCCAATATGGAGCTCCACATATAGCAGCATGTCCATGATGGTGAATCAGGTAACTTGTTACCACAGGGATATCAATGGATGGGATCCATGGTATGACATGCTGGTAACCATGGGTGACTACCCACCCTTGGACTTTGTCATTCCAACACTTGAATCTGCAGCTGTGCTACAACCCAGGGACAATCATTGCATTTTCAGGTTCAGCATTGGAGCATGGGGTGGGAGCTGTAGATGGTGACAGAGCATGCCTGGCATACTACATGCATGCCAATGTACATCAGTCAGTGCATGTTCCCATGTGTCAATCACCATGGATGGATGACCTACTACCTAGACCAGTTGCAACTGGAGAACTTGTTGATTTGAAGCTGCAAAATTTAATGTAAGATTTAGTAGGGCAATGCAGATCTCATATTTTATTAGGATATGCTGGCTCTTGAACTTTAGGATGGGTGGTGTTTCCAAGATTTTGCAAATGGGCAGGTGCTTCAACATCATAGTATTGGGCAGGTACTCAGAGCTAAAGAGTGTGCATCATAAGCTGCAAAAAAAGTAAACCTACTCAGGCCATCATACAGATGGGTAGATTGTCAGACATTGTGCAGATGGGCAGGGGTTCAGACATCATGTGAATGGACAGTATCTCATAAATGATCAACATTCACAGCAATGTATATACCACCAACTCCACAGTCAAAAACATGTAAACTGTTGAAGCAGCATGCCCAACAACCCATGCAATGCCCACCACCTAGCATAGAAATGGTCAATTTGTTGACCCTGACCATTGACAACATCAGCATATTTCTGAATATTTTCAATGCAGTAGTTTACCTGCTCCTTGATATGGCCATTGAGATGGTCTGCAATTGGCACCTCAGGCTGGGCCATCATCAACTATTTGCAGCAATGAGAATAAGCAGCATACCTTAAAAAAATCCCAGGCTGCAGAAAACAATCCCTTGCCTTGCAATCTTTGGGAATCCACTGCATATTCCTCAGAATGATATAGCCACCAAGGGACTGCAAAGCTGGAATTGGGATCAGCTGTGTGTGGGGTCCAATGTGGGACAATGGCACTGATATTGTTGATTATGCAAAATGCACCAAGGGGAATTAGCTGCATTTGATTGCAGAAGCTAACCTCATCATCTTGGTGTCTGAGGTATGCATGGTAGCATGCTGGGAGGGGAGGAGTATAACTGGCATGCAACACCATCACCAGAATCAAGCTATTAAGCTGATTCTGAAGGAATTATGTATCAGTCCCACATTGTGAAAAATTGATGTAAAACCTACCAAGTCCATTGCTAGGTTTGCAAACCAATGTGCAGGCCATCCTACAATATTGGCAGTCTGCTTCAGATGTACAGAGGCCACCTTGATCCAGCATGCCAAGTAGAGGATACCCATCTCTACCACAGACTGGTGAGATGGGTGTGATTGGCTGGCTATGAATGGCTTGGGACCATTTTCAAAGGCAGAACATGGATAATGAATGACTTCCATCAAATCGAGCATATTGATGAGTTGAAGGCCCTGAGAGGCTGCACCATACTGCTCCCTTGCAGCTGTGCCCAATTCTCTTGCAATGGCATTTGCACAGCCCACACAAGGTGCCTATCAAGGGTGGGATCAAATGGTGTGTCACTGGGAGTGGTGTGTCCATGGTAGCAAGATACCAGTAGCTATGTGAGGCATGCAGGACTAAAATTATCAATGTCAAAGGTGTATCAGATTAAGCTCATGCCCATACCTTGATCACAATGTGGAACAGGTGCCAATCCTCATTGTTCCATTTGAAGAGATTGCTGTGTGCAGATGGAAGTTCACCTACATAATCAATGGATATCACTGATCACATGAATAGAACCAAATAAATGCTCACTGTTGCATATTTCTTTGAAAAGATCCCTCATCTCTGATCATTCAGGCATGCCAAAAGTCAAATGGTTTGTGCCATTGTCCTCATGCACTACCAAGTCAAAAGATTCAATGGGTACATTTGAAATGAGTGGGGGAGGCATTGGTTCCCTCATATCCTGCAATTGAGCAAGCAGGTTAGTTGGAGAATTGGGTCGAGGAGATCAGTCCCTCAGATTTGATGATTCACAGGTGATGGGCAGAGGAGACAGTTCCCACACATTCTGCAAGTCTGCCAGAAAATTGACCTGCATAGTAATGTCTTGTGCAGGTGTTGAAGACCTGTCCATCCTGTTTAATTTCTCATGCATGACTGGTGGTGCTGATGGTTCCTGCACATTCAGCAATTGCTCAAGTAGATCCACATTCATACCATCCACTGGGGGAGCAGTTGGTTCCCATTCATTCAGGAACCAATTCATCAAGTTGTTGTGTGGATCTATTACTAGAAAATTAGTTTGTTTGTTAGCTTGAAGGGCAATTGTTGTGAGTCAAAGTGTGGTTCAGTGGTGAAAACCCAACCAAAACCAACACAAAAGACAAAAAGAGTGAGTGGTGGTATGCCTATGTGGTACCTAGATGGTAGAACCTGTTCTTTGGGAGGGTTTTTGTGAGCTATAACACTCAAAGATGAGTGCTGAGGGTTGGGGGTGCTCCTGACAAAGAAGGAGCAGGAATGCAAGAGAATGTGATAGGGTAGACTGCTGTCAGCCTACAGAAGGATGGATGACAACTTAATTCAATGCTCTGAGCTGCACTGAGCTCAGGGAGGACTTGAAGTGAGGTAGATTGATGATAGAATGATAATAAGCAAAGTAGATGATAGTTAGACCCTTAATAAAGTCTCAACTATTGAAGCTGGCTGAAGGAATTTACTGAAGTGATGATAAAATGCAAGCAAGAGGGGCTCTCTGACATCTTCTTCTCTTTTTTTTGCTATCTAAGTACAGTGATTTATATACAGTACAGGGGTGTTGCCCATGGAAAACAAGGTGCAAACACTTGGTAAGTGATTGGTGACTGATGAGTAACAGAATGTAAGGCAATGGGTAATCATCTTGGAAAGCATTGGTAAGCATTGGTAAGGATAAGCAAGCCAAAAGGCAAAGAATCAGTAAGCAAAGTCAAAAGATTGGTAAGTATTGGCAATAGGTGAGTCAAAAACAGTCACAACATCAAAGTATGAGTCAAGTAATGTCAGGAACTGGGAAAGTGCACTGGAATCACATTAGGGGGAGGCTGTGCATGTCACATCTTGAAGAGATCACTTCTCAGGCCAAGATGGGATGACAGAGAGGCAAGTGCTGATCTGATGCTGATATAGTACATCCAAAAGTGGACAGGGTGAGTCAGATGTCAACAGGGGTCAAGCTTTGGGGGTCTGTGGGGTGACAGGAGCATATGGGATTGCAACTTTCCCCCCAAACCATCCTCTTGGTGAAGCAAATAAAAACTTCATGAATGAGGCTCTGTTGGAAGAGAGGATGAGGGGGAGTGGCTTCTGCTGGTATCTTGCAACAAGGAGGCAAGATGTGCATCATACTTCATCATGGCTGTGATCAGGGAGAGTGGAGAACAGTAGATTATACTGTAGCTGTTGCAATCTTGGAAGAATGATGGATAAGACTGGTATGAAGACACTGCAGGGAGCAGGGAGGAAGGATCCATATGCTTCTTGGACTGGAGAGACTGAAATGACCACATAAGACCTTTCCAAGGCAATGACAGACCTGAGGTGACCAAAGAATGTCCTCCTAGAGGTGATACTGACAAAAAGAACACACTGTCCAAGCTGGATGGGCTGAGAGGGTGCAGACAGAGGGTGGGATGTACCAGGATGCTTCAGGATGGAAGCTGGTAGGAACTCCTGGTAGATATATGTAGCCATGGTACCATAGCAAAGGGGACAAGCAAAATGATTGACATGGAGGTGGCCATATCAGAAGAATTAGTGAAATGAGTGTATTTTGGAGGGAGTGCTGTAGAAATGTGTGGAGTGTGCAAATCCTTTCCAATTTTGGAAGGTAGGATCATGTGTAGCTGAAGCACTACAAGTGAAGTGTGGGAATGGTCTCAGTATCTGCAGAAACAGTGGAGATATGTCAAAAACCAGAATGCCATACATGGGCACTTAAGAATTTTAACCAGTGCATAACTTGCTCCCTTTCTTTTTCTTTGGCACTGATGACTCATTCTTGTGCAGGGATGACTGCTGACATTTCTGGCTGTCCTTCTTCACATGAGGGCTATGGTCTTCATCTCCATTCATCAGCTGTATCCATGTCCACCTCACCAAACACCTTTGGTGTGGGACACCAGGGCCCATCCATATGTTGCCAACTTTGTATTCTAATCATAGGATGGGCCCATCCTTATGTTGTGACCCTCTCCATGTTATGATAGGTGGGCCCACCTGGATGTTGTGACAGGGGTGTAACCTACCAGGATGGGCCTATCCATGTCTTACAGCAACTCAGTATACTTAATTGGTCATAGGCCTGTCTAAATGTTTCAACATCCTTACCCACCATGGGCCCTCCAATATGTTGTGGTAATGCCACTTACAGGCCTGTACATATGTTGCTCTCACTTTAGCCCCTCAGGCCTGTCCATGTGTACCAGCTAATCTATTTAGGTGGGCCTGTCTTGGGGTCTATATAAGTGTTGGTGTTTTGGCACACAGGCTGCCCATGTGTTGTGACTAAATGTGACTACACTATGTGGAATATTGAATTGTGATGCTCTGAGCATGGGAAGTCAAACCCTAAATCCTAACCCATGATTAACAATATTCACTGCAAACTTCTCCATTCAGGCTGCCCCCAGGAAGATCATTTGCTAGGCCATAGTCCACACAGAATCCACACTTCAGATGCATGCAAATATACCCTGCCATAAATTTTGCCATCATATTCACTCCATGTTCAATGTGTACCCTCATGCAATTGATAAATTGACATTATGTGTCTGAGTTCATGTGGTTTCTGTGTCAGGAAAATCTGGATTCTACTAGCAAATACTGTAGGCTTGTTTTGCTGGATGGCATCAGTTGAGTACAAGCACAAGTCAAGCATTGTCTCCAAGTACATTATTGCATATTGTGCATTATATATCCTGTGTTGCACATTGTATATTCTGTGTCATGCATTGTATGCTGTGTATCACACACATTACTTTTTACCCAAATGGAGTGCCATAATGCACATGTTCAGAGTCCACTCCACACAGTATATAAATATAGTGCACAAAATTTATATAAGCCATCTACAGTACATGCAAAGTACAGGAGTGTTGATGTGGTGAGGGCAAGGGATGACTTAAGGGGGGCCACAATACTGCACCTCAGGCAGCAGTTTTTTGGAGGGATGGTGGTCTGTTAGATATAAATTTTATGACAGCAATAATGCATCTAACAGACCCAACCTCCAGCAGTGGCTCCCAGATGTTTCTAATTATGGTTATCCTTCTTGAAGTGATCCACCCCTCCCCTGCCAAATTTGGATATGTCTTCTGCAACAAAAGTAAAATAGGGTAATTCACCCCTATTTCCTGTGCTTCTGATGGACAGTGTTACTGATGATCCCTCTGTTGACCCTCACTCAACCATCTCAAGACACTCTCACCAACCTCCATAGATACACATTTGTCATTCCAATATGGCATCCCATGGCCTCTGAGTGATTAAATAATCAACATGTGGCAACTTGTTACAGACATAGTGACTCAACCATCTTGGGAGCCTCTCAAGACCCTCACCCAACCATCTCAAGAGTCTCTCAGCAACCTCTGAAGATATATATTTATCATATTAACATAGTAACCTGTGCTTCTGACTGATTATGTAATCAAAAAGTGTCATTGTTAATGAATCTGAGATCCATGGGCCCTGAGATCTCAGATCTGACCTGCACTTCTCTGTGATTATGTAATCAAAAAAGCGGACCAGATACCTTGCTCTCCCCTGGCCTTTTCTGCTTCACCACACATACTCCCTGCCTTGTGAAATGTTCTACTGAGTTCCAATGGAATGTTTGTATGTTGCTTACTACATACACATGCAATTTCGATCCAGGTAAGTGCCCTGGAAGGATGCCAACATAAATAGGGGTAAAATGTGAACTCTGTTCGCATTTTTGCAATTCTTGACATATGAACATGGGGATTGTGTCCTCAGGCAGCCTTAACATACATCTACATCATATCAGGATCCCAAGGCATCAGCACCAGCCTTTGCAGAGATATAATCAGTTCTCCTCCTCAACACTGTATGGGGTGCAGGCTGGTATCCTTGTCATTTCTGGATTTTCTAATGCATTGGGACTATGGAAGGTGTACAATACAATGTATAATTAGAAGGGCTTGTGTAGTTTAGTTGAAGGATGAGGTACCAGATGGCTTTTTTTTTTTTTCTGATGTGGCCACTATGGGACTCCTGTATGGATAACTTATGATGTAATACCTTGGAATGGTTCTTTGCAAGTAGGTCTACCAATATCCAGAATTCCAAGTCAATCCATTAAGGAATGGAAGAGCAGGGAAGAAAATGAATTCTGAAGAGTGTGGGAGAGTGACTGAAGATTTTAGGAGACTTTTGAAAACATTATAAAAATCTGCAATACTACAACATACTGTGATGAAATGATCAATATATGTGTATGGTTGGACTGCCACTGTCATTTCACACCTCTGTTATGCTCCAATGTGGTGACTTTGTCAAATGGACTAGGCACAAAGCACAGAGGGACACACTATGGGCCAAACTTGTCATAACCCCTATGGATCCTCAAGCAATACTGGATTTTACAGACTCCTGTGGGAGGGAAGACTAGCCTGTCACTGAGGAGGGAAGAAGAGAGCAAGTTGTTGGAAGTTTATGAACTTACACACTACCAGTAATCATCACTTACATGTGACTATCTGCTTATACCAGCTATTGTCATGTGACCAAGCATGTCATCCATGACTCCACTATTTCTATTATGTTCCATGATATTCT